CCAGTGATCCTCAGCTAAATATTCTCATTTCCTGCAGTAACTCTTCCTGTAAGCTAATCAGTTCAAGATCTGAAAGGTACCCTTTTCTACTCTATCCTCACTGCTATTTTCTTAGGAAAATATACTCATGTAGACACAGCTTGACCAAGACAGCCTTCATAATCCTCTCAGCATGACTAAGCTATAGACAGGTTTCTTCCTAACTCCAGACTCCTGACCTCCCTTTTCTCAGAGTATTTACTTTAGGAAACTTGTCTTTGTAAGTCCATTCTCTGTCCCTTTGAGATGTAAATCTTTTCAAAATCCTCCTGCTGGTTTTAGAAATCAGAACTGTCTCTCTCAAGAACCTGGGAACCATCTCTTTGAAATGTAAGCATATGAAATGAAAATGGAACTCCTATGTCCTGGTCCTCTGGGAGGAGCGGAGTCTGACTTAGGAAGACACCTTGCTCCAAGTTGTAAAACTACGTGCATCAAGAAGAGAAGGGAGGGCTTCCCTGGTGGCGCAGTGGTTGAGAGTCTGCCTGCTGATGCAGGGGACACAGGTTCGCGCCCTGGTCCGGGAAGATCCCACATGCTGTGGAGTGGCTGGGTCTGCAGCAGGAGAGGCCACAAAAAAAAAAAAAAAAAAAAAGAGAAGGGAAAGTTTACTTTTCCTTTAGACGAGGCCAATCAAGCAACACAGGTTGTGCATGACACCCCACCTTGCCCCAGTTCTTAAAAACCCTCCAGCCCTTATTCTTGGCAGAGCTGGGTATCCAGACTTGGTCTGTGCTCTCTCCCCTATTGTTGACAATACCTTGGCATAAAATCAACGTCTGTCTCTTCAACTTGTCCAGTGCAATTCATTATTTTAACGGGCTGCAAAAATAAATTAATCAGATTGTTCCAATGAATGGTCTATTTTTCCAATCTGGACACAAACGTTTTTCAGGAATCGAGTGCCTGCTGAGTCTGATCCAGCCCACGCTCTTGTGGCAGGGCTGCTTTCCCGGGGACACTTTGGGTGTCCGCTGGGAGAGGCTGGTGTGGTAACGACCCAGGACAGACACCGTCTCTGCTGTCCCCTCCACAGCTCTAGGCCACTTGGAAACAGCTGGTGAGCTGTAGCTTGAGATGCTACCAGTTCTGGTGTTTGTTTGGCTGGGGACAGAATGGCTTATTTCAGCTAACCTCCTTGGCAAGCTGGAGCTCAGGCTGGGCAGAGTGCTGTGAGTAAAACAATCCCCTCACATTCCCAGAGGAGTGGTTACAGGACGGACGTGGCCATGGAGAGAAGTCTGTGTCATCCTGACCGGCCGCTCTTACCTGCATCAGTGAGAAGAAATGGTTCATCGCGATTCCGATCACATCCTGCAACCAGCTCTCGTTAATGATGTCCAGACACTCCTGCTCTGCCTCTCCCCTGCGGGCATCACAGGTGTCCCACAGGCGTTCCCGTAAATCCTGCACACAAACACTGCTGTGAGGCTTCAGAATCACAGCTCAGATGACCTCCGTATAATAAAACTAAAATCCTTTGCCTGTCTTAATGTGTCTGAAGAAAATTTAGACCTAATACACTCGTATATTTTATCCCTTCGGTAAACAAATGTTTATTTTGTTTCTACTCTGTCAGGCCTTAATTTTCTAAGACCCCCTCAGCACACCTTGTGCCCAGGTCCACAGTTTACTTTATTCATGAGGGGCTATGTTTTATGTATTCTAATCCTTCCTCACAAGATTTGATTGGCCAAAAAAGACCTTTCAGGGAATTTTTGAGGAAATGGTGTATTGTTGGTGCAAGAAATATGCTGCTTTATTGAATCCGAGGGCACTTAACACAGCAAGGGCACTTGTTAATTAATCATGAGTGGAGCATGTCATTCTCCAAGAAATAGGGTCTGAGCTTAATTGGATTGTCTGAAAATAAGCTTTGGATTACAGAGCTAGCAGTGAAAAAAACACCTTTTAAAGATCCCAGCTCTGCCACTTACCAGATCCTGAGGAATAATGTTGATGATACCTTTCTATGTGTGTCAGTGTTCAGAATATAAGTCATTATACTTATATTGACTCATTTAATGCCTCACAACCACCTTGGGTCCTATTATTTTCTTCATTTTGTAGATAAGGATACTGAGTCAGTCACAGAGAGGTTATTTTCCTAAAGTCACATTATGAGCAAGTGGTGGAGACAGGATATGAGCCTGTGGTTTGTCTGTACCACTAGATTAGGGCTCAGTTCCTTGACCTGTAAAACGGGGATAGAGTTTACCCTTTGGATGTGCTGCAGTTAGCCTAAGCCTGTAAAGCACTTAGCACAGTATTTAGCACACAATAATTCCTCAGTTATAAACAGTATCATAATCTTATTCATAGCAATAAAATATCTGTTTAATTAAAATTCCATTAAGAAAATATATACAGTCCAATAAAACTTGACAGTTTTCACGATCATAATAATTGATTGAACATTTACTGTGTGTTGGGCATTGTGTTAAGTGCCTGACGTTGATTACCTCACAAATCCCCACAGTAACCAACGGAGAAGTTTCTGATGAGAAATTTGATGCCCAGAGATGTTGAGTCACTTGCCTATGGTTTCAGCGCGGTAAAGTCAGGAATTCGAACGCAAGCAGTTTGGTTCCAGTGCCTATAGTGGATTTTACTTCTGTGATGCTGTGTTTATGGAACACTTAGCATTTTGGTTTGTTATCTTGTGGGGGCTTCACATGAAATGAAAGCATCACAGGCATTTTTATAGCTATACACTAATATCAGAACAGTATGCCATTCTTTTAGAGCTGAGAGACCTTGACGTCTCCCTGGTCTTTCCACAAATGCTATATCAGACATCCAGTGAGGACTGGCTTCTGCTCCTCAAACATTTATACATTTTAAAAAGACAGGAGAGGAAGCAGTTGAGGAGAAAGTACAAAAGCGGGAGACTGGGACCTTGTTTCTAGCTCTCTTTCTGCTCCCGACTCACTGGGAGGTCTTAGCAAGTACCAGTGTCTCTGTGGCTTGGTTTTCTAATGGGAAAGTGAGGACAACATGATAGCAGAACCTTTCCATTAACTTCTTAGGGTTGGAATGAAAGAAGCCAAGAACAAGGAATATTACCAGGAATAAAGAGGTTAACTACTGGCAAATAGGATGGTGAATTTGTCATTTCCAATTTTGCTTCTTTTAAATATCTAATCTGTCTGTAATAAACATATGGTACTTTTGGAATACAGGAGGGCCGGGATTGTGAATAGGCAGGAAAGAGATAGGAAAGGCAGATATGTTTTAGGATTACCATTTGAGAAATGTCTAAGACTTCAGTTTATTGGGACATTGATTAATGCAATACCTCCTGGATTAAACCCTCCAGCACCCTGGTCATCCAAGTTACCATAATGCCTTCACTTAATTTCAATAGCTTCCCAGCTGGTTTTCCAACTGCTCTCAAACACGCCAAGCATCCTCCCTCTTCAGTGTCTTCACTTTTCCCTATGCCTGATACACTCTTCCTCCCCAAATCTGCATGGCTTATCTCATGCAATCTCTCCTGTCCTGAGTCTGCTCAAATATTGCCTTCTCAGTGGGCCTTTCCACAACTACCATATACTAAATGGTATATCAACGTTCCTTCCCTCCCTGCCCTGCTTTCCTCCTTCCTGTAGCTCATATTATCAGTGACATACTCGCTATACATTTACTTGTTTATTGCTTATCCTTTGCACTATGGCCCCCAGAACATAAACATCCTGAGGTCATAGGCTTTTTGTTCAGTGTTGAACCCACCGCCCCTTGAGCAGTGCCGGGACCATGGTAGATGCTCAATAAATATTCACAGAGCAAGTGAATAGGTCATGGGGGTAGAGCTTGGGAATTTGTTGTCGTTGACAAATAAATACTGAGATTATAATCAGATATGATTACTAGTAGCCTATACTTAAGGTTGTTGAAGGGGAAAGAATTCCCCTGACAGGATAAGGGGCTCTGTAAATCTACACGGGAAAGACAAAAGGTGAGAGATTGAAATCTGGCTTCTTGTACATCAGAGGACCTTTTCTAAAGCATCAGGGTAATATACTCTGAATTTATCATATACTTATGAATTTATCAAAATCTGCCTGTCTACCAAGTGCCAGGCACTGTGCTGCTGGAATACCAAGATGTATGAGATTTGGTACCTTCCCTCAAGGGATCTATTCGATAGAGGCAACACTTCAGGCTTTCTGGGATGTTCCCTCATTCCCCTTCTCCCTGACATCAACCAGCCATATAACTGTATCCAAGAGAGGCACGTACTTAATACCAGGCTTGGACACACTTACATGACCCAACAAAAGGGTTAGGAGTTTACAAAGTAGATGCCCAGAATGCTCTTGCACTGCTGGCCTTGGCTTCTCCTTCCAGAAGCATTGACTACCATATTCTAATTCTGAGCGCAAAGTACAGAAGAGTGATTGTTCTTGAAAGTCGGCAGGTTGGTGTTCAAACCATTTCTCCCCTCATCCTCACACCTCATGAGAGTAAGAAGGGGGTGAATTAGTCTTTTTTTGTTTGTTTTGTTTTGCGGTACGTGGGCCTCTCACTGTTGTGGCCTCTCCCGTTGCGGAGCACAGGTTCCGGACGCGCAGGCTCAGTGGCCATGGCTCACGGGCCCAGCCACTCTGTGGCATGTGGTATCTTCCCGGACCGGGGCACGAACCCGTGTCCCCTGCATCGGCAGGCGGACTCTCAACCACTGCGCCACCAGGGAAGCCCTGAATTAGGCTTTTGAAGTACAAGATTTGAGAGTGTGGAAACTCTGGCCCCGCGGGTCATGGACTCCCTTACATTCACTCTTTGGTGTAGTTCAGCCTTCGTTTCCTCATCATCCCACAGGTCATCAGGAAGAGAGTTGAAATCAGCCTGCCACTGAGATACAAAATCTTGCTTGTGGTCCGGACGCCTTAGAAACTGCTGGAAATCTGTTCTGTAAGGCATTCAGAGAATCAGACGGAGCTTATATGTCCTGCATGTAAACTACACGGTTGTAACTTTGGAAACTTTACTTACCTAATATCATATAAGTAAGCAATCACCATATGCTGGCCTTCTCTCAGGTGCCTGAGTACTGTTTTGATGGAATTTATATAGGAATTTTCTATCAGTTTCCAGTAAGGTACTAAAAATGATCGTATTTCCTGTTAAATGGTAAAGCATAAAAATCATAATTTCAAAGTGAAAATTATTCTGTGTAATTGAGTCAAAAGGGCACTACTAAGCAAGAAGATCAAGTTGCAACTGTAGCCACTTAAGGCATCTCTGTGAAACGTCTTGCTCCTCCTTCCTCCCCTCCCCCAGCTAATTCCTATTTCAAATCATTTTTCATGTCTGAGCGCAGACATATTTTTTTCCAGAAATCCTTCCCTGATCCATCAAGTGTATAGGGTCATCCTCTGAAGTTCTGAAGTCCCACCTTAGCACCCTGTACTTCTCTCATTAGAGAACTGATGGCATTAATTATAACTGTTTATTTATTTGCCTATATTCACCTCTAGAACAGCAGTCTCATAAAACCAGGAAGAATTACTATCTTATTCACCACTAAACAGTTTTTCCTATAATTACCACAATGTCTGGGACATAGTAAGTGCTCAAGAAATATTTATTGAATGAGTGAATTGAATAATCACAGACCTCACATTTTGCCTAAGTTGGAGAACATCTAGGTTCTTGTCAGGGTGATGATGAGTTATTTCTCTGAATTCTCCCTTGAGGTTTTACCTTTGCTGTAAAGTGCACCATGAAAATCAGAAAGTTTCTTTTACATTATCTTTAATGATGCAAATAAACAATGAAAAATAAGAAGTAATCAAATTGAAATAAAATTGAAGATACTTTTTTTTTTTTTTTTTTTCGGTACGCGGGCCTCTCACCCCTGTGGCATCTCCCGTTGCAGAGCACAGGCTCCGGACGCGCAGGCCCAGCGGCCATGGCCCACGAGCCCAGCCGCTCCGCGGCACGTGGGATCCTCCCGGACTGGGGCACGAACCCGCGTCCCCTGCATCGGCAGGCGGACTCCCAACCACTGCGCCACCAGGGAAGCCCCCATATTATATTTTAATATAAACTTTCTGTACGAATTTTTCCCTTATTGGTTGTGCATTTATTTATTCAGGGGCTTGCACATGGGGACCTTGGAGGTCATCTGGGCTAACTTCCTCTTCAACTGAGACATGCCAAGAGATCTAGAGACAGATTATCCAATCTCTGTGGACCTCACTGATACATTAGGCACATTTCAATGCAACCCCCTTTAGGGTCACACAACTTGTGTTAGTGGAAAATGCTTCCTGTGTTGAGCAGAAATTTGCCTTTCTGTATTTTCTACTTATAAGCCCTAGCTGTGCCCTTTGGAGAAGGACAGTCTACATTCACACCATCTTCTCTATGACAGCCTGTCAAATATTTGAAGACACTGGTGAGGAGAAGTAGGCTGGGATTCAGGATGAAACTCGCTTGCTTTTGTATTTCCAGCATCTAGTACAGCATTTGCAAATAACAGGTACTCAACAAATGTTAATATAGATGTAAGCGGAGTCACCTGAACCCAATTTTATCATCAGTTAAATTTTCAGGAGACTGGATGGCACTGGATGGCTTCATCTGGTTCTAAAGGCCTATGATTCTATGTCTAACCATACTTCAAGTATTCATTTATCATACACATTTACAGTTCTTTCAATGCTCCTCTGAAATTATTTTAACACCTTTCTCTTACCTAGAGCCCCTCTCTGGTTTCTAGTTTTTCATGATCTCTCTTAAAAGATGTGGTATCCAGAGTGGTGCTGAAGACCATTTTAAGTAAGCTGACTACTAAACTTCCCTCCTGGTGACTTCAAGTCATTAATTAACACTCTGTGCAAGGAGAGTTACCACCTAGGAATGGACCTAATTGAACTAACATCCTGTTCACAGTTCTTATTTATTTACAAGAGCTTCATGAGAAATTGTCAAATACTATTTTGAATTCAAGGTATACTATGTTCATGGTACCTCTCTGACCCACCTACTCAACCTTGCTATCAAAGAAAAGGAACAGGCCAGTTCAGCAGGACTTAGTCTTAGTAAACCTGTCTGACCTCTGGGTGATCACTTTGTATGTTACAAGTGCTTAGAGGCATGTGTTTAATAATTTTCTCTCCAATTTTGTCAGGGATTAACATCTGGATCATTGGTCTTGTATGCTACTAAATCCCGTCCACCGTTTGTTAAACATTTAGTCATTAGTCCACATCTGGTCTTCTAGATTCTCCCGTATCTTCTGTGATTTCTATGAGTTATTGATAATGTCCCATCTGTAGTTTATTTAATTCTCTGGGATGTTATTTTTCTGGGTCTAGGCACTTGAACTTATGTGACGTGACTAGATGTTAAGACCTATCCTTTCCAATTAAATAGTCTTCTCTTCATTGACTGAAGCATAATAGGAAATTGGGCAGCCAAAGCAAGTATCCTCCAAGCAAAGACCTATCACTCCACTGACTCCTTGGTGGTCTCTGAACCTTCCCTTGGGGCTGGTAAGGGGATAAGGACCCAGGCTCCCCTTGAACTTGGTTGCTGCCTCCACCTGAGAGAGCCACATATGGAAGCAATCCCCTTCTTTCTCTCACTCTGTCTCCTTCCCCATGCCTATTGAGGTAAGATATATCTGGGGTCCCTGGAAGGCCTGGAACTAGGGTTGCCAGATAAAGTATAGGATGCCTTCATTGGTTATCTGAAATTTAAATTCATTTAACTGAGCATCTGTTTTTCCTCTCCATTAGTAGGTAAGCTGTGCAGCTCATGTGTGAGAAGCTTAGAGTAGAAAAGGACTAGGGCAGGTCATGTGGCCTGCTTTGTTTCCAGGTTCTAGACTAATTCTGCTTGTAGCAAAAAGGAGCTCTCTACATGGTTTCACTTAGGTAACTAGAGGTCCGAGCTGTATATCCTTCCATCATCCCTCCAGACCAACTCCCCATCCTTCACTCTCCATCCTGCTCAGTGATTGCTCTAGGAGGCTAACTCATGTGAACTACTTCAGGAAACTCCCTTGCCTTCCACCTCCCAGTCAAAAGATGTGAGAGTAGGAAGGACATGAGGTTTGGTTATATGCTTCCCTGCTCCTCTCTGCTGGTCACTGTGGGTGGCTGCATCCTCTGGGAAGGCCACAGCCCCTGGCAGGTGGCCTTCTCCATGCACAGGTCTTCCTGAGGTCCAGACATCTGCTTCCTGTCCTCACCTTCTCAGGCCTAGGGGCCATAATAGCTCCTGGCTCTCTCTTGTTGAGGGTAACAATCTAATTCTTGTAGATTTTCTCATTTACTGGCCACATACATATAAATCATCCTTTATTCAACTTTCTTTAAATTATCTTCTGTTTTCTGCCAGGATCCTGACTAGAAGATCTACAATGGAAGCTGATGCCATATATCAGTGTGAATATTTATTTATTTTTCACTCCCTCTTGTCCTCTATGAATTTATTTCTCTCAAGGGCTTCAATGTTTGGAATTACGGATTAGATTTTAATATTTTTGCCCCTCACTCTCCAACTCCTACCAAATAATATCATTTTAATTTTATCTCCTTCCCAACAACCACTTCTGTATCCTGTTTCTATGATAGTTCTTGAATATATTTATTTTTCAAAGTAGCTACTATTTGGCTGAGTGATAGTAATTACACCCATCTGTAATTCTATCATTTAATGTTCTCATCTTCAAATATTTTCTGTTCTAATTTCTCCCTCAATGCTAATTAATTCATCAAAGCCTTATCGGGCTTCCCTGGTGGCGCAGTGGTTGAGAGTCCGCCTGCCAATGCAGGGGACATGGGTTCGTGACCCGGTCCGGGAAGATCCCACATGCCGCGGAGCGGCTGGGCCCGTGAGACATGGTCACTGAGCCTGCGCGTCCGGAGCCTGTGCTCCGCAACGGGAGAGGCCAAAACAGTTAGAGGCCCTCACTGTATTTGATTCTGTATTGAATACAGTGAATTGGCCCACATGTTCCTACCCTCCCCCAAAGAGTTTACAATATAATTGAGGAGATAAGTAAGACATTTCCCTAGGAATGTTCAATAAAAATTGCAATTCATGATTGGGTCTCAAGTGCCTGGCACAGATGGTCAGGGCTAAAAGTTCATAAGAGTAAGAAACCATGGAGGACTGGAATTAAGAAGACAGGGACTGAGTCTTTCAAAAAACTCTTTGTCTTTTAAAAAGTTTTAAAAGAAAGACCATTCTGTGTGGTTCTCCCAAGATGATTTATCTATTAAAGCAGCCTGATTTGCCTAGGTGACAACTGGGCTTTGCAGCTGTCAGAGCATAAAGAACTGAATGGAGCTTCCAGGGCTCACCTGGGCCTCTCCTTGCCTGACACTAGGGTACCCATTTAAAGAGCTGAGGCCAGATAGCACTCTGTTCTTTTATTAGTTTGGTTAGCTTCAAAATTTTCCTTCTATTTCTAAAAAGTCAGGGGTTAAACTTCATTTGAAAGCATTATGATGTGGGCATGACAGCATGGTTGGAGGGCTATAATTTGTGGATATGTGTTCTGGGAAAGATATTCTTCCAGGAAACTGCATCTCTGCTTGTCCCTGGGGTGAAAATTGGTCCTCAAAGAACCCATTTGTTCCCCTGATTGCAGCACTCAACAGCCGCTCAAAGCATGACTCAGAAATTTTAGGGAGGAGAGAAAGCATGGGATGCGAATCAATGAGTATTCTCAAAAGATCACCTCGGCCTTTTGATGAATATATATATTACCAGCTACAAAAGGCCTTTTGGATGGTGCAAATAATGGTGTGAATCTTCCTATAAAGAGGAGAAAGAACAGATTCTACTAGCTTGAGTCTAAACTGCCGTACCTCAGAAATTGGTTCATTCACATAAACCCATTCTTCTGATCCTGGCTTAGGTGGGGGTGGCACTACTGGAGCAGGTGACACATCTGTAGAGTCAGCAGGTGATTTCTTTACTGGAACTTTCCCTCCTGGAGATTTTCCTCTGGGAGAACCTTAAACATGCATATTAAATCATGCCATTACAAGGAGATGAATGGGACCAGATTGTGGTGGGTGGGTAAACCTATGGTGTCATGGATCTCAGGCAATTCATTAACTACATTTTAAGCAACTTTGGGCAGCCTTATCAAATAAAAAATAAAAAACGTCATTCTCTATAGCCCCCAAATTAACCAATAATACCAAAAGCAATTTTTTTTTAAAGCAATGCAACTTCTCTTGTCCAATTAGCTATGGAAAACAACTTGATATTTTATTTTCATTTCTGTCCTTGCTTCCACAATGAACACACGGGTTTTACAAAGTTTAGGCACCAGAAAAAAGTGTATTTTATTTACTATTGCAAAAACTGGCAAACTAAACACTCACCCTGAATGAGAAAGAGAGTAGCTGTAACAGGAGCGGTGCTCTTGGTGTTTTTTTGAAACCCAGGGGAGGAGCAGGAAGAAAGAATGCTATTGTAGGAGTCAGTGAGGGATGTAGCAGAGGAGAAGGGGTACCTCCTGAATATTCCCACATTCCCTGGATGAGACAGAGGGCTTCTGAGCGGGGGAATCTATATCTCTTTCTACAGTCAGGGTGTAGGGATGAAGGCGACTGCTGTACCGTAGGTCTGGCTGAATTAAGGCATGGGCGGGAGGGGAGAAGAAGGGAGCAGGGAGAAGGAGAGGGAATGGAAAGAGAGAGGAAGGAGGAGAAGAAAGAAAAGGAGGTGGAGAAGGAGGAAGAGAAAGCGGCCTAATTTCAGCTCGGAATCCAGAAAGGGCGTGTGCCCCACTCTCTGTGAGAACATCCAGGGGGGATTCCAGACCCGCGAAGCAGTACCCTTATGGTCTGAAAGATCCTGTGACTGATCAAACTACCTTAACTCAGAAAGCACTGATATTTCCTTAAAGGATCAAAGTTATAGTTTAGAAATTCACTCAGTTTAAATTCCACTTATTTTCAGTTTCCTTATTAAGATTTTAGATGCAGTTTATAGATGCCTACAGAATTTGCAGCACTTTCTTTCCCCAAAATATATTTCTTTGAGTATTATTTAACGATAATGCTGTTTAGAAAAGTAAATACATCTTCCACTTTTATACTAGTTTAAAATATATGGATTATAAGTAAAGGGGATATTGTTAATTATGTCATATGAACAGTTTAAATGACTTCTACTTATACAATTGAAACCAGTATTCGTCATCTACAAGTTTAAAATTCCATCTAGGTATTTTTAATTAGAAAAATTTAAGAGCATCTTTTTTCAGGTGAAAACCAAAAATGTTCATAACTTGATATATTTTTCTATATGATAATTTTTCATTCTCTGAACTGAATCTCTGGTGAAATAAAAGTGACAATACTATGGCCACTTTAAGATGAATTTCTCAAAGGAGAATTCCTAAGGAGAACTTTGTAATTATAAACGTGAGACTGGAATGAGTTCCTTTTTCTTCTTTTCTTACATATCATGATCGTTCAGTGAAAACTAAGGGAGCCAGGGAACATTTTTGGACGATGTGCTTTGATCTCATTTAACTTTTATCTAATTGTTAACAATGAAAATGCAAGGGTAAAAGATTTGAATGAATAAAAAATGTATCTATGTCACAGTGAGTGAGAGTAGATGCCACTTGTGAACAAAATCTATCGACATCTCAAATGTCATGAGGGTCATTCCTTGCGCCACCCACGCAGCCATATGAAGACTTCAGTTTCTAATAAGATATTTGCTTTCATTTGGAAGTTGGATTATTGAGTCCTCAATGTGGCCATTCTTATGCATAAAATTCTGGAGAGTAATCTATGCTTAGCATATAGTAAAGATAGATTTTAGCAAATTTTTTTTTTTTGGTCCAGTTATAAGAACCTAATGGTATTACACAGAAGCACGTGGAGCGAGAACAAGTATAAATAAAATAAGGTCAAAAGAAAAATGCAATTTTAGGACATGGGATTTATTTAATCATTTTATCTGTAAAGAAATGGTCAAAGTTGAATCTATAGAGCAATAGGCTTGAGCAAAGAAAATAACATAGTAGGAGCTCAGTAAAGGTAAGAATAAATTTCATCTATTGATGAGAGGACATTAAGAAAACTAGAACACTTTCAGATTAAGTTGGCACTACTCAGGGAGATGAGAGGATTGTAGGAAGAAGGAAAAGATGCAAAAAGTCTGATTTTTTTTTTTAAAGAAAGGCATTATTATTACCTTTCAGTCCTAAAATATTTCCTAGTAGGATCTGGCTTAATTAAGGGCTTCCCTAGGTAGAAGTTAGAGGACTGGTTAACAGTGATGGCTTTCTTATTGCCTTGGTTCAGCGAAAAATGACTCTGGTTGGTGACTGAAGTGGAGACTCAGGATGCCTTGGATAAGATGAAAATTTCTGCTCTGCAGCAATGTGGCCAGGAAGAGAAAGAGGTCAGTGCCAGGTAAGGAGCCAGAGATGGAACATGAATCAGCTTATTCTCCAAATCGCTATTGAGAAGGTAGTTTGGAAAAGTTTTCTCTCCTTGGTGTCCTAGAGTTCATGTTGTTAGTCTACGTGGAGCTGGAGATATGGAACGTGGACAACTATAAAGTAATGAGGACTGGTTATTTGGAATCCTTTATAGGACCTGATTTTAGTATAATTATACTCAGTGACAAGCGTTGGAAACTCCTTAAGTCAATTTTGCAAAGGATTCCCCTTTTTGCCCACAGTCTTTAATAACTTGGTCTGGAGTCAATAATCATATCCCATACTTATTTAGCCCCATTTACTCTGAGCCAGATTCTGTTCCAGCTGCTTTTTTGTAGTTTTACTAATTCCTTACTACAGCCACAGAGAAGTTATTTTTATGACCTCATTTTACATACGAGAGAACTGAGACTTACTAAGGTCAAGTTACTTGCCCTAAGTCACTCGTATGGTAAATGGCAGAGCTAGAATGTCAGCCCAGGCAGGCTGGCTCCAGAGTCCATGCATTTGACTGTCCTACTTTATTGCCTTTTAGTGTCTATTGATGTAATTCATGTTCAAAAGTGTTCATTAGACTGATATTTAGAAATTTGCAAGCTTTAGAGTAGTTCTTTTAATACTATTTGCTTAGCTCATAAATTGATTTTAAGACTGTGTTCTATTTACATTGCATTACAATTAAATTACAATTTAATTTTTCTACTTGTGGTGAAAATTTTATTAAAAGCTACAGTCTGAGAAGTCAATTCATTGAAAGACTCATACTAAAGAGTATAAATAATATTATTTAACTCATTTATATTAGATGATGGTATTAAGGCAAAATCCAGGGAAGCTATGAGAATAGTGTTGAGAGTTAATATGGAGTGTTGATGACATTCGCCAAAGTGTAAAGAGGCTCTAACTTTCCCTTCTCATAGGTTAATGATTCCTAACAAAACACTACCTTATTTATTTATTTTGCGGTACGCGGGCCTCTCACTGTTGTGGCCTCTCCCGTTGCGGAGCACAGGCTCCGGACACGCAGGCCCAGCAGCCATGGCTCACGGGCCCAGCCCCTCCGCGGCACGGGGGACCCTCCCGGACCGAGGCACGAACCTGCTTCCCCTGCATCAGCAGACGGATTCCCAACGACTGTGCCACCAGGGAAGCCCTACCTTATTTATTTTGACTCTCCATTTCCTCATCTTTGAAGTGGGAAATGATCATTTATACTTCACAGGTGGTTATGAGGATTATGCAAGAATATAAAAATTATCTTGTATAGTGCCTGGCGTAGGGTAGGTACTCCATAAGAGGTAGTTTGTTACTATGATTATGAATTATGTTATCAAAGGAGATTGTGGAATTTTGATATCTGAACCATGACTGTACATTAATCATCAACTTTCAGATGAAACCTAGTGTGTTTTGCATGTGCTCTAAAATCTATTAAGACCTTGTACATTGCACCACATACTCTCCTCTGTTTAAGGTCCCAGGTGATAAAAAATGTATTTTAGAAATTAATCTTAGAAAAACTTAGGGCTTTTTATTTCTATTTCAAAGTATTGTTATATACATGTTGCTTCTAAAATTGTAATCCAACTTAAATATTTTGGGGAACAGGACATATTATAAGTAATACGTTAGAAATAACTGAATGTTTCTGATATTCCAATGGCTAAAATTGGAATTTTAGTCTTGGGCATCAATAAGTCTTGGGCATCAATATAGTAATTCTTCAACTTTAGGGATCACCAGAATTCCCTAGAGGGCTTATTAAAACACAAATTGCTGGACCCCTCCAGGAGTTTCAGATTCAGTAGGTCTGGGGTGGGACCAAGCATTTGTTTTTCTAATAAATTCCCAGGTAATGCAAATGCTGCTGGTACAGGACTGAGCTTAAAGAGCCACCATGTTAGTAGATGCATCTAGGTATTTCAATTCCATTTCACTTTCATCTTTTTTCTCTGTTCTTCCATGTCTTTCCAATTAAATGTCATTAACGTTTATAACATTGACATAACATTTATTGCTACGTGGCCTGGTAGCACCTAAACTTTAAGTCAGATCAGAAGGCAAGCACTGGGACAGTCCCAACACTAATACATGGGCAGGCCAGAAGAACTAAAGAGATCGTGATTTCCAAACATTTATTCCACAGAGCTCTAGTCCCAATGGATACCCCTCCAAGAGAGAGTTCTGCAGCCACAATGTTTTGGGATATTACATAGTGTACCTCCTACTGCCTTAGAGATAGATGATCACAGGAGATACATATCTATATTGACATCTATCTCAGTTGAGATGAAAAACATTTTAATTTGATGTAACTCAGCATTTTCTGAAATTGGTTGATTAAGGAAAACTCTTCATTTAGCCCTTAATTAACACCTCCTATGTAAGGTCATAGAGTTGAAAAGCCCTTATTTTATGAAGGAGTAAAATGGGGCCATGGCAAATGGTTGAGGATAATAAGAAATGCTTTAAGAACACCATAAATACAATTGCAAATGGCATTTCCGTGTCAAGATTTTGGAGGGAGAAGGTTGGGATTGATCTAATACACAGAGAAAAATAGGGATGAATCGAAGATGCCAATAGCAGGAAACAATGATAAGTCTGAAGGAAGGAAAAAGGAGATGGCTCCTCAAACCATAAGAGATGTTTTCAGTATAATTGGTGTCAAACAGCCTGTGAGGTAAACAGATAACCAATCAATCGTGTTCACCCCCAATGGAATTAGTTCCAAATATTAAGAATTAAAATCATTAAGACTTCCTCTTAATGAAAGAAATCCTGTTATACATGCCAAAACAACAGCATTTCTATGTAAAAGAAAGACTTCTAAATCTTGATCGAGAGTTTACCTATTTCAAATATTATTGAACACAGTAGAAATTGTGTTTATGGAAATAGAAACACAATAGTAAAATAAAAGCAAAAAAATGTTTGAAAGTTCTTGGAGGTACTTAAACTGAGCTAACTGCATGACTCCAGTGAATATATATTTTACTGGTTGAACTTGTAGTTGCTTATGGTTTGAGTGTGTATACTTTCATCTAAGGATGCTCTCAAAGCATGTGAATTATTATGTCTAACTTGACGATTTGGCACCTAATATGCATAAATATATTTAATTCCTATTTTTGATGATTCTATGCTGATCCTTCATTTGCTTTTGCTGATCACAATAAGAAAGCAAGGGATGCATAATGTAAATGTGAAAATTATTCTCCTATTTGTAAACAGGTAAGATAGAGCAGAGCATAAATTATAGCCAAAATTATAGGTAAATTTTTCATCTCAGTGTTAACTCACCAATGACTCTAGTTATATATGCCTATGAGGTCATATAATCAGAGAAGGGTAAGATTCTTTGAGAATCATGGTTATGCATCTTTAAATGCCAAAATAAAGATCCTTTCAAGCCCATCATTTTCTGAACATGGCACAGTCTTGGGCTGCTACTACACTGGCAACTTGTAATGTAAAATTAAACAAAGGTACATACTTCATGACAACCCCCTTTGTATGTACCCTGCAAAAGTCAACTGTATGTGTCCGTCACTGCATTTCAATCTTTCATTGGTTGGTGTAGCAGCTTCAATGTACAATCTAACTAATATGCTTTTTAAAGCCTATTTTCTTCTACCAACTATCAATTATTTACAAAATTTTATCCTCCTTATTTCACAGAAATAGTTAAAATAAAATAGAAAAAAAAAAAAGAAATTAGGGTCAGGAAAAATGCAACTTAAAGTAGAAGGTCAAAACCAGGAGAGGAATTAGAAAGCAGACTCTGGGATCTAGGTCCTTGCGCAGATACTAAAATCTTATAGGCACTAATTTGTTTCTGCACTTCTAGACAGCCAAAACAGAAAAGGAAGTGCTATCAGTTAGAGGTGCTAACTATCTAGCCATGCAGAGGAAGAAAGATTTTCCAGTTCCTTGATTCTGAATGAAATTTCCCACCTAGGATTTCACATAGGGGTGACTGAATGATGTGGTGGGCATACTATCCCTTCAGAAAATAAAATACCAGGTTATTATTGGTATAATAAATGTTTTACCTCCACTGCTATTGTGTTGAGGACTTTATATCAAAGTGCTTATCAGTGAAAGCAATTCTATGGGGGACCCAAGAAAATATGGTTCAGCAAGTAGTTTTCTGATGGCATAGCTTAGCCCAAGGATAACACATATAATATCTATGATGAATGGATATTCTGTGTCTTAGATATTCTCTAAATTATTCCTCACAAGCATCACTTTTCTCAGCAGGGCCTTTGCTAAGACCCAGGCTACAGAAACACTGAGGTTCTGTTTTATTGGCAAGGGCTTATGGTTTACAAATGCCCGAGAGAGGTATTCAGTGTATACTACTACATAAATATAGCTATTTTCACTGAAAATTATAAAATGAAGAATTATATTTAATCGTATCTATCTTGATCTGTACCTTTTCTTTTGAGTGAAGTTTCACTTTTCTTCCCTTTTCCTTCCTGAAGAGATTCTCGATTACCATGCGGGGGTTCTAAACAAAATTCAACACATAATTATCATTGATGATTTTCTTCAATATCCTGGGCTATGATTTGTAAGCAATCAAATGCTATTTCTCAAAAACAGTTATATTTGTGAACTACCTAAAATGGCTTAGGCCTTTACTGTGAGTTAAAATTAATCTGAAGACAGACTGTGGATTGAAATTTCTTGAATGACAACCCTGATAGTACTATTCTATTTTGTGACATTGAGAAGTTGAGTCCTAAGCTTAATATCAACATTTGGTAGTGAATTTGATTGTAAACTCTTTAGTGCAAAATAGTTGTAGAATCTTAAAAGTTAGTCACAAGTCCATTTGAAGCAGATGGCTCTATTTGGATATAGTTCACCGGAATGATCCCTATACAATAAGACAACTGGGTCTGTGATAAGAATGATGCCAAAACACCTTGAAGAAGAGTTAAATAACCACATTGCTTTACTATGGAGCATCCTTGAACTTCTATTGACCCCACACTTGGTTGCCTTGTGACTTCTACATTCCACTGTGTGCATTGACTGTAACTTGTAATGCAAAGGATGGTTTGGGAATATATACGCTGGGTTCCCCGGAATCTAATTCAAAAATATATTGGAAAGGGGAAAGTGGGAAACTGATGAACTGGAGGTCAATAAGATGTCCCAAATTATAATTAGTTCTTTGAAAAAATCACTACATCCCACATAATTTGTCAAACAAGTTCAGTCGTCTTCCTCCCTTTGCCCTGGGCTACAGTTTTTTGTTTTTGTTTTTCCTTCATTGGAAGAATGCACATATGGGACAATTTAAATGCTTGTGATGGAGAGATCATCTGATCTATTCTTTGTATTTAGAAGTGTTAGTTATAAGAATGTGTAAATACATAACTCATATCACTTACATTTAAACATCTCAGCTCCAAAAACCAAGATTCCATAGAAATAAGACAAGGAAAGGATTAACCTTGAAATTTTGTTAACCTCCATAAAAGGACTTTTAAACATTCAAATGTTTTAAACACGAAACTCATTCATAAATAAATAAATCCAAACATTTGAATTAGTTGCTTTTTTTTTTCTTAGAAATAAGCTTAATAAAAAAAAGTCTAGATAAGCTCTTAGTTCCTTTAATAACAATATTCTGGGTAACCAACCATTTAGCTCTAAACTTTAGCAAAAGGCAACATCAAAGAGGGTAAAAATAGAGACATCTAAGACGTTGAACTTATAAAATATTGTGAGCAAGTCTAACTTCTGCTGGGGATAGCATGCACTCTGTCTATTTTTAAAAATTATTTCCAAAATGTATTCTGAAATTGCAAAATATATTCCTAGCAGCATGGATAGCAAGCACTACCATACTTTGTCACACTCAGAACTTTAGTTTTAAATTAAATTCTGACATTTGGTAGTAGACTTGATAATAAACCCTTTAATGGGACATACCTGTGAAGTTTTTCAAATTTAATCTCAAGTGCATTTGAAGCAGATATAAAATACAGAACTGTAAAAAATTAATAAACAGAAAGCACAAATAAATAGAGTCAGGAAACCAGAAGGGGGAACTCTCGTGCCCTAAGAGGACAGCATTGCCCAACAGGAGGAAGGAAGACTCCTCTTCTTTCCTGGCAAGGACTCAGCCAATGAAAAGCCATGGACTCATCAAGTGCTGTGGCCCTCCCAACTTCCTTTTCCCCTCTATAGAAGCATTCTCCTTCCCTTGTCATGCGGAGACTTGCACATGGCTTGCCATGGTTGCAGACCCCGAATTATAATTTCCTGCTAATTCTGAATAAACCCATCTTTGCTGGAGAAATATCTGGCAGTCTATTTGTTTCAGGTCAACAGACTCATATACAACGTAGAACTATATTTGGACAAAATGACTTTTAGTGCTTAGCGTACTATGCTTCCTTCTTTACCCTATTTCCACCCTTTTCTTTTTTTAGTAAATAATTTCTCTTTTCTTCTCAGCTTTTAAAGAAGATTGTAATTGGATGTTTGCTTTGGGCTTGTTCAGAAGCCTTAGGCTTTTAGTTCTGCAAGTATGTTCTTTTGAAAAAAAACTGTAAGTTATTTATATAAAAATAAACAAACCTGGGAACTTCCCTTCCTAAAATCATTTATCCCCTCTTCCCTGAGCTGTAAGGGCAGCGCAGCCTGTGCTATTGCCTCATCAACGTCTACTAGCACTGAGGTCTCCTTGCAGTGATGCGTTGCAGTTGGAAGGCAGTAACTGGGCCCCTGGGGATTAATTCTTCTATATATTTTTAAAGATCAGGCACTAACCCGGCCCTTGGTGGAAAAAAGAGACAGATACAACCACTCTTTGAAGCAACAATAGCTTTATTATTCATCCAATGCACTGTATTCAAGTATACAATTTTATTTAATGTCACGAGCAAACTTAAGAAATTTAAAGACTGAACCGTGTTGTAACCAGAAATGCTAAAAATGGGTTTCAGGGAATAGCTCCAATCCACAGATACTCCTGACTGTGAGGCCGAGGGGAGGAAAGGGAGGGGAGGCCACGGCCATAGGTTAAAGGCCTAGATGGGTAACTCCAGGCTCCCTTGAGCCTCTGTGGAAACTGTCTTCCCTGCTAAACAGCATTTTTAAGGTTTCCATTTGTCCTTCAGACCACTGCTTTGTTTTTCTAATGGGCAAAGTATGTATGGTTAATTAATTGCTTTGTGCTTTATTGTTTCATGTGATAAAATATTTTTTTTAGAATTTGTGTATTTTGCCTTTAGTTAAGCCCCATTTTATTGAAGTACAATGGTCTTTAATAGACCATAATATATGTTATTAAAGTTTTCAAATGAATTTGTTTAATATAAATAAATCAATTTTAAAAATCAGACCCATCTCAAATCTCCATGAAGTAGAAATATTATGGAGTTTAGAAATGCAATCATGACACAATATCAAGAATACCTAGGTAGACTTGTGTAACTGCACAGCCAGCTACTTACAAAGCTAAAACCAGCTACTAGAGCCACATTTGCTTCATACACACAGCACCAAACTGATCCTGGCATTCTCCCAATATCACACATTTCAACAATTGAGGATTTTACTTTTGTCATTATATTGTCTACCACGTAACTTAATGGTCCTTAGAGGTTTAAGCTAAAAAATATTCTCTATACAAACTCTATTCATGTATGTTATATATTATAAATATACAAGTTTACTGAGATGTCAGGTGCTTGTTTCTACCCTTTTATAATCACATAGCACTGAAGAGTGACAGTTACGTATAAATTTTAGTATCTAAAGAATGCTGTTGGTATGTTTCCTTATTCCTGTGGACAACAGTTTGTGCTAACTCTCATTTTCTGAAGATGGTCTTGCTTTTTACATAAACACAACTCTATCACTCTGCAAATAGACGTCTGTCCTCTTGATCTGCTCTAAGCTCCTTCTGGTATTCTCTGCGCCTTCCCTCCTCTCATCTGTGGTCTTATTCTAATCAGTAGATCTGGGTGTGAGGACTCCACATTCCTTCCCACACAGTAAAGTACCTCCGCTTTGTGACCGCCGTGCTCTCAGTGACTACTGCTTTTCCTCTTCATCAGAGCAGACAGCTTGCTTTCATATGACTGAAGTTGTTCAAAGCCTGAATCTAGATAAATGGACTGGTACTATAATTTATAATTCTTTTCTAAAATGAAAATGAGAAACTGGCAAACAGGATTAGAAATCGTTCTGTCAATCACCTGACGCTGGTTTTCCTTTTGCAGCAGGAGTTTTGGAACGCTCACGCTGACCGTGGACTTCCTTCTCTTTTTCTGGTTCAGGAGGAGGGGGGAGAGGTGATGTAGCCTCAGTTGGGGAAACTTCTTCTTTTTCCTCAGCTTCCTTTTCTTTTAATTTCTTTTTCACTTCAAAAGGATGATAAGAATGGACTTTTATTAGCGGCTCCAGACACCTACTATTTCACTTGAACTAAGATAAACCTAAATTAATATAAAACTGCTCTTACTGAATTAGGGCGAACTTCATGATTTAGGGATCTCCTTTAAATCATTCAGTCCTTAAAACTAAGATTTGAAGTCTTCTCTGCCTGGTTAGAAATACCGTTTACCCTGCCTCTGATGGGGATGATGGTGTGTGTGTGTGTGTGTGTGTGTGTATCAGGTGGGAAGGCTTGCTGTGCCATGTGTAAAACCAACAATCTAGAAGTAGCTGGTGTGCTGCGATAGAAAGATAAATAATTATGTCAAAATTTCCAGGGGAAAAGCAAGGTGAAAAAGCACAAAGAGAAGATGTCAGAAGGACACGGAAGGGAAAAGAAATGTGCGGCACCGACATCTAGGGGTAAATACATATGAAGCATTTAGAACGGTGCTCAGTACACAACCAAGTCTTGGCATTTCATTCTTTCATGCAGCAACTACTTATTGAATCTGAGTTGTGCCGTGAAGAAAAGGAAGGGTTATAACAATAAGGTAAAACTACACTAGTACTGTCAGTAATAATAATAATACGAACAATGCTAGGCAGAGTTGTGGTTGCCAGAGATACAAAAGTAAAACAAAAGAGAAAAATCACTGCTTTGTGAAGCTAAATAGGACAGAGTAAAGGGGGTCAGGAGTGCTGTGGGGCAGCTCTTAAAGTTTATTTAACCAGAGTGCTTTGCAGGGTAGACCCACTGAGAACGTGGCATCTGAGAAAAGACTTGAACAGGTTCAGGGAATGTGTGCTCCAGGCAGAGCAGACAGTCAGCCCGAGGGACTTGAGGGGCGGAGCAGGGCTGGTTCCTGAAGGTCTAGGCTCCTATCGTTGTTATGGCCCTTTGCTTTTCGAGATTCAGGCTCACCCTTCCCAGCATGCCCTCCCCACCCTCCCTGACTTCCCAGCCCTCCACCCTGGAAACGGCCGCAACTTTACCCCTGTAGCAGGGGCAGTGAATAACTGCACCCATGTAATGGCTTTTTTTTTTTTGCGGTACACGAGCCTCTCACTGCTGTGGCCTCTCTCGTTGCGGAGCACAGGCTCCGGAGGCGCAGGCTCAGCGGCCATAGCTCACGGGCCCAGCCGCTCCGCGGCATGTGGGATATTCCCGGACCGGGGCACGAACCCGTGTCCCCTGCATCGGCAGGTGGACTCTCAACCACTGCGCCACCAGGGAAGCCCCATGTATGGCTTTTATATCCATACTCCCTTTGCTCTCAGATTATTCTTTTCAATTCAGCAAGGCAAGGAGGCTTCATTCTATTAGATTTTTTTTTTCAAACTGGATTTTTTTCTGATTATAAAAGTGATATATAATTATTGTTTTAAAAATTCCCACAATTTAGACAAATAAGCAGAAAGAGAAGTTTCCTGTTGACTCTTTGTCATCCTTCTCCCTCATCAAGGATTGTACGGCCAAAGAGAAAACCACAGGCCCCAAATGGCATCACTTGTGCTAAATAAAGCCCACGATACCAAACCTAGACTTACTACCTGCCTCAGTTGCAGTTTCTACCTTCTTCAGAAATGTAATTTTAATCAACCAGCTTGGAATTTTCTGGTCAGCGCTAATGAGGTGATCTGTCATGTGGGTCCTCTCTATATATCCCCAGCCCCGCAAAGAAGAGGCAATCTGCATGGTAAAGACCCTTGCAGTTCCCTTCCTCCAAAAAGAAGATGTCCTGGCCCAAAATAAACCTTTTTTTTTTTTTCCCCTTTTGCTAATGACTTCCCTGCCCCACCCTCCTATCTAAAAAAGCCTTCCATTTGTACTGTTCCACGGAGTGCCCTTCTAGTTGTTAGATGGGATGCTGCCCAGTTCATGAATAGTTGAACAAAGCCAGTTAGAGCTTTGAATTTACTGGGTTGAATTTTGTTTTTTCTTAGCATATATTGTCAGACTCTTTTCTGTGCCTACATATTTAATAATAGACATACTTTTAAAACCAAAAAAGGACAATTTAAATATAACCTGATTTTCCCTACTTAACAGTATATTATGATCATTTTTAAACAGCAGAATATTTATAGAAGTACCGTATCCTTTTATTTTTAGCTTAATCAGGATGTTTAATACAGAGCACTGGGCTAGGTAAATGTTTATTATTTTAATGACAAAATATTCATTAAAAATAATTAACTGATTGGAATGTAAATCTTAAATAAGTGGCAGTAGAGTCTGTTAATGTAATAAGTGATCAGAATGTAAAATCTTTAAGAAAATGTTGAAGTGAGTCTGATAGCTGGCAAAAACACTGATTCTAATTGGTAGATGTTTGAAGCTACAGACTAGAATCAGTTTGCTTTTGCCTCCCAATCAAGACCCTAGAGGTTTCCTCCCTCCTCTCAGCCTAATTTCCGAGTGTTAAATAACATGTTACGCCTCTTATATAATATATGGGTTGATTTTTGTTTTGTCTGAAAGCTTCACATGGGCGTTTTTGGGGAGCAGACATTTCGATGTGGGTGCTTGTCTAAGTGTGAGCTCCTGGGTCCCCAAGGTGACTGTGGCTTATATCTATGCACTATTTTGGTGTCAGTTCACCGATACATTATAGTAGTTAGGTCATAAATCTAGGGATGGGAGACAGCATGCTACCAAGGCAGTTTTAGAATCCTTGTGATATTAATTTTGACCATTTTTTATTATACCAAGAAATTGCAGTTGTCAATATAGTCAGGGGTGATTGATAAACAAAAGGGAAAGATTTATTTCTGAATTCATTTCTCAAAGGTAAGATTTCCATTGAAGTCTGGCATTGGCAGTGTATGAGACTAAAATTCCTTTCAATAACAAATTCCAATAATACTATGAAAAGTTAATGGGCAATTACTATTGGTTGAATGAAGGAGGAGGGAGGTCGGGATGGTTTAATGTAGGTGAGATGCACCCAGGAGCAGGCTTATAAATAAGTAGTTAATAGTCAGTAAATTCATACCAACACAAGAAGATTTGGGGGGAATAATCTGCCTAGTGTTTTCATCCTAAAAGGATAATTCACTCATTGTTTCCTTATAATGCTGAGGTCAACAGATTGAAATCTATAACATCCTATAACATCCTTCTCTATAACATCCTTAATTTTAACTCTGCTATTTTTTTCACCTGAAAACAACCTTTCAGCAAGATGACCTCTTTTGATTAAATTAAATTAAAAGGAAGAAAGAAAAATCTTTTATTTAGAAACATTTGCAGTGGAAAGCTAAAATCAGAGGTAGAAGATACTTATAGATGGTATGATCCAAAGAGAAGAGAGAAATTTGCAATCACATTTTCACTTCCTCCTAAATTCATTAAAACCACACATTTTCGTTATGTAAGCTCAAAATTATAAAGAACTGTAATTACCTTTATTCTCTTTTTTCATTATTTCAGTCATAAACGTTTCCTTTACTTTTTGGCACAAAGACTGCTTATCTATGTCAGCATTAATTTTTATCAAAATGTTTTCTGGCTCTGTAAACCATTGCTCCAATAAAGGCCAGTTGTCCAAGAAGCCTACAATTCTGCAAAACCCAAATGTTATATGAATATAGCATATTGACTGAAAGATTAGAGTAACATTAAGCATGATTTATCTGATGAATGTAATGAAAAAATAAGCTGCCAAAAAAAATCTGAAAAAGCAACTTTAAGAAATCTACAGGCAATGAAATACTATCCACTTTAAAGAAGAAATCATTTAACGCTGTCTAGACATATATTTTGAGGTATATGAATGAGGAAAAGAAGATTTGGCAATTCTATCATTTCAGGAAACCTTTAGTGTGGGTTCACATCTCTAAGTGAAGATCTAAGGAAACATCACCTATACTCATAACAGACTAAACTCTGAACACCCTTCTGATGGTGGCTATAGCCTGGGCCATATAGGTCATCTACTTTTTCTTAGAGAAGTTAAAGAGACCTTTGTGTAAGTATAGATGGTTCTGACTTATTTGCTTTACTCAAATATACTCTTGGAATGATTTTTGAAACAGCCTTGTCTTCCAAGAGTAGACAGGCTTAATGTAGCTCAAATTCCTCTTCCCTGGTTCACTTCATATTTTTAGAGTTCTAAAGGTTTCAAAAAATTGTCTAATTTTGTCTAATTTTTTTTCCAATGAGCAAATTGCATACAATTGAAAGAAGGTTTTTTTAAGCATAACTTCATTTTAGTAGCACAGAAGTGGTTTTAGAATTACACTCTATAGTCTGATGCCTAGCTCTTTGACATTCCACGATCTTCCTTGGCATTTGCTGAATGAGGGCTGAATTAGGATTCCATATAATGAACTTGTAAGTTCATGTAGCCATAAAGGGAAATGTTGCCTGATTTAATTCTTTTCTTCCCAGACTATGATGACTTGTGCTCTGAATATAAAAGCTAACACGTAAATATTTCACTCAACATCAAAGCTACTTAGTTTTGTTTTACCTGTAAAAGACTGAATGCTAAGAAATACATTTATTTTCTAGATCTGATGATTCCAAAGTGACTAGTTGTCAGTCTGTTCAAAGGGTAAGAAACAAGAAGCAAGACATTGAGTTTTAAACTAACCTATGCTGTATTTGATCTCTTAAATTCTGGTCTTCATCCACATCTTGGTTTTTAGCAGCTACACGTTGATTTATGTCTTCATGAGGAGTTTCACTTGAAAATGCTTCAGCTATGTTATGGAAATTACTTAATTAGACAATTTGCTAAAGCAGTCAAAGTTGCAGCAGCACTGCTAAAAGATACTGATACAAGAAAGTCAAATAGACATGGTCCTGCCTTTGGTCCAATATTAATTAAAATGTTTAACAAAATGTTGAAAAAGTATAGTTTTGGGATCAGAATTCAAATTTCCCTTGGAAATTGGGGAAAAGGAGGTAAAATACAACATTAAAGAGGAGCTGTAGTTTTAAGGTAGAGCGTCTTGGGACTGACCTTGAAGAGATGAGAATAAAAAATGATGGTTTGTCATGAATAACAAATTAGGAAACAATTAGAAAATCAACACCATGCTGTAAAAGCTAAGAATGAAATAGCAAGGTGGCCATAAAGTCAAATATGCAACTTATTTGTGGATATCATATTACAGTACAATAAAGCGATTAATCTCTCTTTCTAAACTTTATGATTTTTCTAGAAGAGACATAAAGGAATATACGACAAGAGACCAAAACCAAAAACGATCTCAACTTCTCTGATTGAGTCTTATTCAGGATTAAGGTACAAAGTCCAGAATACTCATGAATTCAGAATAAATGGAAAATCATAAAGAGGAAAAAAACGCTTGAACTAGATTAAAAGGAATTAGATTACTCAGTCAATGCAAGAGAACATTGAAGAGCGAATTAATAGTGTTCAAGAAAATGAAGGACCTTCACAGGATATAGCAATCGATTGTCCTCCCTTTACATTCATGATAGAAAAAGAGGAAATTAAGTATTATAAGTAATTTAGAAATGACTTAAGGTATATGGGAGGATATGCATAGGTTCAATGCAAATATCACACCATTTTATATAAGGGACTTGAGCATCCTTGGATTTTGGTATCCGAGGGGGTTCTGGAATTAATCCCCTATGAATGCTGAGGGGAGACTGTATTACATTATTTTATATTCACAACAAAACTTGTGAAGTAGGATTGTGATTCTAAAATTGTCCCAAATGGCATAGTTCATAAATGACAGAGAAAGGATTTGATTCCAGTCAATCTAATTCCAAGCCCTGAACTTCTTTTTAATTTTTAAACGATTTCTTGAACTATACCTGTCAAAAAGAATGCATACATGATTATACAGCTCAATGACTTCCCAAACTGAAAACAGCACCCAGATCAAGAAACAAACATTATCAGCCCTAGAAGCCCCCTCATATTTCTTTACAGTCACTATAAGTGACTAAAGTTATCCATCCAGAGCCTGCACTCAAAGCCTCTCAGTACCTCTCCCCATATTATGAACACCGCTGTTCCCTCTCAGGCTGACCAATGGCCCAAGGCACTGGCTAAAAACCCAGGCAGCCACGTACTCTTCCCTTCTGACAAAAGCTTATGCTCCCACACTGGCTGAACCTTCTCCTTAGGTCTCCTGGTCTCCTACCAGTTGGCTTTGAGTCTGGGCCACTCCTCTCTGCCCAGCCCTGGCAGGACTGAGGTTCAGTCTTTGAGGCCGCTTGGCTTTGGCTGCATGAAGGCTGCTTCCCTGTGATGACATCCTTCAGGCTTCCCCATGGACCCCAAGCATTGCAGGGCCATGCTGCAGGCAATGCTGGTGACTGGGCTCCCACACCCCAGCCCAGGCCTCAGGACCCCAGCCCACTTGTCTGGGAGGAGGAGAGAATAACACCTTTATTTTGAAAATCTGTCCTCCTTTGGCTTATATGACATTACTCTCCCTGGATTTCTTCCTTTCTCTCTAGCTGCTGCTTCTAAACACTTCTTCCTTTGCTCTCCCCACTAGCTGTCTTGGCTGTCATCCTGGGTATTTTTTAAAATACACTTTTCTTCCTAGATGATTTGTCTTACCTTCAAGCCCTTAACTTTAGTACACACTTCCCTCCTGACATCGAGACCCATTTATAGAACTGCCCTCTGAACATCTCAGCTTAAAAGTCCCATAGGTACCAGGTACTTCAAGTTCAACATGTCCCTAAAGAAACTCTTGTGTTTCTTTCCATATTGTCTAAGTGAATGGTATTAGCATTCAAAAAATTGTGCCAGTCAGCAACTTGAAGTCACCCTGTTCTCCCTGCACTAAATTCACAAGAAAATGAATGCCCCCATCCCCACTGATCAGTAAGTTCTATAGCTTCCCCCTAAATAGCACCTGAAGCTGACTCTTTTTACCTTGCCTCTCTAGCTGTCTTAATGCCTTTGTTGCTTTTCAGATGGTGATAGTTTTATAACTCATTTCATTGCTTCCAGTCTCACTCCCCTTCCAATGCATCCTCCACACTGCAGCTAGAATGACCATTACGAAAAGCATATTGAATTGCATTAAATCTCAGCTTTAATAGAATTCGGTGACCTCACATGGCTTCAGGATAAAGTTCAAACACTAACTTGGGGCAAGACTTTTCAGCTGGCCCCTGCCTACCCTCCAGGCTCATTTCTGTCACTCTTCCACACCCTGCTGCCTCTCAGTCCTAATGATAAACTTGCTGTTCTCTAGACGGACCCTGCTTGCCGATTCCCTCGCCCTTCCTCCCTGTCTTGGTCTGGTAAATCTCTTCCCATGCTGGGCTCACCTAGTATAGCATATAAGTGACTATACTATAATAATCAGCTTACTTTTGTTTCTTCTCCCACTACATTGTCAATGAGTCGAGGACAGGGGCTTGCCCTTCATTTCTGTACTGTCAGTTCCTGGCACGTTATAAATGTTAGATAAATATTTACTAGTGGCACCCTTTTAGCTCCCATCACTCTATAACAGTGTTATCTGATAAGACAGATCTTTCTGAGATGATGAAAATGTCTGCATCAGTGCTGTCCAGTATGATAGCCACTAGTCGCATATGTATGTGAAATGCGGTCAGTGTGACTGAGGAACTGAATGTTTAATTTATTAATTTTAAATCATTTAAATAACCACCTGTGGCTATTGGCTGCCTTGTTGGAAGTACAACTCAATACTGTAACTCCTTGGCTCCTTAGCTACAATTTCCACTAAATTCTTTGAAGGCGGGATCCATTTCTTCTTTATTACAGAATCACCAGTGCCAATCACAGTGTCTGGCATTTAGCGAGCACGCAATAAACAGTAAGTGAATATGTGAATGAACAAGATATTTTTGAAGGATAGAATTTCATCGGTCCAAAAGAGTTCAGGTGGGGTCTTGCTTAAGATGAGGAGAGAAAATTGGCAAAGTGACCTTTCAATGGCCATCCCAATCTTACATTCTAAAAAAGAAAAACCTTAAGCTATGTAAGAGTCACACTTTATCTTAACTTAAAATACTTGAACATAAAAGCTGCAGATAGATTTTCAAAGTTGTGGACATATTTAGCCTACTCATTTCTGACCAAAACATGTAAGAACTATAAACTCAATGATTGCATACAAGTTTTTGTGATTTAGAAGAACCTAATCTAGTAGTTGGCTCAGTTCACTTCAGACCTAGAATATATATGATTAGAAATACATATAAAAATAAAAAATTAATAGTGCTTTAACACTAAGTTCTGAGGGCAGATAAATAAGATTATTTATGTGTATATGTGCAAAAAACTTGAAAAAAAAATTCTCCCTGTCGTAGTGAATAAAGGGCAATTCTGAGCCTAGTTATAAGTAAGTGGTCTAGAATTAAGAAATTAAACTAGTTAGATGCTAACATCAGCTTTGATAAATTTTCCAGAACCATTTGTCATGTAATTTTGATAGGGAATTGAAAGAACTCACACTGGATTGAGTAGATTTCTTGAAAAATTTGTGCCAATTGGTTTCCTTCTATTTTTTGAAACACACAACAAATGCTTCCTAGGGATCCTCAAGAGGGTAGGCAAAACTTCTAAGGCCCTTGTAGGATTATAATCAGCTTTCAGGGACCATCTCACCCACAGGTCTTTGTGTGTACTTAATAATTCGTCATATCTTGAAAGCAAGTCAGACTGATTTGAGTTCAGGGCCTTATTCTGTCAGTAGATGGCCACGGATTGGCAGTATTCTTTGCCAACCGTCAGATGATCCTGAACAGGGATGAGAATTTGGCTGAACAAGCGGAATCATCACTACTGTCAGCATAGCTCCCTTGTATGGAGAGAAGTAAATTCTCCCTTTTGAGATCTGATGGACAGCATCCAGTTTAAACTACTGGGCTCAACAGCTGAAGTCATATCTAATGGCTTTGCCATTTTATTTAAGTAAACAATGAAAGGAAGGTCTCAAGGGTTTACAAACTCAAAATAAGGAAGAGTGTGACCTTGGACGAGTCAAGTGCTCATGCTTTAAATTTCCACCTATAAATAAAGCCACTGGAATAGATGATCCCCTAAGTCTCTCCTAGCTCCGAATGTCATTGTGTTAGTAGTAACAGCAATAATGAAAGAATGATGTTACCATTTGTTAAAGGGCAGTTTTTTAAAAAGGTAAAAGCAAGACACTCAAACAAATGTAAAATGACATCATCTAATTTTTCAAGTAATGAGGGAACCAGTAAGGTGTGATGTTACAACTAGTACAAATGACAATCTGAATAACAGGCCTATTTACAGGTAGTCAGGAATGCTGAAATAGATGGTAATAGATGAAAGACTGGTTACTATGTATACGGCAATGTAATATTTGGAATCATCTTTTCAAAGTATAGAAATTAATTTTATCTGAATTAAATCAAATTCATTTGCATGTTCATGAACCAGAATCATTCGAATTACTATTAGTCTCCTACAATTTATAGTTACAGAAGAGCTGAGTCAAAGCCAATGAAAGGCATAGACCCCTCTGAAACCAGACACTCCTCAGGGTCCAAAAGACAGTACTCAACCTTCTATTGAAAGGGTATCCAATAATCTTTTGTTCATTTCAAAGTCTTCCACTATTTTTCCTAGTGGATACTATGTGCCTAGTATCATGTACCAGATTCTATACTAAATGTTTAACATTTATCTCATTTAATGCCTGTGATATTGTGATATAATAAGAAATATATATTTGGACTGTGGCTCCTGACACAGAGCTCTGAAAACCCTTGTAATTTCCTGAGTGATAGAGGTAAAAGGAGCATTTATTTTTATTCATAATATGCCCCTTTCAACTTTATCTGAGTTTATGTCAAAGAGGTGACTCTTGGATGGTAGGACCTGTTGCCTGAGAAACCAAGTGACTTGAGGGCTAGAACTTTCAGTCCTACCCCCTGATCTCTAAGGAGGGGAAGGGACTAGAGACTGATCACCAATGCTCAATGATTTAGTCAGTCATGCCTACATAATGGAACCCCCATAAAAACTCTAAAGAAGGGATTCAGAGAGCTTGTGGGCTGGTGAATGCATCCACGTGCCAGGAGTGTGGCAGCCCCTGAAACTCCATGAGGATAGAAGCTCCTGAGCCTGGGACTCTTCCAGACCTTGCACTATGTACTTCTTCATCTGGCTGCTCATTTGTATCCTTTATGGCATTCTTTATAATAAAACAGTAATAGTAAAGTGTTTCCTTGAGTTCTGTGAGTTATTATAGAAAATTATCAGACCTGAGGAGGGGTCATGGAAACCCCCAATTTGTAATCAAGTCAGACAGGAGTGTGGGTAACCTGGGGATCCACTACTTGAGACTGGCATCTGAAGTGGGGAGAAGTCTTGTGGGACTGAGCCCTTAACCTGTGAAAACCTGTGATAACCCTGGGGAGTTAGTGCCAGAATTAGCCTAAATTATAGGACCCCCAGTGGGTGTTTTTCAAGAACTGGAGAACAGGGTGGTATGGAAAACCCACACACCTTTGGTGTCAGAAGTGTTGTGAGTAAAGAAGCAGTTTTCCTTTAATATCCAAAACAATACAATGAAGCATTCTATTATATAGGATGTGAAATGGAGGTTTAGAAGAATGAAGTACCTTCCCCAAGGTCAAATGCCTAATAACCTGGAAAGCCAGGGTTCAAGAATATGTGCTTTTACCCATAACCACTGAATTTGTGGAATAAAGTAATATTTTCATTTCAACAATGAGAAGTAGTTAAATAAACCAGGAATCTTGGCAAGACTATTTGACCTCAGTGTGGAAGGACTGCAGCCAACTGATACCTGCTCCTCAGTTAACACGCAATCCAAGGGAAGGATGTTACCAGATGCTTGCTTGCAGCACCAGTGTGGTTCATGAGTTTCATTTGGGTGGCACACCAAGATGTACTAGGTAGCTACAAGAAGCTCCTCCACGTATGCAAGCCTCGAAAAGGAGGGCGCCTCTCTGCCAGGGGGGCTGCCAAGTTGATGAAAGGGTTGAATGAGATGCTTGTAGTTGGCATGGAATTCTCCACGAGCTCCAGGCTTGGGCTACAGTGCTGAACACTGACGGAGCCCCAGGAGGCAACTGTGCTGGACTAGGTAATTCTTTGGAAGCCTAAATGGATTCTTTATTATCCACTTATAATTGTAAATGGGAATATTCACCATTTCAGGCAAAGAAAAATAAAGAGCTCTGAATTATAGAAAAGAATATTTTAAAAAGGTGTCCAGCTTACCCATGATGTCATTCATGCGATTCAGTGAGGAATTATCTGAAATATCTAATAACATGACAAAATCCAATGCAGAAGCGGGAAGAGGCACTTCTCTGGAAGTTGTATGGTCAACAGCCAATGTGGATATTTGTGATTTCTTTCCCTCCAGTTCTATGAGGTTTCTGTTGCAGCCTGTGAGTGCTTCCTCCAGAAGCTTCGCTTGGTTTAATGTCATTGGAAAGCCATCCAGGACCCAGCCTTTATATATAGGTATCTGACTAAATCAGGAAAGGACAAATCATTAACATTTTGATAGACACAAGTCCTTTAGGAATAATAACACAGTGAATCTTGCCTTTATCTTTCTTTCAATTTCACAGTAACCTCCTTCTGCATGAATTTTATTTCTTTACAGCCAGAATTAGGTTTCCTAATGTACCACAATCGCTCCCTTGCTCAAAATCCTTCTGTGGGTCCCTGCTGCCCTCCAAATCTATTCTAGAAGCCATAACATGGTATTTAAAATGAACTGGCCACAACTTACTTCCCTATAACTTCTTCTCTCACAATTTTGAACCATTCACTTTGAACACACCGATCTCCTCCCTGTTATGTGAGTATAAACTGTACTTCCTAGCTGGGTTCATAGGCTGTTCCTCTTTAAAATCTCAATTTCCTCATCTATACAGCGGGATAACATAACACACCTCACAAGATGCTGGTGAGGATGAACTGAAATGACACATTTTGAGAACCCAGCACAGAGTGTAGCATAAGGTGGATATTCACATCGCCAACCTGGAAACTTCTTCCTACCCCACCCAATCCAGCATGGAGTCATAACAGCCTGATCTGAACTCCTCTGGACTCTCAACCACTGCGCCACCAGGGAAGCCCTAACTCTTATATTTCTTGACAGAAAAATTCAAGTGAGTCTTCTGTATCTCAGTTAGATTATAAGTTGCTAAAGGGTACGGGTCATTTCTTTGGTTTTTGTACTCAGTGCAGCATCCTCTATAGAGAATAGGTGCTCCAGGAATTATTTTAGTTCTTTAAATTGGAAAAAAACTTCAGCTTTGCTCTTCCAAAACCCTTCAATGATGTAAGATTAAGATTTTGATTTTTGGATAAAAAGTTATGACTTCATTTCTTTCTCTGCTAAAACTCATTTAAACAATTAGAATCCCTTTCTAAAGGCTTGGAAGTCTGCTTTGGTGCCTGTACATGATCCTTCTATCAGTGTGGCAAGGAAGAAGGGGGGAAAACCAAAGTTCAGAGAGGTTTTATTACTTGTTCAAAGTCATAAAATTGCACGTGACCCCAAATCCAGTGATCTTTCCACAGTATCAAGCTGCCTTCAAGTCACGGCTCCTATTACCCCTATTAGGCTACGAAGAGAAAGGAAAGCCTGCATTTTGCTTTGATAATTTGTCCAGAGTGTGGTAAGCATTCTGCACAGAATGAGTTTGTTGATTCATTGGCCTCAGCTAGAGGAGAGAAATTTCTTGAGCACTTTACCAGGTCTGAGGGACCTCTTCTCCCACCTCCAGTCTCAGGAGCTCCTTCAGAGGGAGGAGGAGGTCAGGGCCACACTTGTCATGATGTAGTGTGAGGACACCAGACAACAGGGAGTGAGGAGGCCTGGGCTTTGGCTCTTGCTACGCCACTAACCAGATACGTGACTGGATTGCCTAACTGAGCTGCCACGTGCCTTCCTTTCCTCACTGAAAAAGGACGCATTTGGACTAAATGAAAGGATGTCAAACTGATGACAGTTCTCTAACGGTGCCTCAGGGGCAGAGGGGATGACGGTAGTTGTGGTGGTGGTGGGAGGGTAGTGGAGTTCTGGGGATGGGGTGTAGACACTCCAACTTCAGTGAAACCACAGCTAAGATCTGCTTTACAGCTGATGCTTTTCATATACAATTTTCTTTGAACAAGGACTCCCATGGCTTATTCCAGTACTGAAAAATGTTGCAACTATTAGAATGAGATCCCTTGCAGCTTTGAGAATAGCATCACTGTAGCCCAGTTTCTTCAGTGTTGCATTCAAAGAGTAATCAGTCCAAGATACATCACAACTGAGAGGCAACTTAAATCTTTAATGAGGTCTCTTAAGAAAACTCTAAAGGGGGAGTCCATTCCAGATGCCTGGCAAAACTTCTCCAAAACTTCCTGTTCTCACATCTCTCGGTCTTAACGTTTCTCAGGCAGCAGAGCTACCCCAAACCCCTCACTCACTCGAAGCTCTGCAACACCCTGCAACAGGAGCCTTGTTGATTCCTTTTTCCAGCCTGTTCAGCCTCATTTCTTTATTACACGGATCAACGGAGCACCTATGGCTTCTTTTAATTTCTCTCTTTTCTGTATTGTAAAGGAGGGCTGAGGAGAATCCTCTATCCTTAGAAAGGAGGAATTATAATATTATAGCCTACTTAAATTTTGTCTTTACCCTTATTGTACATCATCTCTGTGCTATGCATATATGTGAGTCCTTGCCTGTGAAACCTCTACTTTCTCATGGCCTTCCTACCCTGCACTGCCCAGCCTTTGGGTCGCAGGGTTCACTCCCTCCTCCAGAAACACAAAATGAGGAAGCACACTGGCCCGTGACCACATAGTTAGGGTCTCTCTTCTCCAAATCCCTTGGCTTTCCGAAGTATCTAATTTCTCCTTGAATTCCCCACACAGGATAGAACTTAACCTGAATTCACATCTGGGTGAATGAAGTCAAAGTTGGTAAAGGGTGGGGGGGGGGGAGTGAAATATAGACATGTAAATCACAAAATTTATCTTTATCTTGCTGTGTTTTCTTAGGTAAATTCATTAGATGCTGAACATAAAAATATTTCTGTATTATCCTTTATACAACTCTATTTGATAAAGAACATATTAAATAGATATAAAAGAGAAAAGTGTGATACATACTTAATAGCATTTACCATGATGCTGACTAGCAATGTATCAGATATGCTCTTTCCTTTCTTCAGCAACTTTTCTGATTTTGCACCAAGCTGAGCACGCACAGTGAGCTGTGAAAATAAACAATGGTAGGGGACAGCTAATTTAAAAGTCAGATTCCAAATATTTGGAGGGAAAAAAATTAAATGGTCGTGTTCTCTGGTGAAGACACTTGTGATAGTTTAGCACAATTTTGGAATCAGCCAAGCGTTTAAGGAAAATGTATATGCAGATTTCGGGGCTCCTCCTCTGACTCCCTCCTTTCCAAGATCTTCCTCTTTAATTACCAGCTGCTCTGGCATCCCCAAACTTCACTCTCTAATACCTTAAATCAAAGAGATGAGGGCTTTCTTCTCGAGTTCTAACCACTCGCGGCACGCAGATGCGGCACGTCCTCTGGGGTAACTTGCATAAGCCTGGCTTTTGCCCACTGAAGTTTTCTTCTGTCAATGGTCAAATCCCATATATTTTCTGCCTGGTTTTTGCTGTTTGCTTTTTTGCTGCCTGCTTCAGGCCCTCAGATAATTAGCTTTTGTATTTTGTCCAGCTTTTATATTGTTATCTGTAGGAAGGCTAGTCTAATTAAGCTACTTCATATCCACAGGAACATCCCTAGCGCCTATTCTGAAATAGAGTCAGCCACCAGAGTGAACATTTTATGAGTCAAATGATACTCTGTCTCTACTGAAAACCCTGCAAAGGCTCCTCCTTTACTCCCAATGTCCTCATCATTGCCTATAAGGCTCTGGCTGCCCTGATTCTTCTCCCTTTCCACTCATCTCTCTAACCTCATCCCTTCTCTTCCCCCACCTTGCTGGCCAACCATCTTTCTGCTTCAAGGCTGTCATCCAGCTATTCTGGCAGCCTGAAATGGTTCCCCAGATCCAGTGGGTGATTCTTTCAATCTGCTTAAATCTCACTCTCTCAAGGTGATCTCCTTACCCTCCTTTTTCTTTTTTGATGGCATCATCACCATCTAATGGTTCATATAATTCATTTATTTGTGTGTTTATGGTTTATTATCTCTTTCCATCTTTTAGAATGTAAACTCCATAAAGTCCAGGAACCCTGACTTTTTGGTTCACTGACATACCCACTCCCCCTTTATAACAACGCATGGAACAAAGTATGCCCTTTGAACTGAATTGAATATGGAATTTGGGGGATTTGTAACTCAATAAATGTAAACATAAAACTATAGTTAGTCTTTCTGTGAATTTACATTTAAAATACACAGGTAAAAATTATAAGTCCCCCTTTATCACTTTCTCTAAACCCATTTCTCTCCCATAGGTCATCACATTTACAGGTTGCTATATATTCTTCCAAAACTTTTTCTATCTTTAAGCAGTTTTGAAATCTAAAATATTATGAAACTGGTTTCCTTGATGAAACAAACAATAAAAGTATATACTTTTATTTATTTACTTTCATTTTATTTAATAAAATCCCACTTGATTAATCTGACCATTCTATTTGACGATCAAAAATGTTTCCAATATACAGTAAAGCAATACTATATATAGAAATATTAGTTTGCATTAGAAGCAGTAGCCTATAGATTGTTGTAAACCTTTTTTCAGGGATTAATAAAAAACTGCAGAGTCAACAGTAAGTCTAAGGATAAATTCTGGAAAAAAAATCTTTAAAGGTAAAGAAATTGTGAAAGGAAATAAAAGTCCTAAATTAAGAGGTAAAGAAAAACACATAAATATAAATTTGGCATAAGTCTAAAATTTTTAAAAGCACGTGTTTACTTTCTTACCTGGCAAAACTGAAAGCAATTTCCACTGCTTTAGATTCAAAGAATATTAAGAGTATAAAAAATATCAAGTAGATTCAGGTTTAGCTAATTTCACCATCAGATTTATTTTAAGCCAAAGAGGAGCACATTGCTATTTCATTTCATTTGAAGATGAAAATGCTGTGAAGAGGCTATGAATCAAAACACATTTCAATACACTAGTAGCCAAAGTTAGGTTATAGTACTTACTTCAGAGAAACGATCACTTGCTACGACTTCTTCAGCTTTTGGTGTTTTTCTAGTATTGGTACCTAGCAATAGAAAAAGTGGTAAGAACATACTCTGGTATTTACAGTTAACAACCATGTCAACATTTGACCATCTATGGCTTTGGACATGTGGATTATTGGATTCAGCTATGCCTGAGACACTCAGAGGAAAGAAGTAAAAGCATCAGCACAGCATGGCGTTTACCTTCATTCCACAACATTAAGTCCCTGCCACTGTGTGGTTTGGTGTTTTCTATTTCCTTCCAGTATGGCTCACTCAGAACAATATCATTAGAAATACTTTAACAGAGTTTGGGTTCTCTTTCCGGAAAACAAGCCAAGATCTCAAGAGATGTCATTAAGATGTTAATTTGTTATGTTTTTACTTTCCTGGATTATCAAGTTACAGGTAACAAACACTTCTAAATGTGGAAAACTCTAGAAGTCAGAGGATTTTTTTAGTTAAATTCAGTGGAAAAAATAAGTTTTCAGAGTCTGTTTATAATTTACTGGACTTCTGTAATAGAATATGTCACAAAATATACTTATGATAGTTTAAAAAAATCAATTAAAATTATCTTGTAAGAAACAAATAACTGAAACAAGGGACAGGTTATGTTCTTTTAAAGGATGGGAAACTTGACTGCTCTGACGGAGTTGCCTGCTCATAATAAATGTGCACGTTGTTCAAGGGTGATAGCAAGAATGGTGATGACACAGAAGGAACCGATTTTATGCTAGAATATGAGGCAACGATTGAATATGGCAAACTAGCACAAATAGAAAAGATATTTAAGATTTAAAATTGTTTTCCTTCAATGGTTCTACCAAGGATCTGAAGGATTAAAGCCCAGATCCCAAGGGAGGTAACGTTTCATTGGTTTTGGGAAGCTTGCTTCTATTTGCTTTGCCCAAGGCTGGGAATAAACTTAGCTTTATCTAAGGAACCACTGCTCAGGTGGATGGAAGAGACAGAGCTGCAGCCTTCCTCATCACAGTGAACAAAGCAGCAGCTTGCAGAGAGCACAGCAGTACTCCCCCCAACTGCATGGGTGAGAAGAAAGCATAAACTACTGTCTCCCTGCAAAGCCAGGAAGAGTGACGATGATTTAGCCTGACTGTTTTCAAAACCACAGCAAAACTGAGCAACTACTTGAAGGGGTGTGAGAAGATTCCTTTGAAATTGTCATCTCTTATCCCCAGTTGTAGACAGTGGTTAGGGACGTCTGGGTTTATCTTGCTGTCTCTGTCACATGACCATGTAGACAGCCATGCATCCCTCCCCGTCTCCCCTTTCTTTCCCTGAAAGCTGGTTTGTGCTCACATCCGTGTGCTCTTACTGTTTGTCTATTTGTCTCTCTCATGAAAATGATGGATGATTTGTTTCGACATCTTACTTACTAAGTCTGCTTTTATCTTCTGTTTCTGGTAATGTTTCAGCTGAAAATACATTTTGCAGATCCTTTGGGGAGGAAACACATGCGAGCACACATGGAGAGATTTTAACATTGTCATATTTTAATAACATTCTTAATTTTATGTCTATAAGTAGGGTTTAAAAACATAGACTATTTTATCTAAAACATTAATGATATTAAGAAGAGCTCAGTGAGTTCTGGAAGCAAACAAAATTTGATAATTGTACTTATAGAAACACACAGTAACCCATGGTATAATCTGTCTTTCAATTTCTATGTAAAATAAAGCAACTGCCATTTTGAAAGTATAATGGGAGCTGAGAAAGCGGTAGAGTTTGTGGAAAACCACCTTAGAAAGAACAATCTTAGAGGTGTCAGTCATAGCCAAAAGGGAAATAAAGGAAAAACATGTACATTATCTATCACTGTATTGATTAGAATACAGAGTACCACAACAGAGAAGAGGCAGCCCACCGTGAAGAAAAACTCTCCCAGTTTTTTCCAGAATCACGTTTAAATGGTATTTATTTTGCAGCTCATGCAAATGACCTGGATTAGATTCTCTGCTAATTTATTCAATTTCAGAAACAGGATAAGGCAGGGAAAAGAGTACTGGATTTAGAATCTGGGATTCCAATCACAGCCTAGCCGTCAACAAGCCTCTGACCCCAAGCAAATCAACTCATGCTTAGGGTCTCTACTGTCTCCCTTTAAAATGAGCAGGTTGGACCACACCATGATTCTCGGGGGCTGGGGGGGGGCACATTCTCCTAATTCCTGCCCTAGTATCTTTATGTAATAATGTAGCAAGATGCAACACTGACAGAAACGGTAATGCAGGTAAACCGTAAGAGACCTTCCCCTACCAGCCACCCGTCAAAACTGAGATCTACTAGTCTAGATCAGAGGTCTGCAAACTATGGTCCCTGGACCAAAATCGACTGGCTGTTTTTACACCCTCACCCTCTGTCTGCTCCTCTCCAGCACCCTCCTTGGCTGCTGCCCAGGACTGGCATCAGGCTGCATCTACGAGATGGGGACTTGCCGTTGGCCACTGTCAGGCTCTCGGGAGTGGACTTCCATTCTGAGAGCTGGTGACGTGGCGAGCTCATCCAAAACACTCACCCCTCTCCAAGCCCTCACAATTGGGCCCCTCTACCCCTTTACCAACTTTACCAGCTGGTGGCTCCTTCCTCAGGAGAATGTCTCCAGCTGATGGTAACTGGGCACAAAGCCAGCCCACCACCCTGGATGGCCCACCTAGGCAAACTGATGTGTGTGTATGTATGTGGGGAGTGGAGAGGGGAGTTGAAATTTTCTCTCATTATGTAAGTACCTATGTAATATCCTCGATATTGCTTCTGGGCCCATAAAACTTAAAATATTTACCCTTTGGACCTTTACAGAAAAGTCTGACAACCTGTGGTCTAGAGGATCTCTTTAGATGCCATCCAGTTGGAAATCTCTAATGTACGAGGTGAAGAAAAGAAAACTAAAATCTCACTTGCCTGGTTTTCTTTACTACTCTCTTGCCTAACTGGTAGAGCCTTTTCTTCGGCCACTTTCTGAAGGGCTCCGCTGATCTTCTCATTGTTGTGAAATGCTTGGATCGCTTCTTGGACGAGAGTGTCAACAGAAAGTACCTGAATAGGAAAGCCTAAAATACAAAAGACAATTTTATTAATAACTTTTCAAATAGGAAATTGACATCATTGTTCTTCTGTGCTGGCTTCACCCTTAGAGTACACTGTTCAGGGTGCCCCAGCAATGTTTTTTGGATCAAGCTGGTTTTTTTACTATGGCGGTAAAATTCACATAACATAAAATGAACCATTTTAACCGTTCTAAAAGATGCAATTCGGTGATATTTAGGTCATTACAATGTTGTCCAATCATCACCACTACCTTTTTCCAGAAAATTTTCATTACCCCAAAGGAAACCCTGTATCCATTAAGCAGTCACTCCCTGTCTCCCTACCCTTGCCAACAACTAATTTGCTTTCTGTCTATGGATTGGTCTATTCTAGATGTTTCTTATCCATGGAATCATACAATATGTGGTCTTTTGTGTTCGACCTCTTTCACTTAGTACAATGTTTTCAAAGTCTATCCATAGCACGTAGAGTACTTCACTCCTTTTATGGCTGAATAATATTCCATTGTATGGATATATCACACCTTGTTATCAGTTCAGCAGGTGATGAATATTTGGATGGTTTCCATCTTTTGTCTATTATTAATAATGCCGCTATGAACATTACTGCATATGGTTTTTTTTGAACACCTCTTTTCAGTCCTTTTGGGTATATACCAGTGGTGGAATTGCTGGGGTCATATGGTAATTTTTTATTTAACTTAATGAGGAATCACCAACTACTTTCCATAGTGGCTACACCATTTTACACTCTCACCACCAATGTATGAGAGTTCCAACTTCTCTATATCCTCACCAACACTTTTTTTCCAATTTTAAAAAATTATACCCATCCTACAGGTTGTGGAGTGGCATCTCACTGAGCTTTTGTTAGGCTGCCTTTTAAAGAGGTCTATTTAACATCTCAATAATGACTTACCGTTCTCTGCCTTGGACTGTTACAAGACAGACTGGCCTCAGTGAAAAATTTGAGTTTTCCAGTAAAAACAGTAAAAGGTAAGTATTAGTGAAGAAAAACTAATTAAATAGATGGAAAACTATGATTTCGCTTCTAACTGAAAGAACTTCTAGATAAAAAGCCAAAAGTTTATTAAAGGGAAAGAACTCAATCAATGTGAAGAATTAAAGCATTTATAATTTTAAGTTGATATCCTGTCTTTCTTTTTTTAAAATGAATTAATTAATTTATTTTTGGCTGTGTAGGGTCTTTGTTGCTGGGTGCAAGCTTTCTCTAGTTGTGGCGAGCAGGGGCTACGCTTCTTTGCAGTGGCTTCTCTTGTTGCAGAGCATGGGCTCTAGGCGTGTGGACTTCAGTAGTTGTGGCTCGCGGGCTCAGTGGTTGTGGCTCACAGGCTCCAGAGCGCAGGCTCAGTAGTTGTGGCACATGGGCTTGGTTGCTCCACAGCATGTGGGACCTTCCCGGACCAGGGCTCGAACCCGTGTCCCCTGCATTGGTAGGCGGATTCTTAACCACTGCGCCACCAGGGAAGTCATGATTTCTTTTCTATTTGTGACAAGTTATTTCTTTCCTACGTCATCTATTGGTAAAGTAAAATCTATGATGAAAGTTTAAGTAAAGTTTAAGACATTATTTCTCTTTATACTGTGCATCATAATTATATAGCAAGCTCATATATCCGGGTTTCCCTGGGACAGTCCCAATTTATAACTCTCTACTCCTAAAAGTGTCTGACTTGGACAATAAATTATGTGATTACCTTATTACAAAATTCTTGATGACAGAATTTCCAAATATATTTGCAGATTCTTATGTATGTTTTCTACAGACATAGCCATTTGCAGCTAGAGTCATTGCAAATAAAATCCAATAAAGGAAGAAAACACAAACAAGAAAGAAATTTTACTTTTCTCTAGAGACTTTAGAGCAGTAGTTTTTCCACTAAATGTTTTCCCCAACACGCATCCTTTTATAACAAATGAAGGTAACTCAGGTACTGTTGATTCAACTTGAGAAGGAAGAGAGCTTTCAATTAGTCTGTGAATCACATGGCCCAATATGCAATTGTTGGAGGGTGGTAAATTATCAACCATTTCTTCTGGTAAGGCCCATTCTCCAACCATGTTCTGCAAAAATAATAATGAAACAAACAAAACAGAAATATTCTTCAAAGTGGAAATTAAGTATGTAGGAAATATGAAAATTGAAAGTAAATACAAATTATAGCAAACAAAAGTGAATCAATACTTTAAATAATTACATTACATAAATGAGTAATAACATGAATATTACTTTCATATTAGACAGTGAAAAATGAGCTTCCCATATTAAAGTAAAAAAAAAAAACAAGCCTCTAAAATACTTAACAGTTTATGAAAGTAGGCATATTGAGTTGAAACAAATTGTAATGCAAGCTGAGCATAAGACACTTAAATTGATATTATCAGTAGAGAGATAAAAGACAGTAAGAGTTATTCGGCTACCCTATGCAAGTACTAAGCATATAGGATGGATTAACAACAAGGTCCTACTGTATAGCACAGGGAAATATATTCAATATCCTGTAATAAACAATAATGGAAAAGGATATGAAAAAGAATGTATATATATACATGTATAACTGAATCACTTTGTTGTACAGCAGAAATTTACACAACATTGTAGATCAACTATACTTCAACAAAATTTAAGAAAAAGAAAAAAGAAAAAAAGTAGCAGTGTTCCTAGAAGTAGCAGTTGAGTTCCTGGTGCAGAGGTAGCTGCTGCAACCTGAACCTCTAGTGCTCCGTGGTGGTGACAGTTTTCTCATCAGAACTTGCTGTGATGGTTCTGATCATTTTCTTTGGAAGTTTAACCTTGAGCCTGGTTCTTGAATCTACCTACTGGTTCACTAAACTACCCAACATATTTTGAATGCGTTTTCTGCTTACTCAGCATAAGTCAACTTTTTTGCTTGCAATTAGAAACTTTGACAAAAATCATTGGAATTGACAAGAAATAAAGAGACAGCCTACATATAAACAGCCTCATATTTCTACTGAGGAGTGTAAGAAAAATGACTTGAATAAAGGGAAAGTCAAGAAGGTCCAATATTATAAGCCGTTTAATTCTTCTCCAAATTAATCTGACTTAATGAAATGAAACAAAAGTGTCATTTTTGTTTTCCTTCAGGATGATATCCAAAATGGTTCTAAAGTTGAAGCAGAAAAAGAATTGTAACAGATAAAAACATTCACTTAAAAACTGAAAAAGAAGAGTAATATGGGAGTGTTGCCTAACCAGATGCTAAAGCACTTATTAAGAACAAAGTAATGAAAAGGAAGATTTGCAGAAACAGGGTGTTCAATGCACAAAAATATAAATTCTAGAAACAGATCTAAGTGTGTGTAAGAATTTAGTACCTAGTGAGATTTATATGTCACATTAGCAGACAAAAAATTAGATTATTTTACAACTGGCATTATCTGGTTTGGTGCCTGAATTTATGACATGAAAACACAAGAGATAAAGAAATACTTTTTGAAACAAATAAAGAAGTATTCAAAATAGGTTTTTCTTTTAAATTGGTAGAATTTATTAGTATATACATATATTTGTCACTTCTATACAAACTACCCTTTATTTGTAACATTTATTTTGTTTTAGTTTAATATCTTTGGTTTTTCTAACAACTCTGTGCATAATAATTACATGCATTATTCAAAATTAGGTAAATACTGAATTGATTTGCATAATTATTGATTATTATGATTTATTACTTGTTTCTGCTTTCATTCATTGGAATCATTTATACTTCTAACTAGACAAGCGATAATTATTCTATGTAATGTGGCAATCAGAAAATAACCAAATAAAAAATGGAAACAAGAGAAACTGTGCTATTTTAAAATTATAAAGGCTATAAGTCCAAGGTCAAGTTTAAGTGGAAAGTTTTGAATGTTCTAATGATTTTTGTGCTATGCAGTCATTTAATTCATTCTGAAGGACTTAGATCAGATGACCTGGGTTCCCATAATAGTTCTCCTACTTAACTTGTTTTGCACCCTTGTCAATTCCCTCATCTTTGTATGATAATAATATCTATCTCACAGGGTTGTTGTAAAGATTGAGTGAAAGGCTTGTGTAAGTAGCCTATGTGACCACTGACTTTAAATGCTTGACTAGAAGTTCTCAGGCTGCTGCTGCAAGCACATAGTAGTGCCCTGAAGGAGGGGTGACAGCAGTCACATTTCTGCCCAAAGAGAAGCCACGTCCAGCTTGTGCCACAATCAGAAAGGCGCGCTTCCTCACAAAGGGGTCAGAAGAAAACCCTATTCTATCCCTGATTAGTTGTAGAATGTGGACAAACACAATGGGATAGAATGTTGACTGTGAAGAGCACTGAATGCTGAGGTGGGGGAAAGGACTGAAGCCTGACCAGTGGAGATGGACAAATCGAGGATCTGGTAGAACACATTTTACAGCATCACCTTAAAGATACAGTTGTGAAATTCCTAATAAGACTAAAGATAAAGGATAAGTAAAGGGAAACATGTCAGGTTGGAACAAGAACATGATGAGGGAAAATGAGGTCAGGAGAACTGAAAAAAGAAGGAAATTAGACCAGAATAAAAATGACTAGCTTAACAACAATGAGCTAAAGAGATTTTACTAGTTCATTAGTGAACAGGAACCAGAAATTTTTACCAGATCATTAGTTGATATGTTTGTTATATATAATTACATTAATTATATGATAAAATTAAATAAAATTATAAAATAAAGTAAATAATTCTTATTCCTTCAGGTATTATTATAAATTGACATCTGGCTATTAGTTTCAAGACTTCGATGCCCAGAGTGGGCAACACCAGGTAAGTATCACCTGGTACAAATTATTAGTTTACTAAGACACATTTTCTGTGTAGATGTGCTCCATGATACTTGCCCTTGATAACTATAACTGTCATGCATATATAACAAATAATTATTATCTTTTTATTTTAATATTAATATTTTTATTGTACCTGCATAAATATCATCTGTATGCATTTTTGAGAAGGTATAAGATCCACCATCACCTAGAGTCCACCTGTCTTTGTGAATTCTTGTCTACCTACACACAGAGATCATGAAATACAACAGAGAGTAAACAGCCTCTGCCTTTGGTCACAACCTGTTCACCAGTACTGTTTTTTATTAATTTACCTACACTGAATTTTCTGGAAACTGAATCCTGAATCCTTGAGACCATGGTATCCACCTATTCTTCCCATCTTCACAGACTACATGGACCTAACACTGTTTTCCAAGCTGGATCCAATACACTCACATGCTTCCCTGTATTCTGTTGTAGGTACCGCATGGTTACCCAGACTTCCCACTCTGGTTACTTCCACCCTGTCAAATCCTTTTTGTTTCCTGTGGCCTAATGTGTCAGTACCCTTGGTCCTCTTGTTAGTAATCATGGCTAAAAGCAACATGAGTATTTACAGACAGCATCAGCTCGGAACGAATGTGCTTGAATGTGGGCTGAAGTGCACCCTTCAAGGGCAAGCCTAAGATTGTCCACGTGTTCAGTCCACTAGATTCCTCCTTGCCTGTAACATTGCCCAAGTGGTTGGATAATGATGCTGGTGGAGCTGCGTGGTTTTTGCAACAGATTCTGATTATTTCCCTGCACATGATTATCCCTGGACCAAAGCAAATGCATCTCATTCTCATTTCTTGCCACTTCTAAAGATTCAAATTGGAAATACAGCTTTCTGATCTACCCTTTAAAGAGGGGGAGATGTGGTTCACTTTGACCAACTTACATAAACAGAATCTGGGCCTTGGGAGATATTCACTAGTCCATAAAGTCTGAGTGTCACTAGCACAACATTCAATAAAAAACATTGGGCTATGCCAGTGATATTTAGCAGTGATATTCAAATGTGGCTTTTGAAGAGTGGTGGTACTAATTTGAAAGTACACACACGATCCAGTGTTTGTCCTCATAGATTGCTAGAATTTATCAACACCTGCATGGCCTGAAGTACCCCAGATATTCCCAGTTTGGTAGGCTCTAAGTATTTCACTATTCAATTACTGACGCATTTGGAAAAACAGGACAAATGCCTTTTCTCCTAAGACAGAGAAAGAACCTCCTAGGGGATAAAACACACTGTTTTTGACACCTGCTAGTTTCCTTGAGCTTTCCTGAAATGCAATCTTCTTACTTACAGATGAAAAAACCCAACAACAGACGGATTATATTGACGCAATGGCCAAAGGACTTAAGGTGAAAGCTTCTGATAAACCGACTTCAAGAAACAACACAGGTAGCAACTCCACGGATCAAGGCTATGCCCCTTTTAGAGTACAGCTTACCAAGACATTGGAGCTACCTTAATTCTGCTTTTCCCATGGCTGGCTTTCTCTTGGCACACCACTCTGTAGGCAGTGAGGAAGAGATGACCCTTCGTGATACCTGAAATACAACTAAGGCTTGTAGTAGCAGCCTCAGGGGTTGTTGTAGCTATTGCCAGTCCTCAAGTTCCAGGGGACATTATACTTATATTCATCATGATGGACTTCTCTCTAGCCATTCAAGGCTTCTGGGTCAACCACTTCACCCGATGTCTCCATTATTTATTGGTCTGAACCCCTGTGAGGGTACCTCAACCTGCCCAGCTTCTCTTGTTGCACAATTTTCACTTGTACTGCATCTTCTAAGACATTTTTTTTTAACCAGGTCCTTCCATAAAAAATACATTTTTGCATTGTTACCTAGTGTTTGTATACAGGTATGTATAGAACAGAAAAGAAAAAGTTTTATGAAATGCTCATACTTACTACCTGGTAATGTGCTTTATTTTCTATTATATTGCATTGCATTGTATTTCTCTTATTTTGTCGTGTTTTCATTTTTTTAAATAAATAATGGTAGTGATCCATAAGTTAATTTCATAATCTAGTCTCAATCCATTGTTTGAAAAATAAAAAATAAAGGATCTTTTATTCGACAAGACATCAGGAATCCTCAGTTCTGATTTCATGTCTTTAAGTACCACCTTGGATTCATCTCTTAGATATTTGCAAATAGGAAGAGCAAATGTTTAACTTTATACTAACGATGACTCAAACCAGAGAGGTACAGAGTAGATATTTACTTATCAAATACATTTTTAACATAATAATACAATTCTCAGTGAAATTTCTCATAATTGGTAATAATTAAAGATCCGGGTCATATTTTTAGATCTTATTTTGTGTGATTTAGATCTTAGTTTAGCTTGCTTATTTTATAGTATCTTAGAAAATAGTTCTTTGTACAATTCCTGTTTTTAAAAGTTTTTCATAATGTAAATCTCTAAAAACTATTACCAATTATTTTTATTACTCAAAATGAAATAAAATTTTCAGGCCTGTTGGAAAACAGACCAACTAATAGCTAAGTTGTATCCAAAGGAAAAGTTTTCGTGAGTGGGAGATGAGGGGATTTGTTAACGCAAGACCAAACGCCTTGGGCAGGAAATGTCTTAACCAGGTACATTTGCCCAATTGTCCACTTATAATATTTAAATTCACTGGGAAATCTACATATTTCTCTTTAAAGTTTTTTGGACATACTCAAGGTGATATCTTTAGCAGTTACTGAAAAATTCTGACGAGGCAGGTGACTCTTAGTTAGGATACCGAAAATACTTCCTGAGCTTAGTTTTGTCTACATGCTTGAAATTAAATGAAATCATGGAGAAAATACAAAGATAGGGAGAGAGTACAAGTATAAGCTCACAGTTCATAGGATTAGGTCAGTTTTGAGTTAATACCTTTAAACCAACTGACATCTACTCATATTTCACAATTCAGTTGAAACTCATCCCTTCTAATGGGCCCCCCCATAACCTCCGTGTTTATCCATACTTAATATCATGCTCTGAAATGGTTTTTCTCTCATTCCCACTAAATTGTGAGCACCAAGAGGGAAGGAGCTCTATCTTAATCAACTTTATATCCCTAGTTCCCAGAACAGTGCTGGAACATAATAGGTGTTCAGTATTTATTGACTGACTGACTGAATGAATGAATCAATTAGCCATATAGGCTCAATATATGTGAACAGAATAAATGAGTAAACACATGGATATTGCATTTTATTAATTTTGATTAAATACAAAGATGACTTAGTTCTCCAAATAAGATAGGCACAACCCAACCTAAAATCTAGGAACAAGATCAGAAAGTGTCATCCTCACAGATGGAAGTTGGCAAGAATCCACACACTATGTATGAAATTAGCTAACCCTGGAAGCATTTCTAGAAGTAACAGCTTGTAGTATGATTCTGAAAGAGCTTCTCTATTAAATCAAGCAATCCTTTTTTTATGGCAGCAGAAAACATATCAGTTAAAATGTACTAAATTATAAATAATTTATTAATTGGGACTTGTAAGAAGTTCTGCCAGAGATTTTAACAGGGTCCAGAGGGGGTAAGGAGCAGGCTGGGTGAATGGATAGGTAAGGTCTGCTCTATGGCAAGCTGTTATGACCTGGTTACTTTCATATTCCTAACTGGATATTTGTCTTGGGTCTCCTAAACTACGTTGACCCAAAGGTGTACCACATGACTGGCAGATAATAAAAATAAGCTGCAAAACTTCCAGCTCTGTTTGTGGCAATTGCCCAGGGCCTCCTTACTTAACTTCCAAGCCTTTCATCTGAGTCCTGGCCTGTTCCAGTACTGCCTAGCTTCCAACCTGCTGGCTTCGTTTCCACTTTCTAGTCTGTTTCCTACCCAGTCTCAGCTTTGATCATTGACTTGCTCAAAGGACTTGGCTTGATCCCACCTCTGCCTCTTCCCATTTCTGGCTACTTCAGGTAAATTATCTTGACCACCTTTGTTCCAGCTCTAACAACCCAACGCCTGGCACTAGCTCTCATGGTTGACATTTTGTTGGGGTCTGTCCTGTCTCCTACCAGAAGGAATCAGATATAGAAGCACATCTATTATTATGGCAATATGGAAAGTCTAGTGGCTCTATTCCAGTTACTGTGCTTGGGGAATTTGGCACTCAGGAAAAAACCAAACTTCACAGGGAAGTACTGAGGAAAACTTTGTAGCTTTTGGAGCCTCTATTCTTTGTCTTCTCTTCCCAGGCTCTTTGTCCTCCAATCACCCAAAAACCCTGAGAGAATCTGGAGGAACTGCTTAAATTTGTAATTCAGCTGTTAAAATTCCTCACAATTATCCATGGTTCTCAGGAGAAGAAGAAAGGATGGTTGGATATCTTGCCTGATGGGGAGTTCAGCTCATGTAACCTGGCAGCCCTGCAGGGCTTCTTGACCACTGTGTGGGACCTGTTTGATAGGCAGGTTCCTATCAAAGATTGGCAAGATTGATGGAAAGATGGATGCTGCCCTCTACTGCCTCTGACAAAGAGGAAAGGAGGATGGGGAGTTAGCTGATATGTAACTCAATCCTGACCTCTTATCCAAGAATTGTCATGGAATGGGCTCTCTATTGGGACCCATTTCCAAGAAACCCTCAGAACAACTTGAAAAGATGAGCTGGCCCTGCTGAGTGAGTTTGGCAGCCTTTCCAAGTCGCCTGACCTCCAGTCAGGTCAGAGTATGGTCAGCTGCCTGGCCACACCTTCCTGCCAGACAGTTTGGCCTTCAGCTTCCAGAGAAGGCGGGGGCATGGTGATGTACAGTTCTCACTGACATCGGCACGGTAGATGCATCTGCAGAGAGGAGACGTGCCTCTGCACTAGAGTGCTGAGTGTGGACCACATCTTATCTATGGCCAGGAAGTGCAAGCGTCGCCCATGGTAACGAGGGAAAGGCAGATGTTATCACGACTTCACCTGCTGTGCTCAGCTGAAGACTGTTCGGGCTAGAAGCAGCATTGTGAGTAGCCAATGCCTTTCTATAGGTTGATCCCATGGTTAATTCTCATCAGGAAATCTGAAGAACGGTCCTAGTCCAATAATGGCTTTCATTCAGCAGCTTGCTCACTTCTGTCCCAGCAGTAGCCTTCCCCAGTCTGCCCTGATTGAATACTATGGAAACAGGCATAGTTAATTCTAGTCTGTCACAAAAGAAGACCCAGGACAACAGACTCCATCTACCTTGTGGTTATTTTTGGAGGGAAATTCAAATTGGCCATGGTCAGTTAGTTAGAATGTGACAAAGATCACTGTCAAAGCCTACAGGTCCACACTTGAGGGAGCCTGGCACCTCCCTATGCAATCCAGTAACTCTAGCTTCTAACAAGTCCAGAAGTTCAGAAAGCTCAGCTGTTGTGAGCAATGGCAGGCTTCTTTTTCCAAAACTCCGAGCTACTGATTACTTGTAAGTCAGCCAGCTAGAATCACTGGGCTGATACTTTGTCTTACAGGTTTGATTACCAGGGGTAACTGAGACTAAGCCACTCTGAGAGATCCTCTGTCCTGAAAACTTACATTTCAGTGCTGCTGAAATTCAAGGACAAATCAGATGCAAACAGTGGGCAGGGGCTTCTGCTTAGCACTCTGATTCGACACACGCAAAGCGACCCACTGAGATCATGTAGAAGAGTAGCTTACTTGCCCCCAAATGACGGGCTCCTACTCCTGGTTCCATTCTCTGTCCTGGAATGCCACATGGCCCTCCAAGGCATTGATCATGGCACACTGGGAGCTGCAGCAGCTGTGCAGCTAGCCCAGTGCTTTTCAAAGCAGAATTGCCTGGGTCTACAACAAATTAAGACTAAGGCCACTGAATTTCTCCTGATGCCCTAGTGCCCTTGGGACAGCATCACACGGGACTTTATATCACATCTCTCCTTGTGCCATAAACGATTCTGGTGGTAGTGGCCATCCTTATGAAAACAGTAATCTCATTCCTTAGATGCTCAAACTATGCTCTGTTCATCATCAGGGAGGTGGTAGTCTTCCTCAAGATCACTTTTTTACTAATTTCTGTGGTCTTGTGGACCACAGAAAGAACTTTTCCAGAGACTTCTACATCCAAATTCACCTATCTGTTGCCACTGCCTAGCCAAGGACAGTCAGATAGGCTTGGTTAAAATTTCTTAAATGTCACAAAGCATGGAGACACTGTGCCTTGGTCTAACTATCTTGTCACTGCAAAATTCACACATTTTTCCACACAGAATACCCTCTCTCATAATAATGACCACTGTCACTCTCTCTATTTTCTTTGTTTCACTGCTAAGATTGATACCTCAAAGAGGTGTAGAGCACCCCAAAACAGCTTAGAAATGACATTGACCAATATATGAAAGACTACTCTAGGGCCAATGTGCTAAAAGAATATGGCTGACAGACTCTCTGGGTACTGGACAGGAGTGGTAGGGTACGGGGTCTTCTGGATGGGAGTTTCTCCGGTTCTCAGTCCAACACATCTGCCCAACGCCAAAATTCAAAGACTTTCTTGGATCCATTCAAGTTTCTTGTGGTTACCAACCCCAACATATTCTTGCCATATTTATCTGCCAAGACATAGCTTTAGTGTTCAGATCCCCAGAGCTAGCTCTAAAACACTAGATGGGAAGTCTGAGCAATTGATTGAAGAGAAGCTGGACTTGAGGCATAGAAGCTGGCTTCCACAGTTGTCCAAGGAGGTAAAGGATGAACCTTATGGCAGGAAGCCCAGGGAAGAATTGACCACTCTCTGTCTTGCCTGGTCCCAGATGAGAGGGAGCCTGGGAGAGAATTAGATTCTCCCTATTCTATGTGATCTAGAGCAAAAAAAAAATGAGTGGTGAACGTTTACTCTATTCTCATTCATATCAGTCACCCAGGGATCTTCTCATTGGCTATGTCCTTCTCACTCGTCTTTCCATTCCACTTCTATCTGGGTGCCAGTTCTTTAACTCTGCAAACCATTTCTCAATTCTGGTCTACCACCTTGAACCTGACACCTTAATTCCATGGTTTTCTAATGAACTCAGCTTGTCTTCAATTCTAGTAATTTGAAGCCAAATACCCTTCCCATGACCCAGGCTTCCCTTCTATTACACAAGACACATACCCAATAGACACAGCCCCAGACCTCTGCCAAGCCTACTCCAGCCATCTGAAGTCCTTGGCCCACAAGAATTAGAAGACACCCTTGGGCCTAGGGTAACTATAGCTCCCTTTGAAGACTAATATAGTGACATTTTGTTTTGTGAGTTAGTATCACTATGCTTGATAACCATTATCAGTATTGTAGGGCATAATGGTGATTCCACCAAGACACAGACACACAATGAGGTCTAACCTGAGAAAGCTTTACCATTAGAGGAGAAATTTAGTGAGAGCCTGAGTCAAAAATGTAATCAAAAGGAGAGGAAAATTACAGCAATGAATGCATAGGACGAACCTGGGAACATTCCTTTCAGTATCAAACTTCTTTCTTAGCTCCTATTTTGGAGGCTGATAATGGTTTTGTTACCTATCTTGGAAAATGTCTGTATTTTAGCAGATGCCTCTGACATCTTCATCCATGTCTTTAGCCCACATGATAATGTGGGCCATCAGGTACAATGGCAGGCAGGAGTTTTAAAGCAGAATGGCCTGACAGAAAATCTCAACTCCCTTCATGTAAGCAAGTGCTTACTCCACCTACTTAACAGTCACATATATTCCCGCATATCTGAAAATAAAAGATATAACCATCATAAATTCACAGTCAAAAAGTAAGTCTATAACCATCATAAATTCACAGTCAAAAAGTAAGTCATTAAGATTTCTTAGCAGGGCACAAAAGAGGCCATGAAAAAAATTTCTGACTAGTAAGTTTGCACTTTGCGACATTTTATGTGTCCTGAATAAGCACATATGTTATAGACTGAATTGTGTCTCTCCAAAATTCATTTATTGAGGCCCTAACCCCCACTGTGATGGTATTTGGAGGTGGGGCCTTTGGGAGGTAGTTAGGTTTAGATGAGGTTATGAGGGTGGAGGCCCCATGACAGGATTAGTGTCCTTTTAAGAAGAAGAAGAGAGATCAAAGTTCTCTTTCTTTCTTCTCTATGTGAGGACATGACAAGAAGGTGGCCGTTTGCAATTCAGGAAGAGAGTCCTCACTGGGGAACAAAATCAGCTGGGACCTTGATCTTGGATTTCCTAGAACTGTGAGAAATAAATTCCTATTGTTGAAGCCACCCAGTCTACAGTATTTTCTTATGGTAGCTTGAGCTAATACAATGGGTATCTTTAAACACACACACACAACAAAAACAACAACGATAACAGCCACAAAAAAAATAAGATGATCTATTCACATGACCTTAAGACTCATCTACTAAAATCTATCACTGTGCTTGGGTCAGTTATCCAGTGACATCACTTGAGTGATACAGGCTTCAAACTGATATTTCTGCCCACAGGGAGATGATTAAATACTAAATCATGAAAATTTGGTTAATTAATAGGGAAGCCAGGGAGCAAGGCAAGAGCTAGGCTGGAGAGTCCACTGTCAGATGTCAAATCTAAAAAGACACTGGATCAACACCAAAGGCTGAGATTGGAGAGGAAGAAGAAGATAGTATCTGAATAGTGCCTTTAGGTCAAACAAGTCAGATGAGACTTACATAGGAAGACAAACTACCCAATGGTGCATTTAGTCCCACATTCCTATTCTCCAGTGGAAAAAGACCTCGTGATAATAAATGTGATTCTATAAGAAATTTGGGGATGGGTAGGTATACATCTGCTGTAGTGATAAGAGTATGAATGTTAAACCATAACATATACAACTACATCTTAAAGTCTAGTTAAGGGAAAATCATAAGCCAAAAGTGCGGCTGATAAAAACGTGCATTTCAACACACGCTGTAGGCTTTGCCCAACAACCACAGCAAACTCAAGTGGTCATTAACTTAAGTAGCAATTTTCATTAAAAACAAACATAACAGCAATTAGAAACTATGACCAGCTTCAGACAACATGGATGATGTGCTGGACACAAAACATCCTTCCTCCAAATCGCAGGAATTCCAACTACAACTTGTTCGTGAGCATGCGCAGTAGAGCCCTGCAAGTTGCCAAGTGCTTCGTGGCATGGACTTCTTAGAAAAATCTGCATCAGCAGGAGACCGTGCCCATGAGCTAATTTTAGTTTATGAGCACCCCATTTTAGTAACTCAAACTCATTCAGTAGATAACTGCTAATAAGCAACTTATGTTAAAATAAAATGCTATGAAATTGTGAGTCATTTGCCAGGAAGAATCATGGAAAGGGTTTGCATTTGGGGGAGTCTGGGGTTTACCAGGAGGAGTCCACTGCATAACTGAGAACCAGTGGCTGCTATGTGGGGGGTATGCTGTTAGCTGAACTGGAGCAGCTGGGCTCCTGGCTTAGCCTGCTGCCGGTGGTCCGTAGCATTTCGGGACTCCTCCCCAATCTCTATTAAACAACTCCTTGTTATCCTATGGCGGTTGGCTGGGAATCCCAGTTGGGTTTGGCTGCTCCGTGATGCTGTTTCTGCCTCCTTCTTAGGAGAGATAAATGATATTTTTGGCCACACCATTCCTGGGCTACAGCTCTCTCACATGTAGCCAGTCTATAAAGAGAGTATGATGATTATGAAATAATGTCAAATTATTGGCAGCTATATATGACATGGACATGAGCAAAATTTTGTTTTTATGCCAGTTTCTAGGTGTGATACTTAAAATTTTTAAACACGATAGCTTACTCTAACAGAGCTTTAAAAGTATGATCTCAAAACCAGGAAGCATCAGTTCTACACTGATGGTGGGTATAGGCATTAATAAAATATGCTAAGAATGTAAACTTTTTGAAGATCAATTTCTAAGCTATGTGTTTGATTGACGGATTAAAAATCCTGAGCAAAGTTAGCACTTTGCTAAAACTGTTCCACGTTTATTAAGCCAGATGTGTTGATCCTCTGCCTGTTGTGAAAAACTATTTAAGCCAGATAATGTATTTTCCAAGTTGAAACATTTATTTTTTACTTAAATGCAAAACATTTAACAAGTATCTGAAGAGACAAAAGCTCTAATAATAGGGAATGATAATAGGATAGTTTACAGTATATGCTAACACCTGTATGTGGTATATTTTCCATCATGTAGTCAAAATGAACACAGCATATAAACACATATCAGAAATCCTAAGGTAATATTCACTTCTAGGACAACAGCAAAGGCCATAAACAAAATAAACTGCATTACCAGACGTCCACGTACTCCTAAAAAAATGTTTATAATTTCTTGCAAAAGAAACGTACCGGCTGCTTCAGGATGTGGGTGAGACAAGCAGGTTCCTGTGGTAACAATTTCCCAAACAAGAAAATAGTTAAAAAGACAAATCTTTGCTAAGCTGCAGACTACCAGGTCTCCTGATTTATGAAAGCAACAAGATAGAGCTGGTTAAGAAATAACTCAGAAATAAATATTTCATGAATCAGCAAAATCTGTCACGTAAAATGACTTTTGAATTTACAATGCAAAGAAATACCTTCACATAGTTTGACACTGTCAAAGCATTTTATTATGTAGCGTTGAACTTTAGGTTGACATACTAGATCTAGAATACTCTACGACCATGCAAAATAAATATGCACATATATCCCGTAAGGTTCTTGCCAATCCTTAATAAATAATAATTATTTTAGTGATCCAAATATAGATTCATCCAATTAAAATATGGTGTACGTTTAGTTTCTCATAATCTCATTTTCTTTCCTTCTTTTTTAAAATAAGCTTGTCTTCTTCAATATTACATATTAGTGATATTTTACACTTTGCCCTGTTCATTGCCATTCATTCGTTTTATTCATGAATCCTTTCAACAAACATTGAGTATTTGCTAAATACCAGCAAATGATTGGGTCGAATCATCTTTTCTTGTTTTTTTAATTAATTAATTTATTTTTGGCTGCATTGGGTCTTCGTTGCTGCGCGTGGGTTTTCTCTAGTTGCGGTGAGTGGGGGCTACTCTTCATTGCGGTGCGTGGGCTTCTCATTGCGGTGGCTTCTCTTGTTGCGGAGCATGGGCTCTAGGCGTGTGGGCTTCAGTAGTTGTGGCACGTAGGTTCAGTAGTTGTGGCTTGCGGACTCTAGAGCACAGGCTCAGTAGTTGTGGTACACAGGCTTGGTTGCTCCATGGCATGTGGGATCTTCCCAGACCAGGGCTCAAACCCATGTCCCCTGCGTTGGCAGGCAGATTCTTAACCACTGCGCCACCAGGGAAGCCCAATCTTTTCTTTTTTTCATGTTGAATTTACTACTCTTCTGAAACTCATTCAATAATATTTCTAACAACTAAAAGCCTCATTCTTCACCCCATTGCTGATGATCTACCCAGAACTTCTATCCCATAGCCATTCATTTCACATCTTTCCCACTAAAAGTGAGATGAAGTGGGGTAGGGAGGACAGGGTGGTGAGGAAAGAAACTGGTACGTATTATTTGCATCCAACACTCAGTGCACTTGGTTAAGTGTTTAACACATATTACCTTAAATAAGTTTCACAACAACAAAATAAGGTAATCATATTATTATCCCCATTTCATATATCGTGAAACCGAGACTCTTAGCACTTAAGGGACTGGCCACCTAAGGTCTCACAGTTAGCAGTTGGCAGTGCCAATAATGGGACCTTGGCCTGTTTACCCCAAAGGTTTTTCAGCAGCTCTTCTAAGAAGCACAGTTGGCACCCCATACCTTTCAAAAACTCATTGAATAAAATTTTGTTTGCATCTATGTTACTTGGAAAACTCAGACCTCCTCTTCTTCCATTTTCCTCCAAAAACAATATGCTATTTAGATAAATTACTAGAAAAATACATTTAACCAGGGGTTTTGAAGCAAAGGTAGACAGCTCACACAAAGAAAATTGCTAATGAATAATGAAAAACTTTAAAATTCTGAAATCTACCTATTGTATTATGTGTAATTTTTTTTCAGGCCACCCTCTAGTATTACTGGAAGTAACAGATAATAGATTACGCATAGGTTAGGTATTTAAAAGTTAGTGCTATAAATACAAATTAAACCAAGGGAAAATGTAAACATAAAATGTCCAGTTTCATTAGTAGAGATGAAAAGAAATAATATCACAAAATTAATGCTAAAGCAACACTATTTATTATGTTGCATCCTCTTTAATTATTCCACATCAGTAGATACCTTATAGTCTTCATAATCATTGTTATCTAGCAAGTCCCTTTTCTCCAGTTCTATAAGCTGTTCTGCAGAGAGCTTAGCTGGTAGATGCTTAAGAGACGCTTGCTCATATATGGGCTTTCCATTAAAAAACAGTTCCTTCCAATCATGCATCAACTTATATGGAATCAGGCTACGGCAAAAAAGAAAAAAAAAAGGTCGAGAGGAATCAATGGTCAATTAAATACACATCTTAAATCTTAGTCTTTCTATTACCATGTTCATTCACCAGGATCTGCTATTTGAGGACAGAGGTTCCTCTTACTATGACATTTCTAATAGCCAGTAAAATGGCTGAAACTTAGTAGGTTTGAGTGAATAAATGTTACCTAAAGCCACTGGTTCTCCGAATTTTCTTCGATTGTGCACTGAAAGCACAATATATCTAAAAATACTCACGACTGGGCTTCCCTGGTAGTGCAGTGGTTGAGAGTCCACCTGCCGATGCAGGGGACACGGGTTCGTGCTTCAGTCCGGGAAGATCCCGCATGCCGCGGAGCGGCTGGGCCCGTGAGCCGTGGCCGCTGAGACTGCGCGTCCGGAGCCTGTGCTCCGCAACGGGAGAGGCCACAACAGTGAGAGGCCCGCGTACCGCACACACACACAAAAAATACTGACGACTATCACAAAACGTAGGTTCTTTGATTTCCGGCTGTGATACTAAATGGCTGTGCAAGCTTTGGAAATCAGTTAAATGCTCCAGTATCAGTGTCCTCCTATGTAAAATGAACAGACCGGATACTTTCCAAGGCCTCTTTAAGATGACAGTTGGTTTACATATTTGCAAATAATTTGTAACGGAAAAAAAATCTAATGTTATGGTAGTCTTATTGTCAGTGCCCGTTTGGTAACCTGTGCAATTATTTTTCAGTACTTTTTCTATTTAAGTCAGATGAATGACTTGGTAATCAGGACAGAATGATGGGAAAGTAGTTCCAAGAAGAACAAAATGTGCAAAGGAAGGAAAGAGCCTGACATGATTCAGATGCATTTCTCTAAAACTAGTGGGACTAAAGCTTGAAATTGCAACTTAAAAAGTTGTATTTCATTCTGATACATGCTACAACATGGATAAACCTTGAAGACATTATACTAAATGAAATAAGCCAGACACAAAAGGACAAATATTGTATGATTCCACTTACATGAGGACCCTAAAAGAGACAAATTCATAGAGACAGAAAGTAGAACAGAGGTTAGCAGGGCTGGAGGGAAGGGGAATGGGGAGTTATTATTGTATTTAATGGGTACAGCACAGTTTGGGATGATGAAAATGTTCTGGAGGTGGATGGTGGGGATGGGTGCACAGCAGTATGACTGTACCTAATGCCAGCGAACTCATAAATGGTTGAAAACCACTTAAAAACGGTTAAAATGCTAAATTTTATGTTATGTATGTTTCTCCACAATAATAAAGTAGTATTTCAATTAAATGTGAACTTCAAATATAAGCATTGTTTTCCATTAATAAAATATTGATATTTGTTAAAGATTATAGAGATATGAAGTTTAGAAATTAATAGCTTAGGCATAGAAAAATTCTTTTTTAAAAAATAAAGCCCTCTTTGTTTTCTTTTCTGGGTTTGTTTGTTTGTTTGTTTATTTTTGGTTGCATTGGGTCTGGGTCTTTGTTGCCGCACGCGGGCTTCCTCTAGTTGAGGTGAGCAGGGGCTACTCTTCGTTGTGGTGAGTGGGCTTATCACTGTGGCAGCTTCGCTTGTTACAGAGCACGGGCTCTAGAGCACAGGCTCAGTAGTTGTGGCACACGGGCTTAGTTGCTCCGTGGCACGTGGGATCCTCCCGGACCAGGGTTCGAACCCGTATCCCCTGCACTGGAAGTCAGATTCTTAACCACTGCACCACCAGGGAAGTCCCACATAGAAAAATTCTAACATCAGAATTATTGAAATGGCATTGGCTCCTATGGTGAAGTAAATGATTAACAACATATATTGTCCAAAACTTAATGTTGCAATTACTGAATTAATATTCTATTATCTGAATATCAATTACTTTATTAAGGAGCAGTCTTAACAAAAGTCAGTTCATATAAGTAGGCTGATACCAAGAATATCCCTGTGCTTTAGAAAGAAATATATATTGATAACATCTTGTTTAGGGAAGTACATAGAGAGAATAATGTGAGTTTATCTCGACTGTTAGTAGTGTAGACTAAAAAGATCTTAACATATACGTGTAATCATTGTATTCGGTTGCAAGTAAAAGACACTTATAATTTCAAAGTAAAAGACCCCTTCAAAGTTTAGGGTACCAATACCTCTGGAACTTTAAAATTTTTTGTATTTTTTCATTAAAATGAAAATGGCTTCATATAACCAATATATTCTCAATATTAATTTTCACGAAGCAGGATTTATAGAGTAATAAAAGGCAGACTACATATGAGTCTGTGAAATATTATATTAGTCAAACTCAATACACACAGGAGGTCCTCAACTGGGCCATGGCTCACGGGCCCAGCCACTCCGTGGCATGCGGGACCCCCCCGGACCGGGGCACGAACCCGCATCCCCTGCATTGGCAGGCGGACCCCCAACCACTGCGTCACCAGGGAAGCCCTCCTCTCTACGTCTTAAAAGGACACCAGTCATATTTAATTAAGGTCCCATCCTACACGAGTATGACCTTATCTTAACTAATCTATCAGTAATGACTATTTCCAAATAAGGTTACACTCCGAGGTATGGGGGATTAGAACTTTAACATATCTTTCTGGGGGGACATGATTCAACCCATATATGAGCATCTATATATTGCCTTTTTAGACACTTAAAATGTCAAAGTAGTAATAAAAGCTCCCTTAAAAGTTTATGATACCAATACCTCTAGAACTTTAATTTTACACACTCAGTTTTTACATTCAGTTTGAGCTCTTCCTGGTTGTCGGTATGATGCATGAGTTGTTATTGAAGTCTGCACACTTGTGGATTATGTTGCAAGACTCTGAATCTTGCATAAACCTTCTGTTCTAGCTGTTTTTTTCTGACGTTGCTCAGGCAAGGGAAAGAGAAGGGGCCATCGTGTTACTGGCAGGTGTGGACAGAAGTCCTCACGTGGCCTTCCTCACCACCTGAGGGAAGGGCATCCTTGTTACTGGAGGAGCAGGTAGCAGTTCTGGCCCTCCACATGGTCTCCACTGCAGTGCAGGTGGCCTTGTGACCACTGGGCGATGGTGAAAGTCCTGACCCTCCCTAGGCTTCTCTAACACCGCCCCAGTAGGGAGGGGAGGAGTGGCCAGTGCTGCCAGGTGGGGTTGGAAGTCCATGCTTCCTACTTGGCCACTGGGACACCACCCTCGTGGTGTCCCAGAGGTCCCTCATTACAGCCTTGTGAGGGTGGAAGACAGTCTCTCTACTTGGCCTTTGCTGGCACGGGTGGGAATGGGGCTACATTTGTGTGTGTGTGTGTGTGTGTGTGTGGTATTTGGGGAAGATTGGTTATTGTCTAAAAGTTTTACATCTTGCTAGGCTGCTACTAAACTGGTTCTTTGACTAGAGACAGCAGGCTTCCGTTGGGTCTATTTTTTTTTTTTTTTTTTTGCAGTACACGGGCCTCTCACTGTTGTGGCCTCTCCCGTCGCGGAGCACAGGCTCCGGACGCTCAGGCTCAGCAGCCATGGCTCATGGGCCCAGCCACTCCGCAGCTTGTGGGATCTTCCTGGACCAGGGCACGAACCCGTGTCCCCTGCATCGGCAGGCGGACTCTCAACCACTGCGCCACCAGGGAAGCCCTGTTGGGGCTATCTTTGTTTACACCAATGGCATATCTGTTGCCAGAATATTCAGTTCCAATCTGGGCTGTGTGAGCACAGGGAGAACCCAGGAGGCTCACCACTGTGTCCTGAGGTCCCCAGCCAGTCTCACTTCTTCTGTCCATCTTCAGAGTCTTCTTATGTTTGTTTCACACACAATGTTCAGGGACTTTCATTGTACTTAGTGGGAAGAATAGGGAAAAACTCATTCTACTCCATTTTCCCAGAGCAGAATGGGATTTGCATTTATGTTTTAATTTGGAATTATGAGACTTTATTTGTTTAGGGAAATCAATCTGTACTTTTTTCCCCTCTGAATTATCTTGTGTTATGTTTTTATATTTAAATCCACTATATTTATCTTCTGTAATTTAATCTATTTTTTTACCCTTATAACGCATTGTATCACCTTTCCTTTTTAACCCTTTTATAGATTACCTTCCTCACAATTTTATTCTTATAATTTCTGAACTTTTGAATTTATATTAATCTGAAAAGTATTTTTAAACATTTACTCTTGAATTCATTTCAATTTTTAGTCTTATTTATTTTCTTTTCTCAATCTTGTACTCTTACAGTTTTATCTTCAAAATGTCCTCATCATTATGTTATTTCATTTAGTAGTTTTTATATAGCAGTGCATCAGAAATATAGCTGTTGGGGTGAGAGCTGTGGAGAAAGCTCCTATCAAGTCCAGGGGTGATGGGATGGTTTACCCATCTTCTATTTGACCCTGAATATCATGTGGCTTTCATTCTTTTCACTGTGGGTTCTCAAGAAGATCTCAGTCTGGGTAATATTAGAGGTCAAAACTTTAAGTGGAGTGACTTATCCTTGTCCTTGCGGAGATGCTTTCACTGACATCTGTGATGTCATTCCGCTTCAGCTTCCAGGAAAGGACATCACAAGAGACAGGTCTCTGAAGCCAGGTGCTAGAATGCTGAGGTCATTCTCCACCAGACCTACTACACTACTCATTATACCTTAGGTGGGGCCACATGAGAAAATCATTATTCTACACTGAGGACCAAGAAAAGTTTTGTATTTTGTAAAGAACTAGAATGGAAAACAGAAATCATAGGACAAACTGTGTTTCCCTTTTTGCTTTGGCCACCTGGAAGCTCAGATAAAATTTGCAGCTCAGTTGCAGTATCTGGCAAATCTACTGGTACCGGTATAACTGTGTTTTCATGTATGTATTCCTTGTTTTTAACTTTCTACTTTATTTGAATTTTCTTTTTCTTCTTTTTATTTTTTGGTCGCACCATGAAGCTTGCAGGATCTCAGTTCCCCAGTTAGGGACTGAACTCAGGCTGCGGCAGTGAAAGCCTGGAACCCTAACCACTAGGCCACAAGGGAACTCCCATCCTTTGTTCTTAGTTTGGCATATTCTTTATCTTTTTTGTATTGTTAAATGTTTCCTTACAAATAGGTTGACTCCTTTTAGAAAGAAGATGCAATGAAAATCGATTTAATGATTAGTAAAATAATCTTTAAGTAATTCCTATCTTCTAGGAAGTTCCTAGTGTTTCAAATAAATTATCATAGCTGCCTTTGTAAATTATAGAGAAGTTAGACACAAAGTTTAAATGTTAAAAGACATAAATACACCTTAAATCAGGCTAGTCATTGGGTGAATTAAGTCTGTAATCAAGGTATCCTGAACCCCACGTCTTAGTCTTCATTTCACAAAACATTGTTATCTCTCTTTACTTATCAACTTAGTGCCTACATCACAATCTTACCCTTTTCTCGTTTGCTGTGGTGTCTCTATTGTATTAACTATTGTAATAAAAAACAACACTTACTTATTTGTCAACATTCGATAGTCCGCCACTTTAGTGGACAAATCAAGGATTTGATCCAAAATTTCTGCACATATTGAATAATGCTTTCTGTAACGAGCTTGAACCCTTTCCACGGCAATCTGCTCATGAATTTCCTTAACTCTGAGGGCTTGTTCTTCAAAATCAATCTTGGCTTGTCTGGCCAAAGCCTAAGAAGCAAAGACATATTTTTAAGTCACTGTAATTGGGCAACGATTCAAGTAGAAATAATGTCATCATTTCAATAGCCAAAAAAAAATCTCTAAATAGAATGAAACTTCCTTTTATATCAGAAAAAAATAAATCATGAGAGAGCACTTTCTCCTTAATACATTAAGCACTGAGTGTGATGGCAAAGACAATATCGGAAATATCCCACCCTTAGCTTATGTTATCAGCAAAAGCCAGTACAGAGAAAAGTGTGCTATGTGGATTAATGATAAATTGGATCTGAAATGTTTAAAGAGAAGTCCTGAGTTCATGGACTGCAAATACAGTTGGGGATCACAGAGAAACAGGCAAGCATAGCTGGCTTCCAAGCATAGCTGGCTTCTGTGTACCCATCTCAGGAGACTTAACCTGACACATCTGCTCTGGTCAATGCCCTGTCTTTTAGTGGGAGGCTTCTAGGATACTGATTTATACTTAGAAAATATTTTGGAAATTCCCTGATTATACTGGCTTGAGAATATAACACATTTGCCAATAAATGTTAAATGTGTTTAGACAACAAAACCTTCTGCTGTTACAGCCTTAATAAATAGATAAAATTCATTCATAGAGACATGTATTTCTGCAGAAAGTAAGAAAATACTTAGTTTGGCATTACCCTCTGTTTGCTTTGCACTATTATTTTGTTTAGGGAACCCACTCTTCACACTAAGTACAAAGGTCAAACTTGGCATGACCAAATGTTGCTTTTCAAACAGTTATACCAACTCCTTGAGAAATTCTATCCTGTGCTAACGTGCTCCAGAAACAAGAGCTGCCTCCTGAAACTTAACCCAACAAGTGTACGATGGCGGTAAACATGGGTCTGCAGGAGCTGTGCTCGAATTCAAGCCTCAGCTTGTACAGGTGTCAAGTACTAGCTGCGGGACCTTGGCCAAATCAGAGCTTCCCTACGTCTCCACTCCCTCTCTGTGAAGCGGGGATGGTAAAAAGACTCGGCTTGAACAGAAATTAACTCTCAGAGCAAATACCTGTTATCATGATACTATTCACAAGTAACTAAATGCGTGACAATGGGCTGCTACTGTCCACTGAACCAAATGGAAGCTTCATTTGGTTTGTTATTGTTGTTTGATTTTGTTAGTTTGCTTTAGTTTTGTTGGGAAAGAAGTTGGTCTGGGTGACCTCTGAGGTCAATTCTGTACATTTGGCACATTCAGGAATGACACCAGAATTTGTTATCGTTGTATTGTTTTGTAGGCCCTGTTTTCATGGAGAAAGCATCCAGTTTAAGTACAGAGACTTATGGCATGCTTCATGAAGTGTGAAGACTTCAGAGGGAAGAGGAATCTGAGAGAGTAGGAGCCGCCAGATGAGAATTTACGAAGCCAGCCAGTGAAATGGGTTGTGAGGCTGGTTTACTACTGAGTGCCTGGAAAGCATGTGGAAATGTTTAAGATGCCACGGAACCAAAACCTTGACGGGAGCCCAGGAGCACCCCCTGCAGGAATGGAGCAGCTTTCTCCCGGTGTTCTCTTCCTGCCTGCTCCCTCTCTCCTTCCAGGCCTTTCTTCCTTCTTTTTAGCCATGGAGTCTGCTATTTCTACCCTCTCCCCAGCCCCCGTGCTAAACCCACCACAATTTCCAGTCCCATTACAGCAAAGTGGCTTGTAGCCCTAAATAAAGAAAGAAGGAAAAGGAAAAAGAAGTCCGTGGGAGCTAGTAACTCTCAGCGGTGATGAGCCTGGACTTTAGACTCTGAGAACCGCTGTGCTAGGGCCACACCACCAAGCTGTGCAACTTTGAGCTTTCTAAGTTATCCTCCCGACAGATGAAATGTACACAAGAACAGTGTCCACTGCCAAATGGTGCTGTGAGAATTATAATGCATGTAATGAACGTAGCTCAATGCTGGACTCGGAGTGGATGCTCACAAGTGTTAAATGCTATTGCGGTGAATTACTGTGAATAATAGTAGATGGCAATGAAATTTGAAATCGGCAACTGTTTTAATTAATATAGACTAGATGCTCATTTGCCTTCAAAAAAGAGATCATCAGATTTAACCTACAAACCAAAGAAAACAAACAAAAACTCCTGATGGTGAAAAACATGAAGTTCTCTTTCCCTTTCTCCCTTTCCTCCTCCCTGCTTACTTAGGAACCAGCCTACGTACTTAGGAACCACTCCTGCTGGAGGACGTGATGCATTCAAACTGTGAAATCAGGCCATCTCAGAGGGAGGGGTGCCCAGCAAGCAGATACCTCAACTTTGGGAAAAGGTTATTGTGTAAATTTTTTCCAGGGGCTTCAGAGCCTCACAATTCTGGCCTCTGAGGCTCTAGCAGACCAAGTGTCCCAATCCTCTGAAGTGAGTCCAAGCCCAGGTTAGGAAAGAACAGGTCATGCTTCTCATCACAGTGAGACCAGTCCTGCTCTGAGACCGGTGCTTTACTATTTTGCACTGAATTAACAGGGCTTGTGAAGCAAACATGTTTAGCAAACAGGCAATTATTTCTAATGTAAGCAAATGCCACTCAATCCATTCAAGTTTACTCTTGTCAAAAAAGAGAGATGAGGGCTTCCCTGGTGGCGCAGTGGTTGAGAGTCCGCCTGCCGATGCAGGGGACACGGGTTTGTGCCCCGGTCCGGGAAGATCCCACATGCCGCGGAGCGGCTGGGCCCATGAGCCATGGCCGCTGAGCCTGCACGTCCGGAGCCTGTGCTCCGCATCAGGAGAGGCCACAACAGTGAGAGGCCCGCGTACCGCAAAAAAAAAAAAAAAAAAAAAAAAAAAGAGAGAGATGAAACAATTATCCAGATAATTCGGCTATTAAAGACACTTGAGATCATGCAGGTCAAATTCATGGCGTATGGTTCCCCGCTCTCCTCCTAACGTTTTGGCTATGTCTGTTCTACAAAGGCAAAAGCACCATTTCCCTGACTCTGGAGAATACTGTACTTTCCAAATGACATTTCTCAAAATTGCATAATTTTGTCAAAAAATGTGTTCCACTTTCATGGAAAATCACAGTGGAAACCATGGTGCTGATAAATAAAGCATTGCCTTCCTATTTTCTGTAAGGTTTTCTCTTCTGCTCAGCCTGGTTTTATGAATATTTTATGGCAGTAAAGACAGGCTATCTAAAATGCCACTCACATGAGCTTTATATTTCTTCAATCAAATCTGGCTTAACAGACTGAATAAATTTGAAACCGCCCCAAGAGGAACAAGATAAGAAGTGATTCCTATAAATCCCTTGATAAAATACATCTATTTTGGTTATTAGAACTGTACATATAAAGATAAGGAAGATGTTAATATATCAAATAACTAAAAGATTAGATAATTTGATTTTCAGAGTTATAAAGGGCCTAGACACAACGATACCATGGTGGCCAAGAGCATACCTGGCACCCAAATCTTGGTTTCTGTAACCATTCTCAACTACAATGAACCAGGGTACCCTAGAAAAATGGCTTGTTCTAGTTTTGAGGAAGGAATAGTACAGTATGGGCCTGGGAAATCTTGTTTTACCAGAAAGCAAGGAATTGCTTATTCAAGGCTAATGGTGTCTTATAAAAAGGAGGCAGCTTGAAAGTGCCCTCACTGCCTGAAAATAGTTTTCACTTAGAACAATGAACACCAAATAACATTCCAGTGAACTTTAAAGAAAAAGAAAGTCCTTTATGCGGCTAGAAAACAAGAGTAATGACTCAAGGAAACAAAATTTAGATTATCGTTCATTTTTTTTGACAGCACACTTTATACCTGAAGAAAATGGAATAATGTATTTAAGATATTCAAGGAAAGAAAATGTGAACTAAGGATTTTATATACAACAAAACTGACGAGTATTAAAGGCACATACAGTTATCAATATGCAAGCACTCAGGGAATATTGTTCCCATGAGCTGTTCTTGAGGAATCTATTGGAGAGCTTCAGACAACAGAAATGACCAGAGAGATGTGGACATAAGGACTGAGGGTGAGCATTAAATATTTATAGAATCAAGGCTAAAGGGAGAGAGTATAGTATGTAGATGCTATGTGTCCCGTCAGTGCAGTTGTACAAAGATAAAAATGGGGAGATAATAGAGAGATCATACAAAAAAGTAACTCATTAAATGATTGGCATCTAAACGCAGCCTTGTTTACCTTGACTTGGTAGGAAGGATCAAAAGTAACCTTAGGAGGATTTTTAAGGGATATATTGTTTACCGCTTCTCGATCGAGAGCATCCTGGAAATCTTTAAGCCGTCTTTCCTCATATTGTTTTTCTCTGAAAATTCTGTTTTGCCGTAAAACTTCCTTTTCGTGCCGAACGTGCATGAGCTGCACGGCGATCCTGCGCTCCTGCTGGGACTGTCGCATCAGCCGGTGGATCAGCTGCTCCTCCCGATAAGCCTCCTGGAAACACCATTGCGAGAGCCAATCATTTGTCAAGGTGATGTCCACATTTCCCGCTGGGCTGAAAAGCCTACACGTAAACCATGTGTAAAAGGCATAGTATTCACCTGCAGAATTGATGTTCTGCTATTTGATTTAAATTTGAACATGGCAAAAATTGAGTTATAAAAATGAAAATTTCCACCGACAGTTGTATAATTTTGGTATCCGGAAACACATGGTTTCGCAACTCCTTATTCTAAATGAATTATTACTTCCTTTAAAATCGGATCAAAAAATAGATTAGGTAATTTTTTTCAAGGTTTTATAAACAAAGGGTGTAATTCTCCATTTATAAGCATGTTTTCAGAAACTTGGAATTGTGCTATATGCACTCTTAACATAAAAACTAGTTGTAAAAACAAACGCAGACATTGTCTGGCTGAGGACGGCAGATCTGCTTAGTTCCCAGGGGGGCCATCTCAATTCCTACATGATAGATTGGGAAGATTGGAGAAGAGGCTAAGGGGAAATGACCTACAGTTTATCTTAGAAAATCTGAGTGGTTGTAACCTGAGAGAGAAAATAGATGCACTCTCTTGGCTCCCTTGGCTATTTTAAGAGAACCGAAGGGGAACCAGTGAACAGTGGAAGAAGCATCAAACTGGGAATCAGTGGCCCTTGCCAGTGCCGCCCCAGCTGTACCATTAACTGGCTTGCAGCCTTGAGCAAGTAACTCGGATTTTCCGGGCCTATTTCTTGACAGGGGAAATGAAGGGTTTGGGTAAAAGATGGTCTCCAAGGCATCTTCAAGCTCTCTCACTCTGTCTAAACAGAGACACCATGTGGAAGGAAGCCGTAATTATAGTTCTCCAGGGAGAAGACTTAGAAGAACATCTAACTAAACATTGGGGTTGTCCATTTAACACTCAACAATCGAATTGTTCAGGAAGAAAATCTGGCATCACTAGCGACACTGTTTCAGATTGTGGGAGAAATACTATATGTATGTTCAGAATCAAGATACAAATAACAATAACACTCTGTGGAAAATACCAAAACTTGAACTTGGGGATTATATAAAAATGTAGATTAAATAAAATTCAACTGAAAGTAAATATGAAATTTTTTCTGTTATTAATATATCAGATAAGAATAAAATCATGAACAACTTTGAAACATATATCTCATCTAGTTACAACATTCTAGAAGCTTTGATATTAATCATTTGTTTCTTTTGAGGTCCAATAGTGGAGGTGAGGCAGAATGTAAAAATGGCCACCGATTCTACAGTTTTCTTCATCCACAGCCTCCAATGCTATCCTGCAGATATCCCCATCAAGAAGAAGAATCTATTTCTTTACTCCTTAAATATGGGGTATGGGGTGACCTCTGACTTGAACTCACCAGTGGGACATTAGCAAAAATAAAACAAAACAAAACACTTGTGGTCTGACTTTCTTAATTCTCTTGCGACCCTTGCCACTGTCACCACAGTTTCTGCTCAGCTAGAAAATGAGAAACCATAGAGAGATACCAGTCTTCTCAGCTGGAACTAATGAAACTCTTCCAAGTCAGCCAGCCTCAGCCAACCCACCAGCCGACCAAAGACATCTGAGAGAAGCCAGGTAAGACCACCAAAAGGCATATATCTGAGCCCAGCCCAAACTGCCTACCACATTTTGGGGGTGGTTTGGGATACATAAAGCATAGTCAAAGCCATATTTTTTAAAAGTAGAGCCTTGATTTATTATTCCAAGTGAATTCTATATTGAATTTGGAATATATTCTATATTTGTCTGTGTCTACACGGCAAGGCAATTTGGTTGTTGAGATGAGAGCTGGTCATTCTGACCCTGATGAAGAACTGGGTTGGTCAGATATGTCTTGGTTATTGCTTAGATGACAACACATTATGATTAAAAAGGAAAAGAAAAGACATTACTGTTGAATGGCTGAGTCAATGCTATGTATATGAAGCTTCAGTATGAAGAACCATCAAGTGTATTAAGACCTGCAACCAAAAGTTGAGTGGAAAAGATTCTTTTTTTGTTCCATTGTACAAGTAGCTCATGTTTTAGAAACATACTTTTTCCCAAAGTTTCATTACAGTTTGGGACACATTTTCTCATAGAAAAATATGTTATGGTTAAGTGCTTAGGGCAGCCTACAGATGTCTGTTTAACCCTTAACATAGATGAAATAGTCTACATCTGCAATGAATAAAACAGAAAATAACAGAAGTCACATTTCTCTTTTCAGTATATTTAATCATATTTGGGGAAGACTTACAGATACACAATCCAAAACATGCTCAGTTTGATTGCCAAGACCTCTGCCTCTCCCATGAGTTGGAGCTAGGAGCTTACTCTGGTGCATACCATTACTTTAATTCTCCAAAGATGCCCGAGCGGCTCTCCTGGAGGAATGGAGCATGGCAGGAAAGACGTGGAAGCTAAGCATTCAAGGGTCTTTTAGTTAAGAGATGGGGGAGGTGTCTGGTGTTCAAATGCCAGTTCCAAGGAAATAATCCAGAAAAGGTTCTGGGAAGGTAGAGATAGGTGCGCTGGAATGAATCCCAAGAACAAGCTAAGATGCTGGCCAAATGATCACACTATCAGTTGGGAGTGTGCTTTTCACAGTCTGAAAATCTTCACTTAAATGCCTATGAAGTACTTAAACTCAACAAGTCCTAAACTAAACTCACTAACTCCCCTTTAGACCTGGTCCTCCCCCAGTATCTCCCCGTCTCCACTGATGACACTATTAACCCATGACTTGGTGACCTAAAATGTTAGGGTCATCCTAAGTCCATTCCTCTTGTCACCCTAATACAACTCTTGAAGAAGTAGTCTATTTTGCCTCCTATGTATGGTTTTAAATCACTGTCTACTCCATTCGGTGCCTATTGACACTGCCCATTGACACCCCATAGTGGACATCAGCCCCTCCCCATACCTTGCCTTCCCCCCCATCCCTCTCCAGAACCTATCCTCTAAAAAAGTTAAAGTGATCCTTCTAACCTTAAGTCTCATCATTTCATTCACATAATGACATTTCTTTATGGATAACTAGGCAAGATAGCAACCTGAGCACAGATCTCTGGCTCTCTCTTTATAAGCCCAACTAAAACAAGGGTCTGTAAACTCCAGGGGGAGATTGCAACGACTTGGAGGCTAGAGAAGATATTATGAGGCATTTCTGATAGATTCACTGCAAATAGAGCCAAATCAAAGTATCCATGGCTGACACAAGACTCATGTCACGCTCCCGAAAAGCAGCAGATACTTGAGGGAAGCAGAGGAAATGTTAATCCTGACAAGTACCGTTTTCGCTTTGGAGGAGAGGAGGATGAATGGGAAGGCAGACCATGGCGCACATTCCACCGCTGTGGAGCAGAGGCACTTGGGTCAGCGGCACAGGGAGGTGGGGACACTTAATGGGAAGGAAGCAGTGGGAGCGGAGGTCCCTTGCTGCATGACCCAGCCTGGTCCTAGATGTAGCAGCTTCCCCAAACACAGGGAAGAAGCAGCACAGAGATGAGCTCCCTTGGTGGAAATATCATTAGTTGGAGCACTGACTTCCTTCAATGTCTCTTAGGTTGCTGGATCCCTGAACAGATCTCCAGCTAGAGCCTTAAAAAATCAATGCTAAGAGCATCCTGGTTGAAAGTGAGGAAAGCTAGAAAGAATTCATTCACCCCACTTTCTAGGTAAATATCAATTATGGATTATAAACAGAAAAATAGAAAGAAAAAACCTAGCAGCCAACACACAACTGTTTTGTAAAATAAATGAAAGTGTGTTCAAAATCCCATTGCTAGTTAATGAAACTTGAAATAGGTAGTTATTCTAAAATTTACTTTTTAATCATCTAATTTTCATAATTTGTAATTCTTTTAATTAAAAGAGTGACTATCAAGCTGACTGAGTAAAAATATATGTGAATCTGAAGTAAGAAATAACCTTTTAGCACAAAGAGATGGCAGAGTTTTTCTCTGAATTTTTCACTAGGAAAGGAGTGGCCGCATGGATAAACAGTTTCACTTCTTCATACTTACATGAAGCTTGGATCTCCCTTCAGTTAACAGAACCACTGAGCAGACCAGATGTAGTCAGGTGAATAAAAGAAGTATCTTCAAATGGTCTTTCACATTTCAGACATACAGGTTTGTCCTATTTACTTTAACAACTCAAATCACCTTCCTCCCCAAGTGCGTTCCTCTTACCATCTTCTGTATCACAGCAAAAGACTCCTCCATCCACTCAGCTGCCCAAGCCAGACACTGAGCCCCTCATCCCACGTTTTCACTCCCCCATGTCTAATGAATCAGTAAGTTCCATTGATTTTACTTCTAAAATAGCTCCTGAAGCCACTTCTCTCCATCTCTACTGCCACTCCCCTAAATTTAAATGGGGATAGTTTCTTACCTGGATTACAGCAACAGCTATAACTTGGTTAGCCCTCCTGTAATCTATTCTTAAAACTAAAGCCAGAGTGATCTTTCTATCAGGCAAATCTAGCCTTGTCACTCTTGTTCCCCTTTGCACTCAGGATAAAATCTCCTATTTGCATCTTTATATCTTACAAGGCCCATTATGATTTGACCTCTGGTGACTCCTGCCTGATGACATTTAGTTTGCTGAAAGCCCTGAGCCTTTCCATACGATATTCTCTCTGGAGACACAGTTTGCCTTCCACCATTTTGGCTTCTGCTGGAAACTAACCCCCATCCCCACCCCCTAAAATCACCCCCACCTTCAATTAGCTAACTCTGACCCTTCCTCATGCTTCTGTGCTATCCCCCTCCAGAAATCATCTCTGAACCAGGCCAGGGCTGGACTTCCCTCCCATGTGTCACCTGTCCCTCCCATCACCCTCATGGCACCTCCACACTCCAATGTAGTTGCTTGTTTACAGATCCTCTCCCAAACAGCAAGGTCTGTGAGAGCAGATTTCCCATTATTCTTGTTCATTGTTGTATCCCGGGACTAGGACAAGTCCCCAGAGCACAGAGGAGGTTCAGTAAATATGTGTTAAACATAAGAGTTGATCAGTGATTCTCAATCTATAGTTGCATCAAATCACCTAGCAGGCCTGTTAACACGGATGATGGGACCTAATTATTCACATTCCTAAAAGTTTCCTGCTTATGCTCATGTTGTTGGTCCAAGAACCACACTTTGAGAACCACTGGAGTAGATCAAACTGAGAGGACTAACTAATTTTCTATGTTTTCATTTAAAAGTTCCCTTTTTGATAATATCAACTGATACAGAAAAAACATTTGAAACAATTCAGTATCCTTCCATGATAAAAATTCTCAACAAATTAAGTATAGAAGGAATGTAACTCAACATAATAAAGGTCATATATGATAAGCTCACAGTTAACATCATACCTAAAGGTATGATGCTAAAAGCTTTTAGCTTTTCACCATTCCTCCAAGATCAAAAATAAGACAAGTATGCCCACTCTCACCACTTCTATTGGTACTGGAAGTCCTAATCAGGGAAACTGGCAAGAAAGGGAAAGAAAAGGCATCCAAATCAGAAAAGAAGAGGTAAAATGTCTGTTTGAAGATGACATGATCTTACATATAGAAAACTCTAAAGACAACTAAAAAAAAATGTTAGAACCAAAAAACAAATTCAGTAGTTTCAGTATACAAAATAAACGTATAAAAATCATTTGCATTCCTACACACTAACAATGAACTATCTGAAATGAAATTAAGAAAACAATCCCATTTACAATAGCATAAAAAATAATAAAATATTTAAAAATAAATTCAACCAAGGAGGCAAAAGATCCACACTGAAAACTATAAAACATTAATTAAAGGAATTGTAGAAGACAGAAATAAATGGAAAAGATATCCCATGTTCCTGGTTTGGAAGAATTAATAATGTTAAAATGCCCATAATATCTAAAGAGATCTACAGATTCAATGCAATTCCTATCAAAATTCCAATGGCATTTTTTACAGAAATAGAAAAACAATACTAAAAGTCATATGGAGCCACAAAAGACTCCAAACAGCCAAAGCAATCTTGAGTAAGAAGAACAGAACTGTAGGCATCACACTTCCTGATTTCAAAATATATTACAGAGATGCAGTATTCAAAAGAGTATGGCACTGACATAAAAACAGACATATAGACCAGTGAAAGAGAAGAAAGAGCCCAGAAATAAATCTACATATGTGCTACAGTCAATTGATCTTCAATAAGGGTGCCAAGGCTATACAATGGGGAAAGGACAGTCTCTACAACAAATGGTGCTGGGAAAACTGGATATCCACATGCAGGAGAATGATACTGTACCCTTATCTCACACCATACATAAAAATCAATGCAAAATGGATTAGAGACTTACACATAAGACCTAAAACTATAAAACTACTAGAAGCAAATATAGGGAAAAACATTTCTTGACAATAGTCTAGGCAATTATTTTTTTAACATGACCCTAAAAGTACAGGCAACAAAAGTAAAAATAGGCAAGTGGGATTTGATCTAGCTAAAAATTCTTCACAGAAAAGGAGACAATCAAAAGAGTGAAGAGGCAACCTACAAAATGGGGGAAATTACTATTTGGGAACCATACATTTTGGTTAATATCCAAAATATGTAAGGAATTCAAATAACTCCATAGCCAAATACCAAATAACCCAATTTAAAAAATGGTCAGAGGAGAGGACCTGAACAGACATTTCCCAAAAAAAAGACAAACAAATGGCCAACAGGTATTTGAAAGGATGATCAACGTTACTGATCATCAGAGAAATGCAAATCAAAACCGAATAAGATATCACCTCATATCTCTTAGAATGGCTATTATCAAAAAATATAAAATAAAAGCGAGAGAACGAGTGTTGGCAAGAATGTGGTGAAAAGGGAACCCTTGTAAACTGTTAGTGGGAATGTAAATTGGTACAGCCACTATGGAAAACTGGATAGTGTTTACTTGAAAAATTAGAAATAGAACTACCATATGACCCAGCAGTCCTACTTCTGGTACATATCCAAAGGAAATGAAATCAGTATCTCAGAGAGATGTTTACACCCCCATATTCACTGTAGCGCTATTCACAATGGCCATGATATAGAAACAACCTAAGTGCCCATTGATGGATGAATGGATAAAGAAAATGTGAGACACAAACATACACACATATGTGTGTGTGTATATATGGAATACAGTCAGCCTTAAAAAAGAAGAAAATCCTGTCAGTTGTGACAACATGTTTGAACTTGGAGGACATTATGTTAAATGAAATAAGCCAGACATAGAAAGACAAATACTGCATGATCTCACTTAAATGTGGAATCTAAAAAAAGTTGAACTTATAAAAATAGATCTTAAGTATCATCACCAAACACACACACAAAAATGGTAACTATTTTTTTTTTTTTTGGTGAGGTGATGGGTGTGTTAATTAGTTTGATTATGGTAATCATTTCACAATGTATTCATATATCAAAACATCACATTATACATCTTAAATATATACAATTTTTATTTGTCAATTATACCCAATAAAACCTGGATGAAAAGTTTCCTTTTACCTCTAAATGTAACAGTAGATATACATGGCTGACATAGATTTTAGATTCCTATTTTGTCAGTATTTTTTACTGTGGTAAAATATGTGTAACATAAAATTTACGATTTCAATTCATTTTTAAGTGCATAATTCAATGTACAATTAAGTAAATTCACAGTGCTGTATAACCATTACCAGATTTTAGATTCTTTAGTAAATGTTTTATGTAGATTTGTTTTCTGAATGTTATTTGCTGTTATGATGTGAGGATGTGACATTGATTCAGAGTAGCACATAATACATACATAAGATACACATATGTGTGTATAAAAGACTACATTTTGTAAAATCTTCCAGCACTATTATTCAATCAACAATTAAATATCTTACCTCTTGTGCTTCGTGGGCTATTAACTGGTCCATTAAGAGTCTCCGCCGTCTTTTCTCTCTTTGCTCTCGTGCAAAAGCATCTTCTTCGAGGCGCTTCTGGATTTTTTTAATGTAGTCATCATCCGAATAAGTGTTTAACAAATCAGCAGTTGTCTGGCCTGTTGTATCTAAAGAAGTCTTGGATGCGCTAAGGACAATAGTTTTTATTTAAATTAAAAAAAATAACAATCACACACCACTACTTGTGATGTGGAGGAAGACCTCTGGAGATGGCTCCCTTGAGTGCTCTGTTCATTTATTAATACAAGCATCGAAGCAAATATTAGAACTTCAGTGTGAGATCCACAGCTTATCAACAGATTCCATTTGCCTCACCCCATTTCTGGACTCTGTATCTGTGAGGTCTTTAGCATAGCCTTCTTTCTAGGCCTGGTGCCTACTTACTTACTCTTTTACTTCTCATGACCTTCACTGTGCCCAGAGATTCTGGATTTCTCTCCCTCTTCTTCCTGCTGGCTCTAGGCCTCCTGCCTCCCCTGCTTGGAGTCAAGAGTAAGGCAATATTGATAACCCAAGTGTCAGGGAAGGCATACTTCTACAAGAGTCGGCCAGGTACACTAATGTGAGGACCCTGAGAGTACTTCCATGGATGGTTCTGTCCACTACAACTCTCCTCTCACCTACGTGAATGCAAGGTGCTCTATGAGCTCCCAGTAGCTTTCCGACTCCTTAGGGCAGCAGCCCAGCTCTTACTAGAAGCTCAGCGGTGGAGAGTTGACTTGCACCACGGGTCTGACCTAGCCTCTTGCCCAAGTCCTGGAGACCCAAGTGAGGAGATCTACCTTGGGGCTCTTGTCCTACCTCATGTCCAGAACTCACAGATCAGGAAGTTGGTGGTCTCACCAACAGAAAGCAAACACACTCAATTTAGTGAGGCAAATGGTGGCTTAGTACAGAATTTATAGGTTCATTCAAAAGCTGCCTTTAAAAGTAAAAGATACACTTTTATGTACATATGGGTCAAATAATCAATTCTCATCTGCATACTCTTTAAAAAATAAAAGGAGTACAACAGTACAATGGTATAAGATATAACGTTACTTGCCAAGAAATAATGACTTTAGTATTAGGAATAATTATTATTCTTAATGTCATAAGTTATTGATGTGTTCAGTTTAAAATATAACTTATAATCTTATTCAAAAGACAAGGACACATTATTATGGTAGGCAGGGATTAAACAGTCATCAATTCTCATACAGACAGAAGTGTTCTTACAAAAGCATAGCTAATTCATGTTTAATGAATAATCACACGTGTTGTTTTTAATCTGAGGCCATGCAGTTTCATTAAATCAAAGATCAAAATCATTTACATGGTTGAATTAAAATTCTTAAATTATAATTAGTTCTGTTTAATAATCACATATTTATGGTATGGATATTTTATTATAGTTCATTATTTGTACATTTGCTGCTTCCAGTTGAACTCTGAGCGCAGAAGAAAAGTATCCTCGTTTACTCTCCTGTGTACCTGTGCCTCATAGTCCTGACATGTAGCTAATGTCTGCTAAATTTCAAATAATATGCTAAGAAGCACTATACAAGTGTAATATAACTTAAAAAAGTCACACATTGAAATTCTGGTTATTTTATCAGCAGGGGCTCAACCTTCGATTGTATTCTGTCACTGAGAGTCACTGAGCAGAAATTGTGTAGCTAACAAAGCCTCAGTAAGATCAAAGACAAATTTTAACCCTATTTATCTATTAAGATTTAGTGCAATTAAGTATTTATGAAAATTGTGTGGCATAACTTTTTCAGGTCCTTCATCAAAATCCTTACTATATTTTTACTTAAATATGTTGTTTAAAAGATTTTGCCTCAGATTGAGCATGGGTTAATAGCTCTCTCAACACTGTATTTATGTCACCAACAATATACTTAAGATACTGGCTCTCCTTTGTTCATCAATCAGTCTGTCCAACCATCCATCTGCTGTCTTATGCCAATTAAGGCCTGAAGAAAGCTACGTGATATTTACTTGAATAAATATTCATTTTACTGAGATGTGGGTTTCTTGAGGGCAATAATTATGTTTTCTTTATATCTGTTTGCTTGCCAGGCCTCCATAGAGTTAATAATTGTACGTGTATGAATTATTAGTGATAGGAACCCTGGCCAAATTTGTGTATATATATAAGCAGTTGCTAGAAGGAGACTAAGGTAAATCTGTGCATCCAAATGTCAGATTACAGCAGCCAACAGCCTCAGCTAAAGAAACAAATAGCAGATGGCATTTATTATTTGTCTTAAAAAATAAAGAAATAGTTCATGTGGGGAAAAAGCAGCAGTGGTTGTTCTTGCATTGCTCTCACTGAGACATCATTTCATTCTTTCACAAAAGAGAAAAGATAGACTTCGAAGTGACATCCCTGGGAAAGTCTTTCAAAGGCAGGCTGTGAAAGGGACAGCTGTAGAAATTGCTCCTAAGGTCAACCCAAGAGATGATTTTAGTGCTCTCTGTCATCAAGTAGTGTGAAGTTTCTGGAAAAGCCCAGAACATGCTTGATTCTAAGCTAAGGATTCAGAATGAACAAAAGAAGCAGTGGTCAATAACAGAGATTAAGAACGGCCATATTGTACCATAGCTCTTTTCTCTTTAAAAGTTTGCTCTAGACCAGCGCTTCTCAACATTTTTTATTTGGGGGTCCATCAGAAAAAACGTCCTTTGTGAAGTGTACTGGAAGGGATTTGGAGTCACAGATGGGGCTGCTCACAGCCACAGGTGACTGGTCTAGGGACTCTAGCTGCCCCAGGCCCTATCCTGCTGCTCTGAGAAGTGAGGATGTCCATATCTCATGGGCCCGCAGCGGTAAATCTCTGGCAAGACCAAGTGGAGGCTTCTGCAGAGAAAGGACTTGTGATAGACACTGCTATTTCCCTCCCTTTTCCCTCGAAACAGAGCCACGGTTTTATTCAGGAAAACAACTTACCCAGCTAAAGTCTACAATTCCCAGCCTCCCAGTCTGCTAGGTATGGCCATGTGACTGAATTCTGACTAATAAGGCATAAGCAGAAATGTTATATGGGGCTTCTGGGAAGGCTCGTATAAGGAGCGATTTCAGATTGGATGTCCACTTTTTGCCTCTCCTCCTTCCTGATATTGGAACGTGGGCCAAATGGCCGGAGCCTTGGAAGCTATCTCTTATTTGCGAATGTGACTTTGAAGACAGAAACCACACGTCAGGACAGTGCAACGAAAAGGAAGGCTCAGTCCTCGTTGACCTTGGAGCAGCAACACATGCCCTGGGCTGCTTACCTTCTGATTTCTGTTGCTATTATAGGAGAGAGAAGTAAATATCCATCTAATTTAACCCACTCTGGTTTCGGGGTTTCTAAGCTAACTGATAGAGAGGCCTAGGGTTCAGGTTGGGTTGGGAAGGCAATGAGGATGAGGGTGAATGTTTGTACAGGAAGGATCTTTAAAACACTGAACCACAGACAGGGCAAGGACACTATTGAATCAAAATGGATGCTGGTACAGGGATTGGGAGATGCTGCTGTGCGTGGTGCTGATTCTGCTTGCTAAACTGTGTGGAAATCGAGGCGTCCCAAGACAGGGGTGGGCTGCGGGGCTGCAGAGGGCACCATTCACGAAAAGCAACAGAGTGTTTCGATATTTTAAGATGGTCATTCTGGTGGACACCGTTTGTTTATCACTCCGGAACATGTGGCTGGGGAGATGAGTGAAAGAGTTGGAAGAAGTGGAGTGGTTTCATGGGCCAAGGTCAAGGGTGGGCGTGGTGGGGGTCAGGTGCCAGCTGCTTGGGGGAGTAGGCTTGGGCTGTGGTTATTTCAGGAGTGAGGTGAGCACTGATGAATATGGGGAGGGCTCAGAGTAGGACATCAGGAGTTTCTGCAGAGGGAAGGGGGAAAGGCGATTAATGTATACATTCTTCATTCTGCTTCACTTTCCTTTCACACTTGACTTCCTCACCACTTCTCCTTCTAGCTCATTCTTATTCCTCCTCATTTGACTCTATTCCCTCTCCTCAAAGGTATTAATATGGAACTGAAGTATATAATTCATGTATATTTTTCTTCTTTAAGAGATTTATTTCCTATTCTATAAAACATAAAGGAGAAGAGTTTAGATAGTTTCCATGAAAAAAATGCAGAGAAATTCAAGCTGTTCCTATATGTGTAGTCCCTAATCAATTATTTTCTGTGAGTCAATGACCCCTAATAGGAAACAAAAGGGGAGAAGATCTTTATCTTTAGGAAAAATAAGCCCATTAACCAGGCACTTTCTGTAAAGAACTCATTGAACTGTTTTAGTGACATTCAGTCAACAAACTCATTCAACAACTTTTTACTGCTGGTCCCTGTGCTAAATGCTGAGGATGCAACATGACAGCAACCAAACTAGAGTCTAATAATGGCTTTTTTGTGACAAATGTAAATTAATAGTAACCTGAAAAAATGTTAGTGAGTGTTTAAAAAATATGTGTGAACTTACAAGGGTAAGTATAACACAGAAAAATAAATTAACCTCACATCTCGTAATAGCCACTTTCCCTTTTGATGTTATAAAAATTGTTAATGAACAACTAATCTGAATTTTAGCTCATTTATCTTCCTTAATATACGCTCTTAATGAAGATTCTACAAGGTGAAAATATCTTTGGAACAGCTATTTCAGGTAAACTATTTCTAAATATTCAAAAGTTAGAGTAGAACAGAATGCAGCTTTGTGATTACTGAGATAATTTGCATCCCACCTTTCTTTTGCTTGGAGATCCTTTTTTATTAATGCTTCAAACTTCTTAATCTCATTGGCCACATCCTTTAAAGGAAATTCATTATCAGTTTTTCACCTCTAAAAAACATTGAAAATTTTCATTTACCGCATTCATTCAAACATATCAAGTGACATGCATTACTAATTCAAGCTAATTAGGAAGCAAGATCTGAAAAGCTACATTCTAGAATATTTTTCTATTCTGATTTGTTACTTTTAGACTAGGCTAAATATATATAAAAGAAGGTGAAAATTGCCTAACCCGAATCATTCAGTTCACAAGTCTAGCTCTGACAGTACATCAAAGGGCATTTAATGAGAATAAAGATTATCAAACAGTCAGGACGTGCATTGTTAATTACAATTCTTTTAAATGAGAATAAGCATTTTTTTGGACATAAATATTTCTTTTTTTTTTTTTTTTGCAGTACGCGGGCCTCTCACTGCTGTGGCCTCTCCCGTTGCGGAGCACAGGCTCTGGACGCGCAGGCTCAGCGGCCATGGCTCACGGGCCCAGCCGCTCCGCGGCAGGTGGGATCTTCCCGGACCGGGCCACGAACCCGTGTCCCCTGCATCGGCAGGCGGACTCTCAACCACTGTGCCACCAGGGAAGCCTTGACATAAATATTTCATTAAAATCATCTTGAGTGTTTTAAACATTTAAGGTTGTGCAACCTTACTTACACTATTAATTTGCTCTCTGAAAATTAATTTTAGCTAATCCTCTGCCTACTGCAAATCCTTATTAATAAGCTTTAACCAACCCAGGGAAACATGAGAATTAAGTACTTTTACTAAAATGGGGTCAGAGAAAAAACCTCTGTGGGTAGTACTTTTTAGAATCTAACTATAGGATTTTTTAATATTAAAAAAATGTGAATTAATATAAAATGCAATGGATTTAGAAATCAGAGAGACCTCTCAATCTCTGCTTTAACAGCACTGTGTACTTGGGTAAAACATGTCAGTTTTCTTTTTTTTTTTTTTTTTATTATTATTATTTTTTTTCATGTCAGTTTTCCGAGTCTCATTTTCCTTATCTGAAAAATGGGGAAAATAATACCCTACTTAGAGAACTATTTACAAATTAAAGATGATGTGAGGTGCCCAGCCCACAATCAGCATATAGCAGATGATCAATAAACGGTAGTCATTAATCCTTTTTCTTAAGGGAGAGAATATCCCTAACAATCATTATAGTAGTATACAGTGTAGACTGCAGGAATTAGTATCAAAATGTAGTATTGTTCCCTTGGGAAATATAATGAGATTATATCCTATTGGAATGATCGACAGCTGGTATGGTCTAGTAAAATATCAATAGTGTAAGTATCTTAAATTTAAATATGATGAGAGCAAGCAAGTTGCTTAATGTTTCTAGGATTCATAGAAAGACAGTGCAGCATGGGGAGGAGGTATCGAGGAAAAGCAAATAGTAGGAATGGCACATGCATGGTGTGGGTACCTGGACTGGCCCCTGTTGTACCCATGGGTATCATGACCCATTACAACTATGCCACTCTGGCATAGTTTGTTAGTAACCACAGAATCCACAACACAGGAGCCGCACAGGTTCTGTCATTTAATAGAATTTGCCATCCCTGTCCTAAAGCTACGTTCTCTGCTTCTGAACAAATAACTATAAAATGGATTGGATATGCATATGGTGGAGGAGTTTTAAATAAGAAGGGACAATAACAGAAGTAATTCAAAAAGGAAGTAGGGAGTTCAGGGAAGTCTCTATATGTTTTAGGGAAAGATCATCCTTTCATTAAGATAAACACAACACATTATTAAAGGGTTATCACTTACCTCTGCCTCTGTTTTCTTTTTCAACGTTTTTTGAGTGTCAAGTGCTTTCAGAATACGGTTTGATGCGGGTTTAGGAATCTGTATGATAGCTGCTTGGATTTTAGCCATTATTTCATTTTGTCGTCTTCTGCTCAAGCATTGCTAAATATCCCATACACATTAGTTTAGTTATTCAGTTCATCAGAATAATATGCAATGTTATACACTCACAGGTACACAGATACACAAATTTTCCATTGAAATTTTCGGAACTCAGTAATTAACCAATGGACTGGGTGTTACAACTGTGTAATGTTAGGAAGCAAGTGTCAATATAACTTATTTTGAAAAGTGTGATACTGAAACACAATTTTGGAATCCCCAAATTATGCCGATCAAATGTGTGTATTTTCATTCTGGGTAGCAACCCTCCCCCATATCACTAAAGCATCTGAAGCATTCATTTCTACCAGACAACTTAAAAAGAGGTCAAGTTGTCCCACTGTTCCAAAGAATGGCAGTTCTAGTTCTTAGCCGCAGGGAGATGCGACCATCAGCAAAGGTGGAGACAGAGAAAGGGGAAAAGTGAGGGAGAGAAAGGTGAGAGCAGGCAGAGCATGAGGCTTATACCAGGAACCGGCAGCTCGGGCTGGATTCATGCTTATGCAATGCGTAATATAGACATAAGTGGCAAACAATATACTATGCACTAATGAGTTTCTGGGAAAATTGTCCTATAAAACCTTTTAGATTTTAAAAGATCTTTGTTCTTCCTGGAGTTTTTGAAATTTTTCAAGTTTCTCAAAACACATGTGGACAAGATCTTTGTTCGTGTGTTTATATTGTTCTTGAAACCTATGTGTAACCTGCATCAGATTGAAATCAGTTTGACGTGGTATCAGGTTTCTATGTCTCTAAATGAAGAAAGCATTTCAAGAAGATTCCATTATTAGAGAAAAAAGAGTATATTGTCATTATAAGCACACATAAAATTTGCCTTCAGAATAAAATTTCTATGAATTACTACTGTTGATGGCTAAAGCAAATTCAAGTCTCATACCAATCACTCACACCCTTAATTGATGTAAGGACAATAAAAATGCATGATATATGCTTTTATAATTAAACTTTTTGCCCTGAGTTTAATTTTCAGTGAATGGTATTTGTATCCTTACAAATACATTTTCATAAAAATAATTTATAAAACCAATTTCAACATAAAAGAGATAATATAAGAAGCTAGATTCTTTCCATTACTTAAGCCACTTCCTAGTAAAAAGTGAAGAAATAATGAAAACTTCCAGGCCACCGGCAATGAGGGTACAATAGTAAAAGAAAATGAACTCTCAGTGATGATTGTGAAGTGGGACACAAAGCAATGGCTAACGTATTTAACTAAAACTTTTATATTCGAAAGTAATCTACTTAGAAGCTGATGACTTACTAAAAAAATTTTTTTAAATGGTACCATTGCTCAAACCATTCTTGGTCCTTCTTTTCTAAAACTGCCTCAGTAGTTACTGACACTTACTCAGAAGATCAGTTAAGGCCCTGTGAGCTGTCTTTAAGCACTTACACACACCTCTGCTCTTTTCACTGTTAAAAATGTCCTGGCCTCCATCTTCACAGTGGCAACGAACATGTAAGGTCCTTCAACATCCTACCACCCCACTTCAACATGTATATATATATATATATATATATATATTTTTTTTTCTTCTTCAACTTAATTCTATTTCCCCCCAGCCCAGGAAATATCCATTGAGCCATCAAATAGCCTGCTGTTAAATGTGTGGAGTCAGAGTGCCTAGGTTTGAGGTTTAGCTCTGCTACCTACTAGCTTCATGAAGTTGAGCAAGTTACCTAATCTCTCTCAGTTTCATCATCTGTAAAATGGGAATACTAAAAGTACCTATCTCATAAGATGGTTGTGAAGGTCAAATGAGATAATATACATAAAGCACCTGGAACAGGGCCTGGCATCTCACTATGTATGTTCAATAAATTTTCATCATTATTGATATTAATATGTAATAGACACCTGCATCTTCTTCCATCTATATCAAAGAAAAAGGCATCTCTACTTTTTTCATAAGATATCTCCTCCTTCATCTGAACCATTGGTTCATTCTTCCTCTTTTCTTCCCCAGAGGGTCTCCTTCCACATGGGTCCTCACACCACTCATCACCTGCCACTGATTCTTTTTCTCAACTGCCAAGTTGTCCCAGTCTCCATGTCCATAAGATGAACAAATAATCTCATACTTCTGTTGAGCTTCTCCCCTGCAGCTACTGTTATTCTCTCTTCCCCTTTATCTCCACGTGTTTTGAAAGAATAGTCTATGCTCCATTCTTCCTCATCTCCACTGCAATCCATACCACTCTGCTGGAACATTTTTCTCTCCCCAAAACGTAAGCTCTAAGAGAAGCTTGGGGTTTTTCCTGTACTACTCACTTCTGAGTGCCTGACATAAAGTAGGAGCCCAACAGATCTTTGTTCAATAAATGAGTAATTGACTTTGGAAAGTCACCATGGCCAACATTAAACCCAATGGTTTTTTGTTTGGACTCAGCTCCACAGCACTTGTAGTACTTGTTTACACTGACTGTTTTATACTTTACAAAGAATTTTCTTATATATTGTTTTTCTTGAAGTTACCAAAAAACCTAACTCTCAGGCAGGTAGAGATAAACATCCTTGTTTTTACAGTTGGAAAAAGTGAGACTGAGACTGTTCCAGGGACTGACCCAAAATTAACCAGCTTGCACGTGAAGGAAGCAGGATGAGATACTAAGTTATTGACTTTCAGCCTAATCTAATTTCTAGCTCTCTGTGGGTGCTGAGTTCATTCTGCTACCAGACTCATAAGGATGTCCACCAAGAGTAGACAAATCTAAAAGTGGAAGTAGCTCTCACATTTATTGTCATTGTTGCTTCATAAATTAAATTTTAAAATTTAATTATTTTCATTTATTTTTATGCACTACATCAGTACAGTACTCCCCATTATCCTACAGACCTGGAAAAGTTAATGGCCTTCACTTATCGTAAGGAAACAGCACAGGAACTAGAGATTTGTCAACTAAAGAGTTGTATCAAATAATCAAGAGACACTTAATGAGTATTTGCAACGTTGAAAGCATTGTACTAGGCGTATTTCTTGAACTTGAGGAACTAAAAATCTTGTGAGGCCATATGACAGATAAATCATGAAAGTTAGTCAATACTATCAGCAACAGGAGGTTAACAGCAAAGAGTAACAATTACCTGTGCCCTACGAGCTCCGCAGAAAGAGTCCATGTATACTGGGAAGGCTGCACAGAGCAGACGGAGGAAAGTTTGGGGAAAGCGGAGAGAGGAGAAGGGTGAGCTTGGGTGGTAGAGAGGGAAGAGCAGAAATATACAAGTCCTATTCAAGGACAGGCTGCCAATCAATGCAGAAGAAAGACTTTATGCTGAGGTTTACGAAGAAATGAAGTTAGAAAGACAGAATGAGACTCTTTAGTGAAAGAACTTGGATGCTAGTCTAATTTGGTGACAAGATTATTTGTAAATTAGCAAGGTTTCTGTGCAGAAGAAACCAACAAAAGTGGAACTAGGGCAGATTCACCTAGCGGTTGATTAACCTCCAGTAGGAAGCCTGAAGATCGGAAGCCGCATTAGTAGGTTACTGCAGTAGCTCAGCAGGAGGTCTGAGCAGATAGGATGGGGTAGAAATGGAAAAGAGAGGAGCAGGCACAAAAGGCACTGGGAATTAGGAGCAAACAGTTGATAAGTTATTGGCAATTGGTGGATAGGATGGAGAGAGGCATCAAAAATGGATAAATGAATTGAAAATATTAATATAAAATAAAACCCAAATATGGCCAATAACATACATCAGGGACATATATGCCTGATGGGGCTTCTTTGAGAATGCAACATCACTACTGTGTCACTTTACCAAGCTTTATATTGTGATATGCTTATAATGTTTCTTTATGTACTTACATCTCGAAAAGTCTCGCTTTTCATGTTTTGAACTTTTGTATTTGTCAGGGGTTGCATGGTTTGCATTTCCACTCCAGTCAGCACACTTTTCTTTTTTCTCTGGAGAGCAATGTACAATTGATATAAGAGTTTTGTGGCTGCCCCAGGCTTTTCTGTGATGATATTGTGGGCCACGTTCTGATCAAACTGCACACCCAGAAGGTGAAGTGTGGGCTCCAAGCGAGAAAAATTATTAAGTTTGGCACTTGAAATCCTAGGCATTAAAATATTTTACATAATTAGACACTGAAATAAAGCAAACAACAAATAACAGAGGTATTACCATGATCCCATATTATGAATTATCCCATGTTCTTTTAAATATATCAATCCTCTCTAAAACCACTTAATCATGTAGATACATTGAGATTTTGTGTATTGTCTTAACTCCATGCATTTATTTCTCTTGAATGGCTAAACTAAAACCCATTAATTTCATATACTCTTCTACTTAAGTAGATGCTAGAATTTCTGCAAGAAGTCAGTACAAAAACATAACTAAATGCCTTCTTCTAAATGGAAAAACTTAACTATCGTTTTGAAAAATATTTTACTCAGAAGACAAAATTGCAATTTAAATGTCCATTTCTTTAAGTGATGTCACTACTAGAACCTGAAAATAACCTTATTTTCAGTTGCAGTGACAACTTTCACAGTAATCCCCTCAGGCACTATCAGAAATATTTAATTAAATAACATTAGCTATACAACTAAATTAGTTATGTAATCTTCACTGTACACTTCATATTACTTCTTCACGAATCACTAAAGACTTTCTAAAATATATGTATTATTGAATCACCTATCATCAAATTAGGCTCACATGTTAGAAGAAATTCATTAATTCATTTATTAATTTACTCTCTCAACTATACCAATAATTTGTTTAATTTAATAAATTTTTATAAATTTATTAAAGTCTTACAAAGATAAGACACCCTGCCCTTTAGGAGTTCATAGTGGGAAAACAGATGAATAACAAGTAGTGATAAACTGATGTAACGGTTGTAACAGAGGTCTCAAATGACCTAGGGCTGTCAATAAGCCTGTGAATCCAGTGGCAGAAAGAGAGCAAAAGATGTTACATGCATTTTCAACTTTTGTGCCTCTCTGCGATCAAACTGAATGCAAATGTCAATTTTAACCACTGGTCTATTTTCTCCTTACTTCAACTTCCAAAATCTCAGTGACATTCTTTGATGGAAAAAATACACTGAATATACTTAAATATAAGTCAAAGTCACATCCTGTCCCTGAAAAAAGATGATACTTTAGAACAGAGGGAGTTGGTGGAATTTCTAATATTATAGGGTTACTCACTCAATAACTTCATTTTGGACTATAATATTATTTGGGAAAGATACAATGACCTTTAATGACCTCAACTGAATGTTTAGAAGCTGAAAGAGATCACTTAGCACTTCTTTTTTAAATTTATTTTATTTATTTATTTATTTTTGGCTGCATTGGGTCTTTGTTGCTGCGTGCAGGCTTTCTCTAGTTGCAGTGAGTGGGGGCTACTCTTCATTGCGGTGCGTGGGCTTCTCTTGCTGCGGAGCATAGGCTCTAGGCATGCAAGCTTCAGTAGTTGTTGCACGTGGGCTCAGTAGTTGTGGCTCGTGGACTCTGGAGCACAGGCTCAGTAGTTATGGCGCACGGGCTTAGTTGCTCCGCGGCATGTGGGATCCTCCCGGACCAGGGATCGAACCTGTGTCCCCTGCCCTGGCAAGCGGATTCTTAACCACTGACCCACCAGGGAAGCCCAATTAGCACTTCTTAAACTTTATATACTGTTCCTAGTATATTATTTCTCAAGAGATAGCTCTCAAGCAGTGGTTCTAAGCCTTTTATTTTTAATCACATATACCATCCTTTGGAAATCTGATGAGAGCTATGAAACCTTTTCCACAGGAAAGAAAACACACATTCATGCAGATACACAAAATGTGTATACAATTTGCTGGTATTTGTGAACCTCCTAAAATCTAGTCTAAAAGTACCTGTTAGCTGCCAAGGATGTGGATCTGAGGAAATATAGGAATGATTTATAAATATAAATAAGGAGCCAGTATCATGGAAAGGCCAATGTCAACAAATGCAGTGACACAAGACACTGAATTCCTTTTCCAGTTCTGTGGTATAACTTATCGTATTTCCTATTTCCTCTATTTGGTTAAGTATATTCAGTGTGGCATACCACATCAACCAAACTTTGAATGAAATATTTTAAATTGATAAAGAGAAACAGATCTTAGAGGGGATAAGAAGAGATAAGGAATGCTACAAGGTAATCTTATCAACAAAAAGGGTAAAACATTGTTTTAGGTCTTCTCATGTCATGTTCAGTTTTGCAATTTGTTCCCCCACAAATGACCTTACAGTTTGAGATAACAAACACTGGACTAAAATGATTAGGGTACAGCAGACCATGTTTTGAAGAGTCTTATTGTGACAGAGATGGTCAAATCAAAGACCTGTGTTCATATTCCTTGGACGGGCACCTGGCATCCCCTTTTGATCTTCCATCTCAGTTCATCATTTCATGTCCTTCCTATCCTAGGAGTCCTGTATGCCTTGTCCACTACACTTACTTGGAAAGATATGGCCTGAGAGCCACTTTTCAGAGATTTTGCCTGGGTCATAACCTTGGGCTTCAGAGGTTAGAGGCACCATAATTCGGGAGGGAGAATCCAAAAACAAACACTATTCATTTCCAAATTTTATCAAAATTTAGCCCTGTACCCAATAAAAGCGAGGAACACTTCCCCTCCTCTTTCTTGTATTACACAACCCCCAGAATGCAGTGTAGCCTGCTAACACTAGGGTTCAGTGACACAGTAGGCTTTAAAATGGCTTTTACGGTCTGGCTGAAGTGTCCAGGTGTAATAGTATTTCCCTCTGGAAGCTTTTAATATATACTCTAAATTTCCAAGCAAAATTTCGGGACTATAACTGGTGTGTAAATTGGTGGAGTCCACTCTTGTTACAGTATATGCTCAATCAGTATAACATGATAATCAGCAGTTGTTTTTGGACCCAGAGAATCCACTGGGACATCTTTGCTCTGAAGACATAGCATATGATGTAAACGATGACACCCGAGGGGATAAGGAACGTATTCTGGGAAAAGTCTTCTCCCTCTCTACTGGCAGTCCTTATTTGCCAAGGGATTATCAATCTCCTCTCCTCCTTGCCACCTGGTGATGGAATACATCTCACAAGGTAATTAGAAGCTGCCCTCCCAAGGGATATCCATGTTCCTTTACTTTTTATTCTTTTAACTAATCTGCTCATTTTTCACCCTCTGAGATGGACTAAAGATATCCCAAAACAGAATTCTTTCAGAGTTAGATGAGTTATTCTTAGGATTAAGTAATTCCCAAAGCAAATAACTTCTAATTATTAGCAACATAGATTTAGTTTACTGTTAACATTTTAGACTAAAGACCCTAGAAAATATTACACAAAAATCCCCAAGTCATGAGCTCTGGCACTAGCTAGCTGTCTAAAACACAGGCTTTACAAAGAAGGGTCCTTTTCCCCACTAAATACACTATTACAAAGGTCATATCCACAGATTTATTAACTCTTGCCTTCTTTAAAATACCATGTGCCCTGGAAAAAATGTGGGTTGTTCCAGGAACTAAAGATGGATAGTATTTGGTTGTCAGGACAAGTAGGTCCCTCTCCCAATGTTAAGAAAGGTAATGACTCAGTGGAACAGAAAGTGAGTCCTTTGCAGTGAGTGAAAGGCAGCACTGCTACACGTGATAATACTCAGGGCACACTCCTGTGCAGGGGCGGGGCAATACCTGGCATGAGGTTGTTTTATCCGAAAAGGGGCTTCTTCTTCTTTGCACAGAGGTCTCTCTGTTCACTAAGACCTGTGTCTTCATGGTTACCTCCATCCATATGGGGTCCCTATCTCCATTTCACACAAAGGCCTTCCATGGCCTGGCTAACAAGAGCCAACTAAGTGCACGTGAAATACTGCACGCATGATCTGATCAGTATGGTTCTTTAAGTTTTCTGTACCGAACCAAATATACTTTCTGAAATCACTCATTTATTTAATAGAGAAACATTATTGTGTGCCTGCTATGGTCCAGGGACAATGCCTGGAGCACAGAGAATAAACATACTATGCAACTTTGAGCAACTTTGCAGTCTAGTTAAGGAGTAAACATTCATATATTCATTATCAAACATTATCTGGGCTCCTTCACGTGGCAGTAACTCTGATAAGAACTGACATATAAATAAATAATTATAACTTAATGTAATAAAAAAAAAGGGATGTCCAAAGTGTTATTAAAACAAAGAGAAAAAAACAAAGAGGAAAAGAAAATTAAATCTGCTAGGGGACCAAACTCAGTTTAGAGAAGGGGTGGATTTTTAGCTGGATCTTAAGGATGAATAAAAGTTTCTCATGGTGGAAGTGAAGGACGAATGTTAATATGCAAAATTGCAAGGCATAACAAAAACACATGACATGTTTGTGGACCAAAGCAGTTTATGTTAGGGCTCCAGACCGGTGGAAAATGCGGCTGGAAAGGTGGATGAGGGTCACACAGGGAAGCATTTTGTAAGACAGGCCTTGAGAAACAGAAACTGGAATATCTAAAGTTTCTTAAGCTGATGGGGAAACCACACTTAAAAATGTGGGTGTAGAACTCTATCTGCCTACGGAGAAGTTCAAACAAGGCATCTAAATGCAGGATTTATCAGGATATGCAGCCATTCATTAGTTCAAAAAACATTTACTGAAAGCTGAACATGTGCCAGGCCTGTGGTGGCCCTGGGGATGCAAAGAAAAATAACTCGTACCCATAACTTTAAGGCACTTGAATGTACAATGTGCAACGTGAAAGACACAAAAAAAGAAACCGACAACAAAGTGACCAGTGTTATGATAAGTAAATGTACAAGATAACTTTATAACTTTCATAAAGGGATAATAAGCAACAACAATAAAAAAGGATTGGAAACCTGGTTACATGCAGACCATCACAAGTCAATCTGGTCATATGAGAACTTGTGAGAAAGCAAAAGGAGAAAAGAAGGGCATAGACACTGACTTAGCTACCCTGGAAATCTTATACCTTAGAGGCTGATCCTGGCTTCCATTGGAGGGGAGGAAATTAAGGTAGAAGCAGAGTGGGCACAGGGCTAGGAGCTCAGGCAGAGGAGGCAGTCGGGGCTAAGCTGTGAAGGACCGTGTATCCCTTGCCCTTGAGGAAGAGATGTGAGACACGGGGTGTAGGGTATGTATTAGAATGTTACCCAGTACCCTAGAAGCTTAAGAAATTGTCTGGGATTAGCAACAGACGCTTATTTGGCATGAAAATGTATTTCCAATCCATGGCTCCTCTTGTATTATACTATTATTACCTGTACAACTAGCATAATCTGGATTGTGAAAGAATGACTCACCTCTAGAATGGAGGTACCAGATTCTTTTGCCTTAAAGTCTTGCGACATAGGTACTGCTCAATGGAAGCCTACTATTCCAAGCAACCAAAAACTAAGAAATACTTGAGTGGGAAATATCAGGTTAAAACATGGAGATGGAGCAAGATGTCAGGAATGGTAGAGCAAGGACCTCCAAAAATCCATTCCTCCATAAAGGCAATAATAAAACTGACAAAAATTATGAAAATCAACTTTTTCATAACTCCAGAAATTATCCAAAGGCTTGTAACAATCTAAGAAACATTTATTTAAGAAAAAACTTAATCTCAGTTAAAACAGAGAGCTTTTGATCATTTTAACTTGCACTATTCCCATTCCCTTCTCCCCAGCTCTACAGTAGACTTGCAACAATAGGAGCTGTAAAAACCAGCAGCCTAGCAGCCATCAGAGAGGACAAACAGGTTTCAACCTTCTCAAAAAGTACTATCCTCAGGACATTGTCATTATTTGATATTTTTTAGAGCTCAATCACTGAAAGAAGACTTCTTCCCAGGGTATTAGTGAAAAACAATCAGTGGCAATTGTTTAAGATCACAGCTACCTAAGGCAGTGATACCACTGGAGCAAATAAGAGTCTACTCAAAAACTTAAAAGGAAGATATAAGAATAAAATATCCATTGGGTACTTTGAAAAGCTCTGACATATTCCTGGAGATCTAGAGGGCCATATACATGTGTAGGAATGTTTGGATAAGCAGGAAAGACAGAAGGAGGCCCAAATCTCTCACCTCTGGCTGACCTTGAGGTCCTGTACAAGCAGGAAGTAAAGGCTAAGGCAGGGTTGTAAACTGTGAAAGCATTGGAGACACCTCAACAGACTCACAGTCTCTCAGTCAGGAAAGATTTATCAGTTTAAGATATTTTAAAATATCTCTGTTCATTTGCTGAGCTCTGTTCATTTGCTCTATTCACTAAGCTAACCAAGCAGAGTCTTCAGCTGCTGTACACAACAAGGAATACAGACTTTCCAAAATTAGTCCAAGAGAGTCATTAAACAAACAAGAAGCAGCAGCAACAATCACAAACCATGGGAAGGTGGGATAATCTGAGCTAACTCGTATTATTTTAAATGTCTATTTTCAACAATTATGAGACACACAGAGAAAAAGGAAAGTATGGTCCATATATAGGGGGAAAAAAGGTCAATAGAAACTCTCTGAGGAAGCCCAGATGCTGAATTTATTAGACAAAGACCTTAAGTCAGCTATTATAAATGTTAAAACAACTAAAACAATCCATTTTTTAACCATTAAAAAAGAAAGTATGAGAACAACATCTCAACAAAAATAAAATATCAATAAGGAAATCGAAATTATAACAATAAGAACCAAGTGGAATTCTAAGGTTGAAAAGTACAATAACTGAAATGTAAAAATTCACTAGAATAGCTCAACAGGAGATTTGAGTTGTCAGAAGAAAGAATTGGTACACTCATAGATAGATCAACTGAAATTATTTATAGGAGAAACAGAAAGGAAAAAGAATGAAGAAAAATGAACAGAATCTCAAAACACATAAACTCATTCTAATCATGAGAAAAAATATCAGACAAATTCCAACTGAGGAGCAATGTACAAAATACCTGACCAGTTATTAATTTTTCTAAACTGTAAAGATTATCAAAAACAAGGAAAGTCTGAGAAAGTATCTCAGCCAAGAAGAATCTAAGGAGACATGGCTATAAAATATAATGTAACCTGGTGAGATACTGGAACAAAAAAGACATTAGATAAAAATTACAACAAATCTTTGGTACAAAATGTACCATACGAATATAAGATGGTAGCAGTAGGGGGAACTGGATATGAACAATACGGGAACTCTCTGTACTATCTTTGCAATTTTTCTGTAAATCTAAAACTGTTCAAAATAAGAAGTTTATTTTTAAAAATCAACAAAGCCTCAGAAACCTGTGGGATACTGTCAAGTATACCAACATACACATAGTGGGAGTCCCAGAAGGAGAAAAGAAAGAAATGGGCAGAAAGAACTTTTGGAGAAATGATGGGTGAAAGCTTCACAAATTTGATAAAACACAGGACTGCAGGAATACAGAAGATATTAAAATGGGGCCCATCTAGAGATGAGGGCTTGCTGCAACCTTATAACTTTCTCTCCTTTGTACTCCTGGGACTGTGAAGTATGTATATGTGAGGAAGCAGCAATTTCCATACCAATGGATGCTTGGCTGGTTTAGGGGAATCTTGTGGTAAATGATTCTTTAATGTTAACTTTGGGCTAAAACCATCCAAATGCCAAAGGAATTGACCTTTTTTTAAAGTAAGGAATAATCTCACTAACCTGCTTTCTGAAAATTCTGCAAAATCATCCTGAAGTGCAAACTTGTGCAAAACTTCTCCAATTAGATAGCCATTGGAAAATGCCTTTGCAAATGACTTGGGACCTGAATTTTAGAACGTGGAGATTAAAAAGTAAATATAATGTTGTACATAGAGTTTATATATTTTCATTATGTACACATAGAGTAAAACTTCATAATTTAACTTGAACTCAAAATGCCATGAAAATACTTCTAAAAACATCTTGTAATAACCAAATGAAAATATTGAAGTTTAACAGTAGACATCTTATAAAGACCCCTGAATAAATGTAGATCAGTAGTTGATAACATATGACATTTTGAAGGAAAAGACAACTTTTGATCAAACCAAACAAAACACAACCAATAAAACATATAACCTTAGATCTAAAAACAAACCCTCAACATATTTTATAAAATTATACTCTAATACCTTAGTTATCAGTAAAACCTGTGGATGATGACTTCATATTCTGGCCAGGTAAGGTACAATCTAACTTCTTTAAACCTCAAAACTTAATTTTAACCATTTTGCAATGGAAATTTTGCAGAAGTCATCTGCACCTTCTTAAATAAAGCCTGCTGAACATAATCAAGCTTTTCCTTGTTGGCTCCAGGGTTTACTCCAGTCTAGTTGGTGCTCTGTGCAATGATGGAGACAGCCCAGAGGAAGACAGACTTTGGAGCCAGAGATATCTATGCAGGAATCTTGGCTCTGCCTTTTACTAGCTGTGCAACCTCTTCCAAGCTGCTTAAGCTTCAGCTTCCTGAGTTTCTGTCCCCTCATCATATCTATATCTATCTTGGAGAGCTATTTTAAAGATTAAAGGTAACGTATGAGAATTCCTTGATACCATGCCTGCCACATAGTATGCACGTAATGATGAGCGCAGAAAAAGAAATTAAGTGTTAAACAGAATTTGCTTTCTTTAAAAATGTCCTTAGTTTGGGGTCCCTTGTATTTTTCTTATGAAGAGAAGAGAAGGGTATAGGGTTACACAGTATTCAAGAATGATATACAAAATCGATACATAAAATAAATTATATTACCATAAGACAAAGCCATCATCTCTCAAATGACTTCAAAATCGTCCAAAAATCTTCAGTGTATTTCTATCAGAGTCCTTTAGGCAATAGCAATACTAAATATCTATAAAATATTACATATTATCACAGTATCGCAAACTCATTCATACTGAATTATCCTCTTTTATCTATTTGACTAGTAATAAGGTGGCTATCTGAAAATGAAGAAAAAATAATTTCTTCATGATTTGTAGAACTGATGCTTGGTGCGTGGTTGCAGGGAGGTGAGTTGAGTTGCTCCATAAAGGCCACTGTACAGAGTCCTTACTCAGAAGACTTCACATTATCGTAAGACTCTTGCATATTTGACACCAGCCCACAATTTTGCCCAAAGCTTTCCTAATATCTGTTCTCAAAGTATTTTATACTCAATAATACCCCAATTCTTAGGTTAAATCAATATAATTATAAAGTAGTTTAAAAAGATGTCAACTATTCTCACTGGTTCTGTTTTCTTGGGGTGAGCCCCTAAGCTATCTAGCACTAAAATCTGTTGAGTGCCTTCTGGCATCATACAGCAGTAGTCTTGGAAGCAACTGAAATCCAAATAGCTCCTTCTGCCCCCAAAAGGCGGAGGTGTGCCATCTCCTCCTGCTGAGTCACTGCAGATTTCTCCTTTCCTCAGAGACTCACCACTGCTGGCCTCCAACGCTGTTCCCTGGTTTTCGGCTGCCACCACTGTCCTCACTGTGCCATCTGGGCTGCTCTGGCTGTGCCTTGCACCTCTTCTGGCTGTTGCTTTCTCCTTTCTGCTTCTTTCCTTTTTCTCTTCTATAGCCCGTCCCTATTCTTAGCTTTCTGAAGTGCCATTGGACATACAGTCATCATCAGACTATGGATTCCTACTAAAAATCTAAAGACTATTATTTTGTATTCAGGGGCTACTGCTATGTCGCCTTTGGGCGGTCTCGTTCCTCCACTCTCACTGGATTTTGCCCTTTGCCTATTGTTCCTGTTGACTGAAGACCTGAAATCTAGCCTGTGAATAACTGGGGAATAACTGTATCCTAGTCCATCACTCTCAATTTATCAGGCAAATGGTCTGTAGCAAACTCTTTGCTACAAAGAGTCACTAGAAAAATAAAATCATAATTCACTTCCTTTGAAGTGGCAGGACTTATTAATAAGGCAATTCTGATATGGTTAAAAGAGGGGCATTTTGGATATAAAGGTCAAAGAAGAACAGTAAACACATTATTTCACTGTCAAGTAGTTTACTATAAATAAGTATGAAAGCATGTGTCTGCAGCTCTATGTGTATTAGACACTCTCAGATTTTTTTCTTTTTTTTTTTTTTTTTTTACACCCCAGGAACGCAGAAGAGAATAATGAGTGAAGAGCTATAGCAAAAGTAACAGAGAGAAAACACATAGAAAAAATGAAAAAGGAGGAAAAAGAAGAATACATGCAAGAAATCAGATGAAGAAAGAGCAGATAACCAGGAATATGTAGATTAAAAAGTATGGAAAGGAAGATAAGAAGCCAGAGAGAGAAAGAGAAATGGAGAGAGGCGAGGGGAGGGAAACAGTAAGGAGAAAAGTAAACTCAAAGGAAAGATTATTTTTTTCCCTTTGGTTTATCAAATTTTCCTTCCCAGTACATGTTCTGGAATACCATGACTAACTTCATGACGGCCATCTCTATAAGTTAATTTGCACTCACAACTGGAATTACCTACAGGGAAGAAGAGGTGGGTTGACTCTAGGATAAGGAGCAATGCAGAATACGAGAAATACATGAACCGTGGGAGCCCAGTGACGTTCTTCACCCTGAGCTCTAAAATGATCTACATCTGGGAAACGTTGTTCAGCAGCCACTCAGCCATGCCTCCAGTCTTCCAAGCCTCAGATCTGATACCCATCATTTTCATTTGCTGAAATCTTTGATGTGGGCCTTTGTCTACCTTAGGCTGGGACAGAGGGCAAAATGGTCTATGTGTTTCTCCACCTGAGCCAGCTGGAGAAAGCACAAAAGAAGATAAGCCTTCTACATTCCAAATGGTAATGAGGAGAGCACAGGCTCTGGAGAAATATTCTCTAGTTTGACTCTTTGACCATTTATAAGCCCCAAGACCTTGGATAGTTACACAGCCTCAGTGTCCTGTCTTTAAAAGAGAGAGAATGGTGGGTTCTACCTCCTGAGAGTTGGTTTGAGAATTAAATGAGATAATTCCATGTAAAGTGTGTAGCATAATCCCTGGCATATAGTAAGTGCTCAATGGTCATTTTATTGTTATTATTACTGCCTCCTACTCTAAGACAACAGGTTATATCAATTACACAATTTTAAGCTCAGTAATAGATCCTCAATGACTATAGTACAAACATCTTTATTTAAAGGTAACTCAGTACTCAGAGAACAAACAGTTGACCCTATCCTTAAATTCAGATACAGGCCTACTCTTGGGGCCAGGTAAGCTATAACACTCTCGCCAGTCTGGGGAAGCACATGTAATCAGACATAGTTGATTTTTACAGCAAACCATTTGAGTGGGAGAAATAAAGACAAAACGTAGCCTCACAGCATTTCTGGTCAAGTTTTGCCACCAAATGACTAAAGAGATTTGGGGATTTGCGGATTGTAGACAAGGGGCTATAGACCTACACATTCTATGCTGAGTGTCCTTTGCTCCTCCTTCACTAGAAGATCAAAGACCTAGCCTAGGTTGTTTTTTTTTTTTACATCTTTATTGGAGTATAAGTGCTTTACAACCACATTTTAACAGCCACTATGGAGAACAGTATGGAGGTTCCTTAAAAAACTACACATAGAACTACCATATGACCCAGCAGTCCCACTACTGGGCATATAGCCTGAGAAAACCATAATTCAAAAAGAGTCATGTACCAAAATGTTCACTGCAGCTCTATTTACAATAGCCCGGAGATGGAAACAACCTAAGTGTCCATCATCGGATGAATGGATAAAGAAGATGTGGCACATGTATACAATGGAATATTACTCAGCCATAAAAAGAAACGAAATTGAGCTATTTGTAATGAGGTGGATAGACCTAGAGTCTGTCACACAGAGTGAAGTAAGTCAGAAAGAGAAAGACAAATACTGTATGCTAACACATATATATGGAATTTAAGAAAAAAAAATGTCATGAAGAACCTAGGGGTAAGGCAGGAATAAAGACACAGACCTACTAGAGAATGGACTTGAGGATATGGGGAGGGGGAAGGGTAAGCTGTGACAGGGCGAGAGAGTGGCATGGACATATATACGCTACCAAACGTAAAATAGATAGCTAGTGGGAAGCAGCCGCATAGCACAGGGAGATCAGCTTGGTGCTTTGTGACCGCCTGGAGGGGTGGGATAGGGAGGGTGGGAGGGAGGGAGACGCAAGAGGGAAGAGATATGGGAACATATGTATATGTATAACTGATTCACTTTGTTATAAAGCAGAAACTAACACACCATTGTAAAGCAATTATACTCCAATAAAGATGTAAAAAAAAAAAAAAGCCAAGCAAATTTACTTTCATTTGAGAGAGAAAAGCAGCTGCTGGTGGCTGGGTACTGGGCTCGCCCAATTAGGCCCTGGTGTTGCTAGGAGTTGGCCCAGCACTCACAGCTAGACCTCGGCCTTCTGCCGAACGTAATCAATTTCACATCACACCAACACCAGACAAGGCTACTCAGTGACCCTGATGGATTAAGACAGAAACAAAATCTCTCTGTAATCATGTCTGAACTCAGCCCGAAACAGTATTGGCCAAAACACAAAAAATGATTAAATATCATCCCCCTATTCTGACTGATATGAGTGGTTGCTGCTTTTTCTTTTTCCTTGCTTTGCTCTCCCCACTTCCTAGGTAAGTTTTATTAAGATATCCAATCATAGAGTTGCCTATGCTCCCTTTACAGGTTCCAATTCAGAGCAAAGCGCTGCTTCCTTGAGCCCTCCCCAAAAAACAGCTAACACAAACCCAAATGCTATAAGGCCTTTCTAACATCCTCTTCTGGAGAAGCCCCACAGTTCTTCATGGTAT